CTCATATGTTCGTTTGAAGTCCAGTTCCGATATTGATGAAAAAAATGTTGAGTGTTCTAAATCTAAATTCTTTGGTATTTACTATTCATTAAAATGAGTCTGAATACTTCATTGAGACCAACCTTGCTGATGCATATATTGACATCACATAGCCCTACTCCTTAGTCATAGAATATGATACCGCTTATCCTTGCGGATGAGATAGTCCTTCTTTGTTCTATTAAACTAAACACTGATGGTAAAAGAGTTTAGATCAGCACAGTTTGGTTACTATTATCCGTTTCAGACATCATAACTGTACCACTAGTAAGTCTGTTCAAAACAATACTTCCTAAACTCAGCTCTCCAATGACTGGAAGGGTGCTCTTGTCAGTCAGCTGCTTAGGAATGGAAGCAGAAGTTTGTATCTGACTTCTAACCTAAAGGTTCAACCAGCATAGTAGATAAAATATCAGATTAAACAGTTTGTAATAATTTGCATGGTCACGTACGATAAATCAGTCTGTTAATTCAGATCAATATAGTTTTTGTGAGAGGAGCCTCTTTTTAATTGTCCTTTCCCTCCTTTACGCCTGTTACTCCTCGTGAAGTAGCATAGGCCGACCACCAGCATTCTCCATCCAACCCTGTCCTGGGAAATCCTTTCAAGCTCTTTCCAGTTCTTATCCATCCCTTTCATATCTGCTTCTATTTCCCGACGTAATGTGTTCTTTGGCCTTCCTCTATTCCGCTTCCCTTCAGGATTCCAAGTTAGCGCTTGTCTCGTAATGCAGTTTGATGATTTCCTCAATGTATGTCCTATCCATTTCCATCGTCTTTTCCTAATTTCCTCTTCAGCTGGAAGCTGGTTGGTTCTCTCCCACAAAAGGCTGTTGCTGATGGTATCCGGCCAATGGATGTTGAGTATCATGCGTAAACAGCTATTGATAAATACTTGTACCTTCTTGATAGTGGTTGTTGTAGTCCTCCAAGTTTCAGCTCCGTACAGTAGAACTTCCTTGACGTTCGTATTGAAGATTCTGACTTTGATATTGGTTGAAGGTTGCTTTGAGTTCCATATGTTCTTTAATTGAAGGGGTGCTGTCCTCGCTTTGCCAATCCTCGTCTTTACGGCTGCATCTGAACCTCCTTGTTTATCGACGATGCTTCCCAGGTATGTGAAGGATTCCACATCTTCCAGAGTTTTGTCATCAAGAGTGACTGGATTGCCGTTCTCTGTGTTGTACTTGAGGACCTTTGTTTTCCCTTTGTGTATGTTAAGGCCTACTGATGCAGAGACTGCTGCTATGCTGGCTGTCTTTATCTGCATTTGTTCGTGTGTATGTGATAGGAGGGCTAGGTCACCTGCAAAGTCCAAATCGTCTAAATGGTTCTGAGCTGTCCATTGTATGCCGTATTTTCCCTCAGATGTCGAGGTCTTCATAATCCAGTCGACCACCAAAAGAAAGAGGAAGGGAGAGAGTAGACAGTGTCTATTGAGTCTTTCATCCTGTTCAGTAACATTCTGTTAAATACTTTTACTGGTATTGACAGTAGTGTAATGCCACTGTAATTTTCACACTTGCTCAGATCTCCTTTCTTTGGAATCTTGATGAGGTGTCCTTCTTTCCAGTTCATCGGCACTTGTTCCTCCTCCCAAATCTTCTTGAATAGAAGATGAAGCATGCTTGTAGTTACTTCGATGTCTGACTTCAACGCTTCAGCTGGTATATTGTCAGGTCCTGCTGCTTTCCCGCTCTTGATTTGTCTGACGGCCATTCTGATTTCTTCTGTCGTTGGTGGATTGACATTTATAGGAAGATCTGTGTGTGCTGCTTCGATGTCCGGTGGATTCATTGGAGCCGGCCTGTTCAGGAGTTCCTCGAAGTACTCTGCCCATCTGTTGCGCTGTTGCTGAACCTCAGTGATCAGTCTTCGTTCTTTGTCTTTGACTGGTCTCTCTGGTTTGCTATATTTCCCTGCTAGTTTCTTCGTTATATCGCAAAGCTGTTTCATATTTCCTTCTCTTGCAGCTTTCTCCGCCGTCGTTGCTAGTTCTTCCACGTATTTCTGTTTGTCGGCTCAAATGCTCTTCTTCACTTGCTTGTTTGCTTCTATGTATTCAGCTTGTGCTCGGACTTTCTCTGCTCTTGTTCGACTGTTGTTAATTGCTGTCTTCTTGTTCTTCGTTTCTGTGATCCTGTCCAGTGTTTCTGTAGAGATCCATTCCTTGTGATGATGCTTCTTGAGGACCAGAACCTCTTGACACGTTGAAGTTAATGTTTCTTTGATACCTTTCCAGCTATCCTCCATAGTAGTTTCTTCTTCCTCCAGTAGATCCTGTAAGGCTTGGAACCTGTTGTTGAGAGCTATCTTGAATTCTTTGAGTTTGTCAGTATCTCGAAGGAAGGCTGTATTGAACCTATGCAGCGCTGTTTGTCCAGTTGTCCAATTCTTCTTTAGCTTCAGTTTTAAATTGGCCACAACCAGGTTATGATCTGAAGCTATGTCCGCTCCTCTCCTGGTTCTCACACCTTCCATTGTCCTTCAAAACTTTTTATTGATACAAATATGTTCTGTCTGGTTAGTGTTTTTTTAACGAGTTGGTTTTTTACGAGATGGAGACGCTAACCCCACGTCTAACCTTCCTCTTTTATCCAGGCTTGGGACCGGCAGTAACTCTAGGAGAGCTACAGGTGGAGTTCTTTTTAATTGTAGCGGTAAATAAATCCCCAAAATAAATAGCTTATACGTTTTCGACATCGGGTGTTGAAAAATACAGTACGGTTGTCGAAACTTTAGAGGGTAGTACTTTCCTGAAGACTAGCTCCGAGATATAGGAGGTCTGTGATCATTGAACAGAATGAATTCTCTGCCGTCCATAGAATTATGAAGATGCCATACGGCACAATGCATCGCTGAGAGTTCCTTGCCAAAAGTGCCTTACCTCGTTTCAGTGTCTAGCAACGGTGTCAAGAAGAATACTGAAGGTTTCCAGTTGTTGCTTAGGCATTGTTGCAAGACTCTTTCAATTTCCGAGTCCTATGTGTCTACTGCTATGCTGATGGGTGATTTGATGTCTTGCTATGCGAGAATAGTTGTTTCGACGCTAATTTCCTTGACGGTGAAAAATGCTTCTTTTTAATTGTTGCCTAAATTGATAAGTTTCACATTTCCACGAAATCGGTTAGTTAAGTCTCTTGAGAGACGTGATTTTCGGTATGAACCGTCGGTAGAAACCTACCAGGCCGTTGAACGCACATAGTTGCTTGACTGTGGTCGGTTCATGGTAATCCATAATGAACGCCACTTTATTTTTCAGAGGGCAGATACCTGTACCAGAAACAGTTTAGGGAGTCAGTGACGATTTGACATTTCTGAATGCTTACAGTAATGTCGTGTTTTTGTAGCCGTCCAACAACGAGCTCCAGATAGTGGAGATGAGATTCACTAGTTGTACTTGTGATCGGGGATTCATCAACATTTACGTGTACAAAGTTGAAACATCGAAAGACGTCGTCGACGAATCCCTGGAAAGTTTGTTTACCATTTCTTATGCGTAAATTGCTGGATGTACACAGCAATTTTCGGCCGTGTTTGGTATAGTTCAAGGTACTTGTCGAACGTCCGTTTAAAGAATGGATCGTTGACTGTAGTTAACCTACAGCCAAATAAGAAAGTTACACAAACAGATAAATTTGTATTTCCGTCTACTAACCATCCTATGCGCGTGTTTATAAGTAGACTATGGTGTTGTAGCAGGTTTATACCAATGATTGGCATAGAAACATCTGAAACAAAGAAGACCCAGTTGATGGTTTCGCGTAAACTCACGTTAAGCTAAACATATATCTTACTATACGTGGCAATCGGTTTTGCGTTTGTCACGTATAGTAAGTTGAAAACTACTTCTGGAGGAACGTTAACTTCTGCTCCAGTGTTGATAAGACAGAAAACTTTCATCATTGCATCAGTGGGGTGCAAAAGACGGCTATGCTCGCTGTCTGTGGTTGCTGTTAACGCGTGTTAGACGGGAAGTATCCTGATTAGCTTTTCGTATAAGACGGTTTGGAGATTGCGAAACTCAAGAGTTTCCCACAGTTTCTGGATGACTTTACATACTTATTGCGGTACCAGAACCAAATGGGGAATGTCTGCATCTTGTAGTCTAGAGAGGGATATTTTTCGTGACGGGCTTCTTCGGGTTTGGGAGCGTCTACGATTATAATGAATATTAAGATAGAACCAGAATGTATCAGAGGTCTGTGACGTATTACTGTCTTCTCTACAGCTTTTCTTTGGCGCAGCATGCTTTTGTACAGAATGTTATGGTGGTCGTCAGATTCCGGTAGGCGGATATAACCACTTGATCTGCGGTGTCATTTTGAAATGAGTTCAGACAAGAACAGCTGACATTCAGCATACGTAGCAAAAACTTTGTTGCACAGACATTTTAAAGCTTAAAGTTACGGAAAAGTTTGGCCCCTCCAAAGTGTCGTAAGTCTCAGAAGCATCACTAGAAGACATACTATATGTGATGTGTAGTGGTATCGGTCCTAGTCACATGATTCTCGAAGAAAAACAGTTAATCACTTGAAAGATAGACATTCAACATGTAATCTGTTATGTCGTCATGCGAGGTTTTAGAAAACCCAGTAGATCAAGCTCAGAGTAGGAATTTTTTATTTTCTCCGAGCAGTTATCTGGATCACCATACTCGAACAAATGGTACAAATCCTACCGATGTATACTTTTTCCTTGAGACTCAATCCTTATGTGAATGCTTACTCATAGGAATGGCAGCATTTAACTATATGTCTTTCTTATGACTCTGAAGCTATTCACAACTTTCAATATTCAAAGCTTACTAAGACCAATTTTTGGAAAGCCCGCTTCCCGTCAAGGCTATGTAAGCATTGTGACGGGTGCTCGCTTCAACTTCAGCTTAGGTTCGTCTCAGATTCCTGCTAAATTAATAGATTGGAACTACTATCATAATTTTGAACCAAGCTGCTAAATACCTGAGAGATATCCTTATAAAAATGTAAGCTTATATAGCTCCTAACTTTTTTATCTGATGATTATTTTATTACAATAAAATGTCCATCGAATTTCCTACTTTAGTCATATTTGGTTATGATTTCTACTAGGAATAATTTTCATGTCTACGAAATTTGATGGACTTCATCTGCAGTTCGTGATACTGCCTCTATGCCTGAATGTTTCGTTTAGCACATGGCCACAGTATCCCAATCTGTCGGCCGACTTTGCGAAAGGCGCAATAAACAATTTTGGGGAAATGGCACAAAAATCACAAGTTTTCCCCAAGTCTGGGGAAAATTTCTCACCACATCGATAAGTTTTAAATTTGACTAGTTTCATACCCAACAATATAAACTTGTGCTTCTACATGGCTAGCAGGCGTACTTGTTTGTGATGAGGGGTTTGATAGTTGAACTCGTCCATAATACTCATGATGTAGACAGTTGACGTAGATGTAGTGAGGCAGCATACTGTAGGTAATCAACTGGAAGGATATCCCTAATATTCTGCTCGTGGTGTACAGTAACGGATCCAGAGAAAGTTTTTTCAGTGCAAAGTCGACCACTACTGGAGTAATTTCCACCACAGAACTGTCTTTCTGGGTGTTTTAAACCAAATTATAGTTCTAAAACTAATCTAGTAACTTGAGAGTTGTTGGAATTTCACGAAACGTCAGTCTAACGCATTGAATTCAGTGTGATGTCGTAGAATCTTATTATAATTACGTACCCAACAGACTTGATTTTATGATGGATTCAACTGACTTCTTAAGAAATATTCTTGTTTTCTGTTACATTAATTATGACTACAAGTCATTTAATCTCGTTTCGATCTCATGTTATGCACTAAGTGCATAAACTAAATTATACCATTCTATAATCATAAGAGGCACCCGCGCCCAACAAATGTGAGGCCTAAACTTGGCACTTGCTACTTTCGTCAACTGGACAACAGAATCATACCATTATAAGTGACTGTCAAATCAAGCTAGTTATCAATCCCGGCCACATTGTTGTCTGGGTTACGTTTCACTGAGCGTACTAAACATGATTAGTTTTTCTAACATGATAAGGAATATATACACAGTCAAGAATAATATATAAGAGGTCGGAACTGAAGAGTAGATCGTTATCAAATTGGTCTAAGTAATGTTCCTTAGTGAGTGTGATACAGGTTAAGAAAAAATACCTAGATAGTTGGTTAACCATTCCCGTCGTTTTATTTTCAGAGATGGAATACTTTCTTAAACGGATCCCAGCCTTCAGTCGTGCATTAGGTGATATCGACTCTGACAGTGATGATGACGACGACTCAATCGTTGACCAGAATGGTCTTGATGTTCCCGATAATTCCCTGCTATTCACAAATGAGCAAGATGAAGAATTAAACACCTATCAAATATTTCGAGATTATACAACAATATCACATGTAATTCTAGCTATTGGACCGTTAACAAGTGCATTCGTAACTATTGGCACTGGTATTACCCATAAAAATTTATCTACTATTAAAGTATCATATAAGAAGACTTCTCTAGTATTCAATAGTTACTATCTTCCAGATTATGACAACACATTAATTATTTGTATTGAACATGAACCTAAATTTTTGTGCTATCAACACAAGTATATCCTTTGTAGATACTTTCAACGTGTTTTTTGTCGAAATGAGAATTTCGATAAGGATAAAATTTCTATAAAAGATATTAATGTACTATGTAGTCGTTCAGTGACTCAGTATTGTTCTAAATTGAAGACACCTCCCCCTTTTATAAAATTTATACCAACCTATTCTGGATTAAGTAGTCGGTTTCCAAAGCTGGAAGAACCGACAATTTTGACAGGTTTACCAGCTGAAGCGCTGAATTGGTTTTATTTCAAGTCCTTACCAGTCAATGTATATATTGTATTTTATTTACCACACGTTAGTGTCTGTGAATGGTCTGCAGTAAAAGAGATATTCAACAGTCTGTTACCAGTTGGTATTGAAATTATGCCAAAGCAGTTTTCATCCAACAATCAATGGGACAATAATTTATTAAGTGAAAAACTCAAGGAAATGTGTATTACTGCAGTTTGCAATAGTGAACGTGCAAAGACAGACCAAATGTATACTTGAGCTGCAATCAAATTAACTTTTTGTGTTTTTTTTAACATGATATTTTATATTGTATCAAGTACTTTATATTAATTGGCAATAAAAAGAGAAGCAACTGAGCACAGTATGGTTTTGATTTCCTGGTCGTTACCTAAAATTATTTCACTCAAAATTGTTAGTGTAAATGAGGACGTGTAGGATCGCCTATCCTAATGTGAGACATCGATTTTGTGAATTTACAAGGAAGGCGTGAAATGTAGACAATAATGCTAGTAATAATATGTTTAACTTGACGAAGAATGCAAGCTTTCTGAAGTTAATTCTTCTCAAAGATTTATTTCACTCTTTATGAAAGGCATAACAACATTACAGTAGGATCTATTCGTTTTTATTCTAATCTTATGTGAAGATTCAAACAGTAGTCTTGGTTGTCTTCGAACGCTTTAAGTGAGTTATCGGACTTCTTCATTCTTGCTTATGTTTTTTAAACAACTCAAGATAGTTGTGAACCTCACTCTTGTTTAACAAGAGCCTTATTGATTTCGGGATATATAAGGTTATTGGTCTACGAAACATGTTACGATGTTCAAGCTCCTAGCTAATGGTAAAAGTGTGATAGATGCATGACTTGAACGAGGCTTAACTTGCTCCTTCCATGCGTTCCACCTAATATGTGTAGTTTGGCAACAGCCAAAAATTGTAACCTAATTGTTCTGACGTTTCTCGGAGATATGAATGGTAAAAACTTTCTACTGAAGTCCCAAAGCACTTAGTTTTCCATTCATGTATGAGGAATTCACAGAATTTCTTGACCAATATGTTCCATCTCTGAAATGATAGTTGCTTCAGGTCGAGTGTCTCTCAGCATTTGAAATTCACTCCTTGTTAGTCGAAATGCGGAGTGCAAGACGGTTTCTATAAAGTTGTTGAGACAGTAAACTTAGCTGCTTTTAATAATATTCCACCCAGAGTTTCAGATACCTCACAGACTTGGATAAATGCAGCTAGTGCTTCCAATCTACAGTACATTGATCATCTCATGTGAAGTATTCACATGTTTTCTGTTAAACGGAATTACACGTATTGTTGTACTCCATAGTATCCTGCACTAAACTGATCATTGCTAATAAATAAGAAGCTTCCAGTGATCCGTTGATAATGAAAAGTAAGTCTTGCTAAACCTGAAACAATTTTACGTTCATTTTCATTGAGCGTTGTTAGTGGGGTTAATGTTCATCTGTCCTCAGTGGGGTTAAATCTAGTCTTGAATTTAACTTTATCTGTAATTCTAGGTGTAATCAGCATCTTTACATCTACTTCTCCTTTGGTCACCAATACGTTTGCCATGTGCTTCAAAATGTCCATTAGTCCTGTGTGGATGAATACCGGTTGCTGGTTTTGACAAAACCTATTTGAGTCCAGGCTCGAGTTGTAAAGAAAGTGCACCAGGTCACAAATAGGTCGCGATCTATGTTGTGTTCACCCCTCAACTCTTAGTTTAGTATTAGTACTGGTGCTACAGGTTATCTTCATTAGAGTTTCAGCACCATTTTCCGTTTCAGAAAGCCTGTATTGCTATATCAAATCGGCTGAGAGCTTCTGGGATTAGCCAGCGATATCGGACTGTATAGGCAGGTTCGTATTTGTAACAAACACGTGTTCCTGAGTGAGGTCTAAATTAAGATCACGCCTTTCACTTATAATGTACACGTTTATATTCTTGTCTTTGAGCCACATGTTTTTTGTGGTCATTACCACGAAGTAGTTGCCGGAATCGAAGATGGGGTGGTGTTCGTCCTTTTATTCTAGTAGTTGTAAGATATACTGTAACTAGCAAAGCGCTTATATGTGCAAAGTTGGGCAGAAATAGGATTATACAGAGTGAGCTTGTTTATAACATGTTAGTAGAAGAATGGGCCCCCAAATGCCCTGGTATGGCCGAGAGTGGGGGGGGACCGCTCCCCCTCTCGAAATGCTCTCACATGGCCACGCGTATACAGCCCCTGCCAGGGAAGTCCTACTCACTGCCTTCTCACAACACGGGTGTTGTTTACGAAAATGAGAGGACGAAAAGCGAATGTCCGGCGCTATAACCGGATCCCAAACCAATGGTGCACATGGACTCCAGTATCCTGAAGGAACAAATGGCGTATGAACCAATCGTTGGTCACCGGCTACCATGGGACTACATCTCCTCACGATGCTCCACTGCCTTGTGGATCAGATCTTCAGGTCAAAGGCTAGGGGTGTGGTCCCCTAAGACAACCATCTGCTTCGGTTTAGGCACCCGAGCAGTATCACAGCCCTCACACATATCCAATGAGATCTGTGTGGCGCATATTTATTTGGTGCCTTCTTGTACCGATATCTATGTGTTAAAATAAAAAATAATTAAAGTAGAAGAATGGAGATGAGAGTGATTAATCAGATTCTCGATTCTGTATTTTCATGGTCTGCGTAAAAGCTGTAGTATTCGTAGCCTCAGTTGTTGTTAAATGAATACTTGAGTGTCTAATATGCAAGATAATGAAGCGAAGTCAGACGTGTTATAAGTCAGCAGTTAATAATGGCCTTTCTATTAATCTTCTAGAGTGTATACGTACTACTAATTTGAAGAAAAGCACAGTGATTGGCGGATTTCTTTATGAGGTGAGATTCCGATTTCCCACAACAGACCATGATAACACATTTGCCTTACCAGCTGCGGAAAAGCACGTAGCACAATTATGAATTATTTGCAAACAACACAAAATATCAGTAGCACTGAGTTAACACTATGCTGCATATATAGGTTGTATTGGATTAGCTGTAAACCTAGGTAGGAGTTGGACAGAAATACAGTGATATCTAGTTTAACTTAGACTAGGAGAGCTTTAGTAATTCTTCGAGTAATCCGTCATATTACATGAAGTTTTTGGTCTCAGTTTCCTAGCGAGCCTTATAGATGAGGTTTAAAGAATGCTAATAATTGACGATGTTAAGTAATGACTAAAAACCGATTGATCTAAATGTTAAACATTCTATCACATTACTTGGATGTGACTTGTATATTTGACACCGTCGGATACTGGCTCAATGATCGCGATACTGAAATCTCTGGATTTGAGTCCCATGTGCAGGATAGTAGATGCGACTCCAGTACCAGGACGAAACGGCCGGTCAGTGCTTCAGATTTTCGATGGTGGCTTAACATTGATTAGCTCATGATCTTAATGAAGTGCAACAACTTCCACTACTTAATACTGACATACAATTGTTAATGAACCAGTCACGAAGACGTTTGAATCATGCCTTATATGTAACCCCATATTTCAGATAAAACTTGAATTTATGTGTTGAATTGATCAATGGGATCTAAAATTATCACAAAACTAGGAAGATTTGCGTCCGAATATACTGATAAGTTTTTTAATACCGATCCAATAAGCTCTATTGTTGAACACTGGAACCTTCATTCGAAATCTTCACAAAATCACACAAACTGGATAAAAAATTTTGTGTATAGCGGGAGTCTCTCTTCCCACTGTCTCAATTTAAGCCTAGTCTTCGGATTCAAGAGTTTAATCCCTTATTTTATTCCGATCCTGACACCCACCTTATTTTGCAAATTGTTTCCGATGTATGTCTATCTATTCTATATGTGATTTACATCCTTACATTGCCCATTGGATACTACGTAAAGCTGTTTAACATTTAATAAAACTTTCATTATCTTTTCTTCATGGTACAACAATTTCCTATTTTTATTATACAATTTAATAGGTGTAAAATAACTAAAACAATAATTTGTACGAATTCGATAATAATAAATAACATCGTTGAAAGGAGAATTCTTTCTCTCTGAACTATATTCTATTTAATGATGTAATAATCAGTCACTTCCGTAAAGAGATTAGAAAGAAAAGTGAATCTAGTGAAATACCACACCACTACTACTCCTACTACTACCTACTTTTATGATAGTAGTAACACAAAGAAGAAAGAAAAAAAGAAACCCAAAATCACATGTATATTTACTAGCTTATTAATCATTATCATCATCATATGCGAAATATTGAATAAAAACTGTACAATAAAATTAGCTGAAATTCGATGCATCTGGATAGTAATTGCATAATAATAATAATAATTATTATTATTATACTCATAAATTCAGTTTTATCAATGCAAACAAAAAAGGGGGGAAGAATTTTGTTAACAATTAGCATGAATTGGTCATGGTGAGTAATCGATCAAGTTTATTATTGAAGAAGAAAAACAAAACAACACATTTTACAATGAATAAACATTAACAACAATATATCACATCAATACAATACGGTACACATTAAATAGTGAGTGTATGCAAAACAAATACATGATAATTAATTACATAATATTATGAATAATAATGACAATGTTGATGCTGTACTCATTAGTAGAACAGTAGATAGAACAAGGTGACATATATATAAATATTGATTGCATATATTATACAAAGATTTATATGAGTAACAAGAAAATCTTCATTCTTTGCTTCGAATTGAATAAAAGATTTAAATGATGATAAATAAGCCACAACAACAACAACAAAATGCATGAGTTATTGTAAAGTTGTATGAGAACAAAATCAAATGGTTTGTATAGAAGAAGAAGAAGAATGAGAAGTGAGAATAGCAGGAAAAGTGTGTGTGTGTGCATATATGTATGTAGTAATAGTTTGATTAAATTTCTATAAAAGGTATTGGGCGCATAATTTTAATTTTCTTTCGTAAAATATAAAAGAATATAAGCCTAAATAGTCGGACATGTTTAGGGTAGAAGATGATTACGAATGTATAACATATCAGTGCGTAAATATGGTTGAATATAAGTATACAAATCTTGTTCATTGTAAACTTCTTTTTGTTTGATCACAGAATAAGAAGTAATGATTCAAGTCAAATTGTAGAACATGAATAATGGTTATAGGATCTGTACAGTTTCATCAAGAAACAACAACCGAAAACATTTAAGATAAGAGAATTTTTTCCCCATAACAGTAGCGATATTACTAATGATAATAATACGATAATTTATATATATATATATATATATATATATATATATATATATATATATATATATATATATATATATATATATATATATATATCCATTGATAAGCATGTTTCTCTTATATGAAGTAATTTGTATTGCCTACAATTTAAATCATAATTAGAAAGGTTTTCTTTTATTGAATAGTTTTTTGTATACGTTCAATCCATTGCATAGCACTCTCTTGATTGATAGCACCGAGTTTGTATGTTCGATTATTGGTTTCAAGCTATGGAAAAAGAATGTATAGATTGATTGTATTATTATTTGTATTTATGCTGTATCATTATTGAGTAACTAGATTACTATTTATATATAAATTCCATTTATCATAAGCTTTCGATTAACCTATTAACTAAGGTTATATGATTTACTATTCCTAATTTATTGCTATTCGATTACTCACAGACAGCCTGATCGTTATTTTCTATTTTGTGGTGGAATGAGGTCTAATATGTGTAAATATAAAGCACTCTAGCTCAAATATAAATACAGTAGAGGTTGCTTGATGACTCTTTTGAACATAAAGAGAAGATTGTGAATACTAGACTAGTAAAAATTTAGTTCTCAGCTTAAGATCAGTAGTAATAATCGGACGTGTAATTATTCAAGTCGGAAACAATAAGCTATATAGTGAATAGCACACGCAAAATCGACCAAATTAGAATCAAGCTTCTCATTGGTGGCGGTACGTGATTTTGGTCAGCGGGTTTCCAGATATAACAACTATTCAGTAAGCATACAACTATTATTAATATACGAAAATTGTGGAGATTATTGAGTTTTACAAATCGCTCACCTGTTGTTACACACCAATAGCATTAGAAGATTGTTGCGCAATATCCTAGACTGATCAAAGTTAGACATGTAAACCATTGGATACTAACTTAGTAGTATAAAAGTTAACTCCTTTCTATGAGATCTGAATATTTTAAGTTTGATCCTTAGTGTGAGTCCCATTCTAAGACAAAACAACTGTCCCCCAGGGTTTTGTGATTTTCAATGGCTAATTAACTACACTTAGTTATTGATGTGAATCTCTACATTCATCTCCATAAAAACCCCATACTATATTATTGATTAACAAAATTGAACGTTGTAAATACACTTAGGACCTACTACAATACCGAAAATCAATATTAATCAAACAGACAATAACTCACTTCAAATACAACAAATGCAGGTGATTTTCGTTGAATTGCAAAATTTTTAATAATTCTCACTGTTCTAACATCTTGTAAATCAATACAACCACGAGGTGAAGCATTAGCATAACTTTCATAATATTTTAATTGATGCCGATTTGTATCTAAAGCGAATAAACGTTGTTTCCATTGTTGTAAAAATTTACGATGACCTAATTTATATAAATAACCATAATATGATGCTGAAGCTAAATGTTCCGGTAGATGATGTTCAATAGTAGTAGTACCACCACCGGATAGACTATGACCACTTTGTGATTGACAATCAGATGTGTTAGTATGTGCTAATGATGAAGAACTTTCACTTAGTTTACGTTTTCCACGTTTGTCATGTCTAAAACCAAAATTGTTTTATTTAGGAAAAAAAAAGAGAAAATGGGTTATAACAAATAGATGTGAATAGGTTATTGTAAAGTAACAATATAATGGATTTTTCAAGTAAAAAAAAAGGAAAATCAGGAATATTTTAGAAGGTTAGAGGTATGAAATTCTGGAATTTTGGTTTTAAATTAATTGGCACTCAACAATAGTAAGGTGTAGATGGCATCTTCAGGAAATTGGGACTCCCTATAAAATTCGAGTTCACATAACTCAGATGCTTCACAATCTAATATGTTACCACTGACTTCCTGTAGGACTGGAATATTTACAATTGACTTCGTAATCTAATAATCATTCACTGTAGAGTTTTATAATTACCGAAATATATACAATTTTTAGATATAAGCATCATTGGAATAATGCCTATTTTAACTTCATGAGCTTATAAATTTCTCTGTTCAATGGTTTTATCTTTATCCACAGTCTCAACATATGTGTAAGGAGCATTCCTAAATCTTCTTGTGTACAAGTACTTGGTTAAGTACCCAAATGCTGGCAGAAAATATTTTGTTAGAACGATTCGAGACAAACAAGAAGTTAGGTATTAAAGTGTTTAAACTTTGTAATTGGTTTCTTTTTTTGTAAATGCACTAGGGATATCTAGTGCCGAAAGGTAAGGTATTGACGTGTTTTATGTGAGATAAAAATGAGTATAAAATAATAATCGATGTAAAGATAACACTACATAATATTTAAATAAATGTTAAGGATAGAAGCGACCTGTTTGTGGCCTCGTTCTATCATGCCACCAGTAAGTGATCTGATATATTAAAGTTTATTGATTCAAGCAGAACTTATCTGTCTTCAATCTCACATCGGAATAGAAGGAAAAAGTCTATAAATAATCTCTATACCCAGAAAACTCATATGAATATACAAATAAATTACAGGAATATTGTGGTGAATGAAGACTTGTTTAATGCAAAATCACAGTGCATTGGTAAAATATGAAAATTATAAATTAAATACATTATTAGCACGTCTTTTTTGTGTTTTCTTTAACATACTCCATTATTCCTTTGAATCTGTTGTTATTTTGATTGCTATCCGATTTCCTTCCTGTTCTTTTCAAATCGATCTTCTGCTGCCAGGCATTTCACTTCCGATTACGGCTACATACTACTTATATTCGTCAGCATAAGTAGTGCCCCCAAATGCCCTGGTATGGCTGAGAGAGGGGTGGGTCCGCCCTCCCTCTGGAAATGCTCTCATAAGACCACGCATATATAGTCTCTTCCAGGGAAGTCCTACTCACTGCCTTCTCACAACACGGGTGTTGTTTATGAAAATGAGAGGACGAAAAGCGAATGTCCGGCGATTTAACCGGATCCCAAACCAATGGTGCACATGGGTTCCAGTATCTTAAGGGAACAAATGGCGTATGAACCAATCGTTGGTCACCGGCTACCATGGGACTGCATCTCCTTACAGTGCTCCACTGCCTTGTGGATCAGATGTTCAGGTCAAAGGCTAGGGGTGTGGTCCCCTAAGACAACCATCTGCTTCGGTTTAGGCACCCGAGCAGTATCACAGCCCTCACACATATCAAGTGAGGTCTCTGTGGTGCATGTGTATTTGGTGCCCTCTTGTACCAATATTTATGTGTTTAAATAAATAAATAAATGGTGCCCTCAGCATAAGTAGTAAACACCACAGCAAATCATACCATACATAACAAATCACAGCATATACCTAACTAGGAAATTTATAATCTCAATAAAATAGGTTTAGAATGAATTTATCACAATTTTGGAACAGAATAAGAATAAAATAAGGGTGGAAAATAAAAAGAAAATTACAATTAGGGGAATATGAAAATTACATGATTTTTAAATGTAAATTAAAAATCTTTTTTTAAGAAAATACGGATCTCTTTAGAAACAATATAATCTCCAAAATCTATGATTCGCATTTGTTTAGTTCAACCAAACTAATAACTCATACGAAAATATAGAATAAACAATACTTTAAATTCAATTTCTTGGTACGGTCTGGGCACCCGGGCAGTATCACAGCCCGCATATGAATCAAACGACTTGTTTGAAGCATATGTATTCGGTACCTCTTTGTACCAATATTTATATGTTCGAAATAATAATAATAAATTCATTTGACATGAATACATTTTAGACCAAAAGAAATCTATTTTTGTATTGATTATCTCATACTAATTTCATACACATAGTTTCCGTTTATTATCTTAAAGAGAGTAAAAACACTTATTCTGATACAAGTTTATATAAAATAGATGGAGTATGGTCAACAGTGGAATTTAAGACGGACAGTTTGTTTCATTTCGAACTGGTCAGCCGGATGTAAATGCATCTCATAGTCTATATTCACTCCGGGATTCGAATCCAGTACCTTTTGTTTCGAACGGCCACCTCTGTCATATCCTAGCGAATCTTCTGGGAATTACTTATGGACTAATATATATATATATATATATATATATATATATATATATATATATATATATATATATATATATATATATATATATATATATATATATATATATAGTTATTTTATAACTATTGAGTTACTGGATTAAGCTATAGACCATTATGATACGATTTACTACTACTCAGTTTATTAATTACTGTCTCCAACAATCACAGCCATTTTTCGGCTTGATCTTGTACAAATTTTATTTCCTATTTTATGATGAGATGTGGCCCGTTTGGCTTGTATATAAACCGGGTATTTTCGAAACAAATGATTCATACAGTGGAAGCTGGAATTGATGTTCTGAACTCAACTAGTAGGGCTTTGAGGAAAAAGGGCCAATAAGAATGCTAAGCTGCTCATAGCAGTAGATACTTCATTGGTTTGGCACAGTGTTAAGATTTTATAAGTCGTATTCCGATTGGCGGATAATTCACGTAATAATTAACCATGCTAAAAGCCACAACAAACTCGTTATCATAATTAAGTCAAAATGTCAACGGCGAAATACTCCGAACCATTATAAACTAAACAAAAAAATTCATACCTGTTGCACAAGTTGGTGGTTATCTGAATTCGGTAACTAAGTGGATAAAGGTTTGGGTGTTTCAAGCGAAAGGTACTAAGTTCGAAACTCAGAGTGAACACCAAACTTGCAATGTAGGTGTATCAGGTTGACGAATCCGAAGTAGGACGAAACGCGCGTCCTGGATTCCATTAATAACTATAAACTATATATTCTATATAAATTAATACTTGGTCATAGTTAATTTTACGACTAATCAAGGTGTAAAATCACTTTTCATCACAATACTGATTGCTTACATTAAAACTAAAGAAGATCTGAATGGTTGATCTCGTTCAGTACGCCAGGGTAAAGTTGAATTGAACAAACTACCACCAGCACCAGGTACACCAAAAGTTAAAGAAGATTTTTCTGTATCATTAGACTGCTTTAATTTTCCATTGTCTACTTCATTTGGAAGATATGCAGAACCATGTCTTTTCAGTAAATTCCCTGTTTTATTTATTTGATTCAAAGTATTGGTTACAGATGAATGAAAACATTTCGAATTTATAGATGACGAGCATTTTGTATGACACAATAGATCACATTCAATACATTTAACAATATCATCTGATGATTGACAAATGTTCCGGCATAATTCACATTGTACATTTGTATTGTTAGTTATTCGAGATGAAGTAAATTTATGCAGATGATGCTGAAGCTAGAAGAAAAAATCAACAATGTTAATAAAGACTGATCAAAGAAACAAATGGATAAACAATAACAAATGAATATTGTAATGAAACGTAGATTCTTTAAGAAAGATATATCTTAGGAACAGTTTTTTGATTAACAATTAGTGATCTAACTAGGAATATTGGAAATTTCGCATAGCTTGCTATAAGAGTGCATGAACTGAGTTCATCAAATGTAACATACTTATGATAAACAAATGGAATAAAACATACTTCAGAGCATGGACGAATAATACACAATGAGGGTGAAACAAACTAGATTTCCTTTTATAATGTAAATAAACAAAGGGTTGCAGTGATCTGATCATGTTGTTCGTAACAAACGCAAGATCAAGTTCCAATGTTTAATAAGAACTGTTTTTAATATACATAGTCAACAACTAATCTGTACAAATTTTAACTGTAATCACCTTGTTATTTCATAAATTTACCCATGAATCCTTAATTCTATAGCACACATTTTTCGATGAGACGAAGAATTAGAGAAAAACAAACACAATCTAACTTACTTCATCTTGTACAGGGGCGTTGATATCGAATCCATCAATTCTAGCTGTATCATGTAATATGGTACTGCCAAGACCACCGCCAGTACCAGTAAGGCTATTTACACTATCTGATTCATATTCAATCGTCAGATCTCGATATCCAGTACTTAAATCAGTATCCAATGATGAGTAATCAGGTATCAATTGATGGTGACTTTGACCATTTGATGACAGCCCTACATTACTCTCAACACCAATATTACCACCGATGCCAATTCCACCTGCAGTACGACGAGTTAAACGCTTCAAAGTAGTTGTTCGGTGATATTCTAGTATAGCATGACGTGTAAAATGATAATCATCTAGTGAGGATTCACCAACTGAATCATATCGATCACCATAAATATAATCATTATCTTCATGAAATGCTTCATCTTCTGAAGTTTGTTCAGATTTCGGTATGTTATCACCATTATAATTTGTTTTTAAAACACTGAGATTACTATCAGTAGTATTGTTAGTAGTACGTGGATGTTTCGTTTCAATTCCATTTATTGTTCGACCATCATTGGATTTTAACATTTCTCTAGTTTTTGAATGATTAAAATCTTGTATTGTTCGTACTGTTATAGTTGTATTATTTGTAGATGGTGGGTTCATGTCAGTACTCAGTTGACTTTCAGGATTATCTTTCATGGTAGGATCTTTAACAATAACGACATGTGATTGAGTTGTTTCATTTGAATGTTGTTCAGATACTGGGATCGAACTGGTAGTAATCATTTCGGGGCAATTTACAAATGTACTATCCAAATCAATACTAGCACTACTTTCTCCATGTGGTGTTAATGTTTGAGTTAATTCATTGGTTAGCGGATAAGTTGTTGATGAAGATGTAGTGGTCAAGGATGAAAGCAATACATTATTCGTTTGATTAGTATCTAATAAACCACTAGATACAGCACGTCGTCTAGACATTGAAAAATCAGATGTGACCAATTTATTATGTGATAAACTCTCAATTGGTTCACTGCTTTCTCTATATGGTGTACAACGTGATGGTAATTGATCGGAATGATGAACTATTTTAACATGAGTGTTTATTTTGCTATCAGTATTACTACTACTTATAGTATTAGTAGTAGTAGTAGTGGTAGAAGTAGAAGTATCTACAACAGATCGTGGAATATTCGAAGTTGACTGAATATTTACAGTTGATTTATTATGTTTTGTTGTTAAATGTTTATGTGGATTTGATGGATATAAGTTAAGCAGTTCAGATTGTGCTTGTTCCCATGCTTCTTGCCAACCAACAGCTTCTTCTCCTTCACGTAATCCTAAAACAGCATATGTTTGCTCCTTAAGTATAGAAAAGAAGGGAAGAGAGAAAGAAATATTTACCAGTTATCATTTTAACCTGCTATGAAAGCTGTTACAGTCTGACTGTGATACCAAAAATAGTTATTGATAGAAACTTGTAGTAATATACTTGTGGTAATAAAAACTACGAAATACTGATTATATGAATTCTTCCAAGTTGCCAAGCGATAATGTTTTAAGCCTCTTATGTTTTTGTCTTATTAGGTAATCCATGTATAATTACATGTCATATAAATTCAAGTTACTGAATGTGCAAAATAACCAAAAACGAATGACTTAAGAAATTGAAAATAACTGTGATTAATCATACAAGAAGACAACTGTTATACTTCGGCGTTCAAAATAAATAAACAGTTTAAAGTGAATAAACTGTACAAACAGTTAAACAGTTGATCGATCACCGACTGGCTAGTGACTAGTGTTATGTTTGTCTAGTTCTTCTTAGTGTTAAATAAATTATGTTGATTAAGCCGCAATGTGGACACAAGTCTAAATGACTCAACACAGCACACAATATGCTCAAATTATAGGTATCCAAAAATAATCAATTGACAACCCTGGATTTAAGCTTTATACCAGTTGACACTCGTCAACAAGGTATACTTGTAATGTTAACGGGAGTGGTGTCAATCGTGGGATCAGGATACGCGTCGCTAAATTTCACAATTTAAGATACTACCATTTAATTACTCGAGCATCGTTTCTCTCAAGATTGCAGGAACACTACACTGAAGAGTGCTAAACAAACGTGAAATTTAGCTATAAAGTTCGAATAAAATTAAGACAACTGTGATGTACGTTTATTATTTACATTCATCCTCTCCTTAATGAACAATTTTCCACAGTTCCCCACACTTTCTACTCCTTTAACCTGTCTTACAGTAATATCAATACCTTTAAGAATGATATATGTGGTTACCATTGCTGTTAAAAATAAAAGTCAATAATCTATACAGCGATTACTGTTTTAATAACAATGAGCCCTAGCATTTGTGTAATTACTAGTTCAGATTCAATTTCTAACGTGGTTACAAGGAGAGATAATTGATTTCTCAGCATAGTACATCTTTATATAGATACATTTGCAGGAAGAAAAGTATGTACTTAAACTGATGAAGCAGCTATTTAGTTAACACTATATTTCTAATATTGATGATCATACCCACGAAATATATCGTTGAAGGATAAGAGACAAAATGCTATAATCGTTTTAATGTTAGTCATAAAATTTCTCTTCAAATATCTACAATCCCCTAACAATTAAATACGTTCACAAACACGCAAGCATAAAGCCCTTTGAGTACGGTTTATGTAACTAGCTACACAGGAGTAGTTGAATTGGTATACAAACATGGAGGAGCCCATCCTCGGTAACCTATCCTTGATTTATTGTGTAAGTACTGGTTTAGTTGAGAACATGTATCAACATGGTTTGGAAAAGGATTTACTAAACCAATTAACAGCACCATTTTTTCTCACTTGGTAGATACTGAACATCAAATCAAATACATATTAACCAAGAGTACCACACACAAACAACACACCGATTCAATTGGTCTAGTCAATATAGGAACTTTCATAGACGAAATTCCTATTCAATAATTAATTCCTTATTTCATATTATTTAAATAGTAGAAGGAAATTGTTATATCTGGATGAAAAATAAATAAATGGGAACCGCCAGGAATTATATATGGACCGTTATTATTTGGATATATATATATTCCTATTGTATAACTACTAAGTAACTATATTATATGTATATTCATATTCCTTTGATTATAAGTTTCCACTTAACCTACTAACTATTATTATATGATTTACTGTTCATAAGATATTCCCAATTCATTAGTAATAGTCTCTCACAATAACAGCCACTTTTTGACTTGATCTTGTATAATTGTTATTTTCTATTTATGGTATGATGAGGTCTGGTTTGTTTGTATATAAACCCAGTACATCTGAAATATATGATTCGTATAACGGAGACCGATATTAGCGTTCTGGACTAAACCGGTTGGGTTAAGAAAGAAGCTACTATTACAGGGGACCAATAAGAAATCTAGACTGCTCGTACAGATTAGTGACTCATTAGACAAGTCGTATAAGTCGGTGTCTTTAATTGGCGGCCGTCTCATGTGATATAAATAATCGGGCATAAGGACATAATAGAAATAATAAATAATTGGCAAACATTTAATAGAATAACAATAATAATAATAATTCATAACTAACAATATGACTATTGTTAAATCCTTGTCGTAAAACCGGTTCATATGGACGATTAGTATTTTTACGATAACTAGGTGAGAAATGATCTAAATCATAGATTGAACCACAAGCCAAATCTTCAGTTAAATAAAATTTCCATAAATCAAATGAAGCTAAATATGTTGCTGGTCTAAGGACCTGTTATGTATTATGTAAAGAAGAAAAACGAGAAAAACATTAATGAATAAAACAAAAAAAAAGTGAAAACAATCCAATAACATACTAATGGTTAAATTTGAATTGCTCAATCTTTTTAAAATATTGAGTATAGAGGGAAACGAGAAAAATTTTTAATTGTTCTGTTGATATATTTGCTATTGAAATGTTTAATACTGAATTTTAACAGCTTTCTACTTCTATCTCTTTTCATCATTTCAACAACTTTCGAACGAAAAACAAAAGGTGGGAAGTATGAGAAGAAACTTTACTTCTAAAGCTTATTTACTTACAGAAAACATGGATATGTTTTTATATTAATGAATGACCGTAATATTCTGAAAATAGGTTAGAATTAGTAATAAAAAAAGTTTATAACTGTCTAATCAGGACATGACATATTATTCCCCGTTTGCATAGAAGTGATATAGGAAATCTCTATCAAATATTGACTGGATAAAATGTTCTCAACATTTCTCCAGTTGCTGAAGACTTCTCTGTGGGAATTTTCAGTGTTTTAGAAAGCAATATAAGTAGGAAATTCAGTTTTAGGTAAAATTACAGAAGAGTATTACATAATATATATGTTGTTGTTGTTGTGTATTTATTAAATATATGACTCTCAAATTTTTTTCTTTATTACCCTAGTTGCAAGTTTTCATTAAACTCACTAACTGTTGATAATATCCTTCAGAGATTAAATATTACTGTTAATGAATTTTACACATAACACCATTCAAAGTTTTTAAGTCATAATGTACACGGAATTATTGATTGGATGTTCTCGTATTCCAATTGAACAAATGGTGAACAGAATGAGTTCATGTGGGCCAAACAAGATCAATATACTTATGGAGCACAACAGTTTAAGATGAGGCTCGTTAGCATAATAGATAGAAAGCGAATTACTCATTGATAGATTCCAAAATTCAGTGATTTCATTATTCAGGTACATAAAAGTTAAATTCATAACAGTAAGCCCACACGAAAATGAACTCATGATGTATTTGGATAAGAGGGTAAGTGAAGTTTTTAAAAAGACTTCAGTTTCATGACTATAACATTGGATCTATATATCTGTAATAGGAATGGCCATATAACTAGTGGTTGAACTCTATTTATCAACAGGATAAACAAGTATCATTCAGAAATCACTATACATATAGTGATCTTTTAATATTGGTGTTTTTGAGATTGACAAAGCTCAATTACGCATTAGAATATCCTAAGTGCTGTGCTCTCTGAGCTCATAAATCTTTAATCTGAACTAAAAATTGATAAGTCTACTACTGGATACTTAATACTGAATTTTTAGTCGCTTCCGTCTACTCATACACTTTGAACAACAGAGAAAAGATGCGAAGCGAAAGTAAGGGCTTGGCTCTAAGGTTATTTATGTACAGACTATTTATAGAGTTCCATGTGGCCGTGATCTTCAAAACTTTCTGGAAATACACTAGATTCAACGATAGTATAATTACATATCCAATCGAAAGCGTAATCCCTAATTTTCTAAATGTTTCATGAACAGTCTCCGTTGAACACAGATTGGATAAAACATTTCCCACAGTTCATTCAAGTTCTAAAGACTTTGATAAAGGAATCAAAAGTTTATTTTTTAGACCATCCAATACAAATCCTTACAACCAACCTATGAGAATTAAACATATAATTGAAACGGGGTAAAAAAAAAATTAATATTAATACAGCTTTTAAAACGTTGTATAGAAATTGTCAAGGACGAATTCTCAGGTTTATTGAAACCTTGGCTATTCGTAATGTTTAAAGATCCCCGTCATATTAAAAGACTAGTATTTGAACGAAGAATATTCTTTTCGATAAATTCCCTTCAGGTTCTACAATTATATATCCAAATTAATAATCCGAAAAATGGCCAGGTTAAGGGTAAAGTACATCGTTTAAATCATGTGAATTTAGGATTGTGATAAACAAAATACAATAAAATTGTTATTGTTGATATGACTCAGATAGAATGGTAACTTGAATCTGCGTATATGTTAAATGACATTTTAAGATCCGTGATCAGAATAAATATGGGTCAAGTAGGGTGAGAGAGAAAAATAATAGTGCAATCACCATTCGTAATGTGTACAAAAACAATTTATCGTAACCTTAAATTTACCCTGGTAATCCCTAAGTCATTCTATGGCTTAGGATAACGCGATAATTTCCTATTCTTTCTAAACGATGGAAAATTGTTTCACTCCCCTTTGTTACCTTTTTCATTTGAACTTTCATTTAATTGACCTTTATTAATTTTCATATAAAATACCCTGACAAGGATATGTGTAACAAGATTGTTCAAAATGTATAGCACAAATACATCACATTTTTCAGATCAACTCCATCTTCTCATTGTTCTATCGAAATTTATAATAGGGATTAATTGCTTTAAACTTCTTTTTTTTCAAGTTCAAATCATTATACAATAAATCTATATAAATAATAATGACTAAACTAACTTAATAAAATATAATATTAATAGTTGAGATCATGAGTCAATGGAAACTAGACTACCATGGAAAACCTGGAAGCACTGAACAGTTGTTTCGTCCTACTATTGGACTCGTCATTAGTTCACATTCACGATCCTACCTCGAGAGATTCCAACCCAAGACCTATCAACCTCGTTTGCGCGAACGCTTAACCAACTAAACCACTGAGTCTTACGGTATTCCACTAATCCATGATATTGACCAACACATCCACCATTATCATCAATGAATTACTATCTCACAACAAATCCGTTTAAACCCCACTTAGTCACTACTTCTCACTAGAACTCCAAGAAATACCTCTTGAAATCAGTCAATAATGAGTATATGTTGATTAGTATCAGAATGTATTCGATTCTCACAAGGTGGGGGATCATAGATCCACATTGTTGAGGAGTTGCATAATAGGACGAAACAATCGTCCAATGCTTCCAGATTTTCCATAATGATTTAGTTTTCATTGACTCATAATAAATATAAAATTATAATTTATAATTTAGAGAGAAAAAAAATAAGTATATTACCTTTTCACTAAGTGTAAGTGAATAATGAAAATTAAAAAATATAGGCCATTCATAATGTTGTTGTTGAATAAATGGCCATATAGAATGTGAATAATATAATTCTAATAAATGTTCATCTATATTTGATATAATACTTGTACCATATTTATAATTATTTATTAAACTATCAATTAATTTAGGAAACCATATTGTAAATCTATCTAATTCTGTATCATATTTAAAATTATGAAAACGATTTGATATATAATGATATGCAATAAATTGTAAATAATAATCATTAAATTCAAATGATAATGGAAATTGTTTTAATAATTGATGTACAGCATCTAAAAATTGTAAAAATATTGGTGAAAAATGATTTGTTTTATTAAATATTGTTTGATTTGAATTCAAATTAAATGTATGCCCAAATATTAACCATTCTTTATCAATTAAACTCCAAAAACCATAAATTGTACGATAATATGGATCAAGCATAATTTGTACTAATGATACAGTCTAAATAATAATAATAAAACAAAAAACAAAAAAAAAACGAAAGTAGTGAGATTAAAGAAAAATAATCAAGAGATATATTATTATTATTATTATTATTACTATTATTATTATTTGTTGAACATATAGATATTGGAACCAGGAGGCTTTAAAGAGATATGCACCACACAAATCTCATTTGACTGTCAGATTGAGTCGTATAGTTAGGAGTAGAATAATTTGTTGAGGTCCACATAATTATCACAACCAAGTGATTAAAGATGTCGGTAGGAATAGCTCAGAATTCGTCGTAGTAGTATAGATACATTCACTGTTTGCCTGAGACCTAAAGCTTTTAAGTTTATTTTCAACCGTTTATTTCACAGTCATCTTTTCTTGAATAATATCTTTTGTCTAATGTTTCCTACCACCACTGATATTTTGTTACTTTTAACATTATGGAACATGACTTGATAAAATCATATCGCTTTGTTGATAACAGGTGTAGTAGTTTGTATTTCCAGTAGAACGACGAATCAATAGTTTACAGGAAAACGGGATAAAATTGCTGAGATAGGTAGTAACTAGTAACTGTGAAACGTAAATCTATAGATATTGATGACTATTTCAACAGTGTAAGATTTTATGCGATACAAATTAGCACCGGATCATTTAGTACTACTTGATAAATAGAATATAATTATAACAATACGAAAGAGTAACCAAGGCATCTATTAATTGCACGTAAACTCATTTTACAATAAACAGACTCGTCAACTTCAATTTGGTAATTTCAATACTGAATAAAGGCAGTTGCATTAAAAATGTAGTCGGATAATCCGCGAATTTTTCAGCTTCAACCATGATGAAACAAACATTACAGGAACTGTGACGTAAACTATTTACCTTGTCATAGGTGCTTAAATATCGGTACTTAATGCATTAGTGCTAACAGTACTAGACTGTATTGATCCCAGGTCTTTTCCGTTATACTACCTCTCTCTGCATATGTAACAAGAGGTAGAAATCACTCGTATTCAAGATGATGCTTCATAAAATACTAACATCTGTATTACAGACTGTCACATAAAATACCATATAAGTGATAAAAATTCTAGGATGTTTTAGAAACGTTAAAAGGTTAGGTTAACCTTACACGACACTATAACGAAATCCACTAGCCGATAGCCCCAAAGTGGATAACAAGGGATATTTGTGTCTTAACCATCGAGTAAATAAAAATCAATGTAAAATCCGTAAATCAAACTAGCTACTACACCATATTCAAATGTGTATTTTCGACAAAATACATTAGGAATTTATGAACTTATGATTATGGGTTGTTTGTGAAACGAAATGATCATTCTATCATTTCTACGATTACTGGCTATAACTTTTTTTGGTGTATCAAATATTCAGAAGATGAGGTTTACCAAACAAAACGAATCACCAGTCTACATACATGGGTTGCATCGAACTACAAAGAAACAAACTAAGTCAATGTACATCGAATTTAAAAAATAACTCACTTGTGCAACAACATCACTGCCATTTTCTAAACATAATGCTACACTAGCACCTTGTAAATCTAACAAATCTACCACTGTTCCAGCTAATTCCAATAATGATTTCAATTGTAAAAACCAACCATTCTCATGTGCTTCAGTGAAAACATTCATATATTTAGAATTATTTGCTTCTGGTATAGTAGATGTTGTAATATTTTCCGTCTCTATAGTTTCACCTGCATTAACATTACTATTACTAGTATTATCATGAAAAGAATAAGGTTCATTTTGATGACGTATGAAATGACCGCCTAGTGTTGCATTAATTCCACGATGATGATGACTATTATTACCAATATTATTATTAGTAGTAGTAGTATGATCAAATGAAACACCAGTAGCTGTAGACGCTGCTGCAGATAAAAGTTTTGTAGCTGTTTTCGATCGATTCGAATCATTTGGAAGGCAAGCTTTAAAAAATCCTTTAAAAGATTTAGTCACTGTTGCTGTAGTTGGATAGTCAATTGGTGATAAAAGAACAGATGATGAATTAAATATTTTTGACATCTATCAAAAATTAAGAAAAAAATGTAAATATTAGTAAGAGGCTGTTGCGGAGATAATTGAATTTGAGTTGAAATCACCAGGCGCTCTTGGTCAGACTAGTGTGTGTGGTTTTCTTGTTTGTTGGGAATTTGAATGCACTGTACAGTTGTTTCGTTCTAGTATGAAACTCTTCAGGAATTAATGGTTGTCTAATTTTAGATCGATTCGTGATTTCAATAAAACTCATATATTTCATACATTACTACTGACGAATTGAATATAATCAGTAAAGATTTGTTTATTTTCCATTATATAAATCAAGATAATAATTATATGTTTACATAATCTCAATAAGTGAATAATAATTAAATGTTTCGAAATACTCTAAACAATTCAAGTGTGTGTGTATGTTTAAAAACATTTTAACGTTGAATGGAGTATAGCGTTCTTTTTTTGTTATGTAATCATTAAACATTGAATAGAGTGCTATATACAATTAATAAAGTATATATTTTTTTCCTAAGTACAAGTGGTGTCATATCGAGTGGTTAACATAGATACACATGTACTACCGAGAGACTTATATATTATAGCTTAAACAAGCTAACATACATCATATACTATTGACAATTAATTCATATACATGATTTAGTCAATATCTACTTACGTTGAATGAATAAACTATGGTAAAATCTCATTTGTTTTAAAAAAAAGTGGAATTCATAAATCTAACAATTGGAATAGCAACAGATCTATAATAACTGATTGATTAACCAATAAAAATTCTAATTACTGGGAATCGGAAACGGATTAAGATCTGACTCAGACCCGCTTGAGCTATCCCACAGATGGTGGGAACTTTATTTCATGAGCAAATATGAGATGCTAGAAGGGGACAAGACTAGTTCCCCACTTTATTGTAAATATTGGGATAGCTGAAAGGGACATGTAGCAAAGATAAATGTGTAATGCAGAACTGTAAAAACAGTTTATTCATTTTGGTCACTAACTGGATTATCTAAAGGAATGCCCATTAGATCTGGCCTCAACTGGAGCGATGATCATAAACTATATTATAGCCAGTGCACGGAGGTAATGGTATGAGCATGAAGGAGCTGGTTGTCAGTAATGATTTGAAACGAAGTACATCATTTATTCCACAGTACTACCGGGCCCCAGACCGATGCAAAAAGTCAAATCACATCCAAACTTATGTGTACACAATGGAGTATATAGGCATTGATCTATGCATTTTATGTTTGAATGTAACGTATATTTGCGACCAAAAGCATTTATGCCTGCGTGTGTGCATAACCTTCTGACTTGTGCATTCTATACATTCATATAAGGCATACTTACAATGCTAGGTCTTCAATAATGTTGAAGCTTAGATCGACTCGTGATTTCAACCGAGTAAATCTTATAGTCTCCACAAATACTATATACTAAGATTATTATTTTTATTAAAAACCATAAAATTTCTATCGATAACACATCGTTTTCACAAACACTGACCTTTGTCATTTGCTTTTCACATAAAACGTATAAACATATTGGTTTTTGTGAATTGGATATACCACTACTACTACCAGGATAACTTGACTCATGTATTGACTGACGTGCATGATGCTGATTAGTTTGTGATGCACTATCCATACTAAGTAAATCTTCATCTAATCCAGATGCTACACTACCCATAGGTGAAACACCAGAACGTGTTAAACGATTACGACGCGCAGCAAATTTTCCAATTCTTCCTAAAGCTGAAACAAGAAAATAATAATCAACAAAAGAACATTAACATATACACATGTACAAGGATAGAAAGAAAAATCTGTTTAAATAAAATTCCGCAAAACCAATAATGCGAAAACAGATGAGAGAAAAACAAAGATGCTACTGTAAATTTCCTGATCAGAATAATATTAATTTGCAGAAAAGCAAATTTCTTGATGAGGTTGTATTGGATCTCGTTTGACAAGATGGGTTGTATTATCTCTCGTTATCGATTAGTCCACCTATATGCCAGGAGAACTGGTCATCTTTAATTTGCAAAATGACCCATCGATCAATAAACAATAAGTAGGAAATAAATGTTTATTAGTCATCGAGCTTCTTCTAACCCCAGTATTTAATCAGAAAACAAAGACAAAAACCAGACAAAGTCCCCATTGCATACTATTCAATCACGACTCAAAACTCACACAAATAATATACCTGCAATGTCTGGCTACGTAGAGACACAATCGAACAAGTAAAATATGTACATAACTTGGTCATAAGTAATACAAACTCAGAGTAATAGAGACATAATTATTTGTTCAATTTTCGATACTCTTTAATAACTCACATTGTACGAAATAAATATTATATTTAAAATTGATTAATTACTGAATACTGACTAATGTTATTTTTTTCTACTCCTTGATACTGACCGAGTTCTATCAATCAAGTTGTAATGTGGCCACTAGTTTAATTGACTCGACATTTCAGCACAGCTCATGCGATGGCCATGTTACAAAATGGTTGATAGAATTTGGTCAGCACTAAGGAGTACAAAAAGATAGCGTATATTTATTTGGTGCCCCCTTGTACTAATGTTTGCATATAATTAAAGAAATAAGATTCCGTGCATCATATTACTGAATTAATATATACACGAACCCATATAAACAGACTTTCAAGATGGTGACTGAAGACAAACAATAAATTCACTGTTAAAAATGATTAATTTCACTAACAACTCGTAAAACATGATTGAATGTTTCAGAAAAAAACCATATTTCACAACTTGTTACATTTCTCAAAGTCTCTTTCAAACAAACGTTTTAATGATAAACGAGATACTGTAAAATCATTATCAATCAATTCAAAGTAGTGAGTACACCAATAATGGGAATCACAGTAAATTCTTAACTCAATAAAACAACTTGACTTTCGTTAGATCCATTAAATAATTATCTGCGATAAAATTTAACAGGATAATCAATTGACCAATAATATCAAGGGATTGAAATAATCAAATCAATGCATAAATAGTTTAGTTCACATAGAATAACTGACATGCATACTAAATTTTTTAATAATGAGAAACGGATTATTAAGAAGTAATTTCCGGTAAAATAAAAAGTTAAGAGATCTCATGTCCTTTGAATCATTTTACTACAAACATTTAATGATTAGATTCTGTATGCTAACTTTAAGTGCGCCTACTATAATTTAAGTAATTCAACATCACGTGAAATACGTTGGGATCAGGACTTAAGGACTATATACAAAGAAAATATAGGTCATTACTCAGTGATCAATTATCTCGATCTTTTAGGTGATTAGTCGCAGTTTGAATAGAAACGTGAGAATGTCTCAGATTATACAGTTGAGTGACAAAGGTATGAATTTCATAGGGAGCTTTAATTCTCTGAAGATTACAATTTATAGTCAGTCAGTAACAACCTAGAACTCCGTACGCACGGACATCAGTTCGAGTTGTCATACAACATTAGCACAGAGATACAGTTGTCGATTCAAATACCGAAAGATTAGGGTTTGAAAATGTTATTCAAGGAGTATAATCCAGTGAAATAAATTTGGAAAGAGGAAAAAAAGGGACATGAAGAATTCAGAAGATTAGAATTCGGGAGAACACAAAGAGTGGATGCACCTGCGCCATTGCAAACGATTTTGAGCCATGTCATTTAAGATCTCTAATCATCGGTCGCTATCGTCTCGTGGACCCCAACCAGGTAGTCTACACCTATCAGCATGGCTCAGTCCGTAGCTTGCTAACAAGCACCAAAAAGAGTTCTTTATTGACTACCTCCAACTACATCATATCTCAAAATAGTTTATAAACTATATTGTAAGCTAACTAATTAATAATGTTCGAATATGTTATTGGGAGTGGAAATATCCTCGCGATTATTGAAAGCATTATATCCTATTTTTTACTATTTCATAAGTAAATAATTCTACCTCACATGAAATGCTAATAAAGTAATTTGTGACAGAAAGATAATCTAATAATGTACATGATTCTTTATTGAACAAATAATGATTGAACTGAAAATTACGATAAGTCTATTCTAAAGTAGTTACTGTTTGAATCATTGAACAGTTTGTGGGAAATAGTAGGTACGGTGAAGTTCAAATTTTGTAATAAACACATTCTTCTAACATACACATATTTTGATTACTAGTAAACTTCACATTATCAACAAGTGAAGTGCTTAATATTATTTGATATTAAATACTGAAGGAGTACTGAAGAGAATGAGAGTTTCATCTGCTAAGCCAAACAGCTATTGAGGCGGCAAGTACTCATTTTCTATATCTGGTTTCCTCGTGAATTCCCAATAAGATAATAATGCAACCGTAAACCATCTAACTGTTATGACTCGTAACCTATGTAAGTGTCTGGTCATCACTATAAGTCGATAGATCTCAATCAAACACTCCAACAGCAGCATTCATACAAGTACCCAAATATAAGAAATTTTTAACTAATTCTAACAACTAATTGCAAAGAGTAAGTATCAGAACCAGTTCTTGTTAGTCTTTTAAACATAAATGAACTGATACATGACCAGTAAGTTTCAAAACATAAAAAACTAAGTTTTACCGTGAAATTTAACACTGAACAATAAAATCTACATGTTGACTTATATATTAATAAACAAACTACAAGTCTACTTTGAAGTAAGCAAATATAAAAATAATGAACTATTAAGGTTAAAAGTAACAAAACGTAATAACCGATGGAGAAGCTACAAAAAAAAAGACACACATACATACACGCACAAATAACAGTAAATAAAATGAAGCATAATAACACAAAATTTACAACAGATAATCATAACGTAAACACTAACAATAATAAACGTAAATATAAGCAAAATAATTGGCAACATAACGACGACAACAACAACAACAAAAGAACCAAGAATTCAATAGATAAACATGTATAACATCGTCAATTAACTCAGAACAATTTGACGAAAGGTATTATTATTAACTAGTTGGAAAAAAAACAACTATTACAACAATGTAAATATGAGAAAGAGCAGCACATAAATTGAAAAAGCATTAAAAGAAAAGCAAACAAATACAAACAGACACGCACGCACACACTCTCTCACACACACATAAAATACAAATATAAATCAAATCCAGTATGAAGTTTAATATAATTCATAAAATTAATGAAATAAATAGATAAGAAACAAATCACTTTCTTTTACACCCAATTATTCTAAATTCTTCGAATAAGAAGATGTTCTAAATGAGGGAATACGGCTAAGAGATGTATAAAAAATAGACAAATACAATCATAGATTGGTTTGCCTATGAACATATTTTACAAATAAATTACACTCAAATAAGAATCACTGTAAAATATATTCATATAGCTTGCTTAAATGAATGAAGAAATCTCTGTATGTATTTATAAGAAAAGTATTTTAAAACTCATCAAAAAGATCTTACCATCACGAACTGAAACAAATAGAAGAGAAAAGAAGCAAGAAATATATGGTTAGGCTAAAAGTATGCCGGCTGGAATTCAGACAACACAACTACGATTAAATGTTATGATATTTATGTATTATTAAATAAGTTGGTGTTATTTTGTAAGAGTAATGAAAACTTTATGACTTATTTGGTCGATAAAAACCGGTCAGTTGACATTGGCTTAAGATCAGTTGTACAGTTATGTATCCAGCTTTGAATAGTATTTGATATATAAAATCAATATGAACATATGCTTCATATTTTCCACATTATCTCTTTCGTTACATGGTTTTAAGTAAAGTTAGTTTAAGCAGATACATATTTGTGTCAACTCAATCACAATTAACATACATTAGATATCAATGAGAAAACATAAACCATAAATCTGATATTGCAATGAAAAAATGTAATAAAGTGGTTCACAAACAGACTTAGCTAGCCAGGATTGGTTGATGAGTGAAACTTCTAACTGCAACACATGAATACAAGGATTAAACATTAAGCAAGATAGTGATACAAGTGTCCATGATAATAAAAATTTAAAAACGGGCTACCTAACGACATCCACCTAGCAATTATCTGTAAAAAAATCAAAGTAGTGAAGTACATAATAAAAAATACGAAAATCACTGTTATTTCAAATGAATTTGAATGAAACGAACCTCAAAACAAATCTGTATATAAACCAACTCAGCATAAAAGAAACGAATCAATTGACTGTGGTGTTTACCTTTGTAGTTAGATTAACCCTTCAAATCTACGTATCAACCTTGTAATCCACAATTACATCACTTTTATTCCAATTCAATGTCGAAATTGTCACTTTATCTACTGTTCATATTTAAACTACTATAGTTTTGAACATTTGCGATGTAAACTAATATACAATTGGTTGTCGATTCTATAGCTAACTCAGCATAAAATTATTGAGACTAGTTTGAGGTGACTCAAGGAACAACAGTAATAAAATTCTATTACACATATAGAATGTGAATAAAAGAAAAGAGACAATTGAGTATATAGAATATTTCAAAAATCATGTCTGTAAATTAATATAATCTGAATATAGGAAAATGGAGCGGATTCGAATTTCAACACTGATAAATACGTCGTACACATACAAATACAGAGAGAAAAGGGTTTATTCAGAAATAGCATTATTAGGTGTGATGTGTTATGAAGTGAATATTGTCTCACATTAATGAACACACACGCGCACACAGTAAATACTAAGTTGAAAACGCATATGTTTAGTCAAATGATCAGACTGAACTCTTTTTGATATTATTGAAAGAAGTTTACAGTTTACATTAAATATAAAGCCTATGTAAAGGAAGTGCTAGATGACAGAAAACATTGGGAGGAAACGACTGCAAAAGTCTTTTAAAAAAGAAAACGTTAGGAAGGTGTATGAAATTAAATGATGCATAATATCATTTAATCAATTGTACGGTAGATAGGTAAATAAATAGGCTAATTTTTGAGTTATCAGTTAATAGGTAGCCAGGTGTAATCATTAAGGTTAAGTTCAGTTGGTAAAAAGACAAATGACTAATTACCGATAGGTCGATTACGTTTGGAAGACTGTTATTGTGTAATGAAAATTATCTCTTTCGAGTTTACACATAATCTCCGTGTAATTTATGTTATCTGTTTGGAACACTTAAAAAACTGTGGTTTTTGAAACCCTGAAATTTACTCAATCACATCCCCTAGTTAAATGTAAAGAAAATATTGAAATGTAGTAATGAGTTAATTATTTCTTATTCAAACAATGAATTAGTTCAATGCTTTCTCTATACAGAAACATTGGTTACAATATGTAACATGTACATTCTTTTTACTATTAAGATTATCGTTCTTACAAAGCTATTGATTCATAAATTACACAACGATCTACACACAGTGTGGTATATTATAAGAAACATGACTTTAAAAGAAAGATAAACAGCCGAATATATCTAAATTAATAATCAGCCAGTCAGTAACAACGTAGAACTCCGTACGTACGTACATCAGTTCGAGTTGTCATACCACATTAGCACAAAGATGCAGTTGTCGATTCAAACCCCATAGTGGTAGAGGTAGTAAGAGTATAAGCAGTAATCCGAAAGATTAGGGTTTGAAAATGTTATTCAAGGAGTATAATCCAGTGAAATAAATTTGGAAAGAGGAAAAAAAGGAACATGAAGAATTCAGAAGATTAGAATTTGGGAGAACACAAAGAGTGGGTGTGCTGCACCATTTCAAACGATTTTGAGCCATGTCATTCAAGATCTCTAAGCATCTGTTGTTATCATCTCGATGGTTAGAGACCCAGAATGACATGGCTTATATATATATATATATACTAATGGATTCAACTTTTATAGTCAAACATTCGATATCTATTCAATGGTTTCTGGGTTTTTTAAATGTTAATCTAACTAGGAACAGTTAGTGATGTGAACTATGAAATTCAACAGTTTCTGAAAAATTTGTAAGTTATAATTATTAAATAATTGTGAAGAATTATCACTGTTTCCAAGAAGAAGAAGAAAAAAGATAAAAATACAGACTTGATTTCGACAACTTGTTTTTATTAGTGTATTTTTCCATGAATTCATCTTTTTTAATGCTTAAAAATGACAAATTACCTTTTATGTAACTATTTTAATGGTTAAGTAGAAATTATGATTTTGTCGAGTGTATAAGTAACACATATAGTATTGTTTAACTAAAGATTCTAATACATTCCTTAACCGGAAATAATAGAATAAAAAAAGGCGGCTAAAATTCAGGCAGATTATTGATCATACTGAAATCAAAGTTAACTGATTATGTGAAATTTTTTCGACAGTTAATCGATTACATAACATACTGGTCTACTATTGCATATATGTTATAAAATATAGGCAGATTATTTTTCTGAAATAGACAATACTACTATTATTATTAACAAGTAACTAAATTATAGTTGAAAGAATATAAAACATGGTTTGAAAGTATTGTTTTGTCTAGTTTCGTTGAATATAGTTCAATTAAGGGAAATTCAAGTTAGTAAAGAATGGAGACAATTATTGATTATAATAATGCGGAGGAGGATGAAAAACAAAATGTACACACACCAGGAAAACAATAAAAAAATTATGTGAAATGATTGAACTTTTCAAATAAGTTAGTTTTCTTTATTAAATTTCGTTTGTTTGTGATATGCATTTCCAACTTACCTTTGTGCTTCTTAACTGTAAAAAGTTGAGGGAATACAGGTAAATGATATATATGTATAAGAACAACAAGAGTGATAACTCAAGAGCTTTCATGTAATTATTATGTGAAAGGCGGTTTTGTGGAGATTGTAGTAATTTAATAGTTGAATTCACAAGTCGATGAAAGCTAGACTACCATGAAAAACCTGATAATAATCATCATGTGCTCACTAGGGACTGGCTTCAAAATGAATTTCCGGGAGTTCTACTGAGAAGCCATGACTAGTGGAGTTCAACACTGTCTGTTGTGAGCAAGCTACTCACTGAAGACAATGGTGAACGGTCGCGCAATTTCGTGGATTGATTCAAGTTAAACATTAACACAATTGGATTCCGGATCAATGGTTACAGGTTAAACGTTCACGCGCAAAACTGAAGGTACGGGGTCGAGTCCCACACTAGGAAGAAACGGCTCTTCAGTGCTTCCAGGTTTTCCATGGTGGTATAGCTTTAATCGACTCAAGAATTTAACTAATAATTATGTACTTACTATGAATTAACTATAAGAGCTAATTCCAGGAGTTTTAATGAAAAGTTGTAACAAATAAACCGTTGAATAGTATTGTGAATTGACTGGAATTAGAAAAGTAAACCATTGTGATAAGGCAGCATGTAGTGTAATATTTATGTCAGGTTCATATTTTGTGAATTAAATCAATATGAATTTCATACAGTCAGTTTTTTTTCCAGTGATTTTGTGTATTTTGTGGTAATACTAATTATTCATCAAGTTTGTGTAAAAATCACATATATAAATGAGTGGACGTTTAGTTATAGACGACGTGTTTATGGAATGGTCAGTAAAATCTTCCCTTGGATCAGTTTTTATGTTATTATGTTTTGTGGTAAAAATTGCAATGATTCTTGGTATTAAATGCTTATCATGAGATGTGAATGCTCTAGGTTCAGCATCTAATGACGTTGTGGATATGTATTGCTAAAAAATCATTCAAAACATCTTGGTTCGGAACAGCTGAATAACTACAGTCAGTCCGTGACATAAAAAAACGAGTGTTTACATTAAAATACATATGTAACTGGAATTTACACCCCTTTCATAGATAACAACAATTTACATACAGTTGACTTCAACAACCAAAGAAAGTCTCAACTTACATTTTGTTCTGTTATTAGTCACATGTGAAACAACCGGACTAGGTTTATTGATAACTGGTTTGAACTCTTTTGATAAATGATCTGTTGATGGAATTTTAGGGGAAGCAACAGTAGGTGGCTGAGATGAATTTGACAAATCATCTGTCGCTGAATAACCAGTTTCTGAAGTGATAACACTACTTGGTCGACTACTATTAAAAGCTGATAAGGACATATCGATTAGTGCACGAATATAACGTATATGTTCTTTAGAAACTGTCGCGTGCGAAAGTGTAGAATCAGCATTATCGTCTATGAAAAGAAGAAAAGGTTTCAAAGATAATTAAAAGTATTTATAAGCTTTATTAGAAGGGTTAATAAATGTTTAATCGAAAACTGATAGCGAATAATCAATGCAAGAGTTAAAAATAGACACTGCATATTTTTATTAAGTTGATATCCGTAACAGATTGACCGCAGTTGAAATACCACTAAAAACTAGGGAGAGATACATACCAGATTCGTCTTAGTGTGAAACTCTGTAGCAGTAAGCACGCACAACTCAGTCAGTGATCGAAACCATGAGCATCAAAGTCTCATTGCGAACGCCTACCCATTAGAGCTATTGGATACAACCATTCAATGATATTATTTTAACATTAAACAATTCGTGATTTTGTCATTGTTTGAAATTACCACTTGTACAATAAGTACTTTGATAAAACAGTAAAATTGGTTTACTTAAATAGTCCGTTTCTATAATTAATTAATCAACTAATTAGGGTATCCGTTTTGCTATAAAATCAATATGATCATTATTTTTACAAATAACGAACATTAAAAACAGATGTATACTGTTAATCAAAATCTATAATCATTTATGTTGCATTGATTACATATCCAATTATGAAACCGATTATATTATAATAAAAGGTTTGCTTCATCGTATTACCGACACGCATACTTTGGATTAATCTGGAACTCTCTATTGAAACAAATGGGTGCATTAAGTTTCCTTACAGTGTAAATGCTCAATCACTTAGTTGGTCATTGATGAAGGCACCAATGTGACTGAAAATTTCAAACATAATATTCTGTTCGCTAGAAAATTTTCAATTTTGTACAATTTGTCCATGATAAATAACTTCCAAGTTTGTTAGTGAATGTTTGTTCAATACATGGTTACTTGTAATAAAAAACAAACATTCAATATATCATGATTAAACTGAATATGAACTAGGAAGAACCGTAGTAAAGTTTGAGTTAAATATTCACATAATTCATTTGTGTGATCTGATTACAATAGTGAAAAACTGATTTAGATAAATTCATGTTTTTTTGTAAAAAAAAATATAATAATTTACATACCACAATCTCCAGGGTTATTTTTAGATGAGGATTTAATATTTTTGAAAGTATTCAAAATTACATTTGATTGTATTTCACTTCCACGTAATAGATAAGCTTTAGTTTCAGGATGTTGCCATGTGACTACTGGAAAACGACCACGTCTATGTGAACGAGCTACTTTAGCTAAACAATTTTGAGTGATACCCTTTAAGAAAAATATATAGGAATGGAAAAAGTGAAGTAAATGTCGAAGATATCATTTAAACTAAACAGTCGAATTTGTTGCTGATATGATGCCAGTTTACATTATAGCTGATCTCGCACCTAATAGTGTTAAGAGCCTGATGGGATATGTTTCCACGTGATAATTCTTCTTTTCGAACGCTAGATTCGGTTCCTAAACTCTTTCAGTAACCCCCAGGCTAGATCTATACAGCAACTTGTACACGATAGAAAAGGCGCGAAATATGGAAGAAACGCTTTACTCCAAAACTTAGTTTATGTACAGAAAATCTAGGATTTTTATAGTATTTTTGATGGTCTTGAGTTTCCGGAAAATTCTGGAACGATACTAAACATAGTAGCAATATAGGTAACCATCCAATCAGAAACTCCATGTGACTTTTCATGTTCTAGATGTTTCTTACAAAACTTCTAATGGATGCGATATGATGGAAAGAAAAGATTAAGAGTAAAGAGTTAGTCAGGCAGTTCATAGACAGTGTGGAACCTTGCATATACAAGGATCTCTGTTTAAGTTTTATTGTCACATTAATTCAACAAGACAAAATTATAAATGACAATCTTAGAATAGCAGAAATTGTAAGTTACTTTACGAACGATCGTGTATATACATCAACATGATGAAATAAAATAAATAGAATAAAAAATCTCGGTAATGAATAATAAAACGTTAACGTAAGCATTCATTAGAGTGTTAAAATGAAAAAAAAAAAAAAAGAAAACAAGCCGAATAAATCCTGGGCGAATATAAATTCCATAGATTCGGAGATTTAACCCCTATTACAGAAAAGGTAATTTAAAAAAAGAAAAACTAGGAGCAACAAAGTGAAGAGGAAGGCACGAAGAGGATTGACACAGGTCACTACTATTAATTAACTAATGACCGACAGACTAGCGGAAAAAAACACTGAGATGGTATTGCATCGGTTGTATTGGATGTTTAGTATCCATAGGAAAAAAAATAAAAAAACAGTAATATGTTAGTTAAGAGTAAGATATTGGATAAAATTGTTGAGAAAGAAGTTGGATCTGTACAAATTCTTTAAAATATATCCTTCTAATGACAATTGAAGTACTTTACGAGGTTGACAAAAATTCAAATAAATAAATAAGTTAAGAACTTATAAATTTCTCAAAATAATTAAAATCAATCATTTGATGACAGAACTAAGTTGAGTATGTTCATGCTTAGGTATAAAATAATATGTTAAGATTAAATCTATGGAATAACTGAGTGGTCAGTCTAAAAATTCGAACAAGTGAACAGTTAAGGATCTAAGCATTCTGTTCACAATACTTTTCAATTTGCAAATGGTGCTAACCATTTAAATAATTTCGAGAGAACTCATGTTTTCATTTGATGTTACTTCTTTCAGTTCACTAATGTACGGTTACATATATATAACTACATTGAAGCTAACAATTCACATGTCAATTTATGAACTAACTTACCTAAAATAAAAATTGACACACTGTACTTTCAAAATACAGCTCACCTCTTTTTTTACTATGAAATCCAAGAGTAATTAAACATAAAAAGAATCATTCCCTACAGAAAGAGTCGTGAAGATCACCATTATGATGGGTTTTTTTCTCTCAAAGAATATCAGTTGAATCAAGTGAGGTTGTTTCTGATGGACACAATACTTTAAAGAATACAATTATTGTTAGTAGAAGTGTTAGTATAAATATCGTTATACAAATCAGTATTGCAAAATTTCTTCTAACATTCAGTGAAACACGATGGTGATGATGAGAGTGTTATGGGAAAATCAGACAATCAATCATGTAAATATTACTGAATAATACTTCAATGTAATAAAGAAAATTAAATTGATGTCTATAAAATTAAACAGACAGATAAATTAACTAGACAGTCAGTCAACTATAACGTAAAACCAGGCACACATATGTATCGGTCCAAGTTACCACACCTCATTAGCACAACAAGATCAATACCGAATTCACAGAAGTAGTTGCTTATAAGGTAGTAACATATAAAAGGAAGATTGTGTATAACGAAGGAAGTAGTTCGTTAAAAGAAAGGTATAAATCAATTTAGGGGAAGACAGAGAGTGTTTACACCTACGCCATTATGATCGATTCTGAGCCATGTCACCCACACTCTCCAACCATTAGTTACGATGGTCGCGTGGAAACCAACCAAGCAGTCTGTATCTACCAATATAGCTCAGACTAGAAGTTAGTAACCTCGAAGACTGATCATATGTTTTAGTTTGGCCGCCCATAACTTTCTTTCAACCGTCTCCAACAGTAGTCAACATTGCGCATCGTGATAATCGGTGTTCAGGCAAGTTACATATAATTAATCAATTTCATATTAGACTGTTTTTACGAAGTATTCACTTGTACGTCTTTTACTATAAAAACTATTTGTTTAAAATATGTTAGACTAGACTACAAAAGATCTTGTTAATGGAACATTTAAAAAAAAATAATAATTAGATTATTTAGTTAAAAACGATTCACTATTCTGTCAATGTTAACAACAAACCAGTATCAATCATAAACAATGTAAAAACTGGCATATATGTGGAATAGGGAGTGTGTCGTTCTAAGTTTCATTATCACATTAGTACAGTGAGACAAAATTACAAGGTTACATACTTGAATAGAACAAGTTGTAGTAGTAATAGAGAATGAACAAAAGATTAAATACAAACAAAATGATTCGATAAAAAAATTATATATGAATTGGTTGAATGGCATTATTATTGTTTATGAATAACGATCAAGTGAGTAAACACTTATTTTTCACTGATCTCAATTTAAGTAATTTCCAACAAATAAACGAAACTGTATTTAAGTATTACTATTATTTGAATGACGATAAAAACTATAGAATAAATACTAGTTACAAATAGAATTAAATTACCTGTGGTATGATGAGAAAACTTGGATAAGATTTCACTAAAGTATGATGAACATTGAATGCAACAAGACGAGCACCACAATATCCTCGACTACCACCATCTCCATTATTACTTCCAGCACCGACAGAAGAACGATTCAAAGAACCACTACCGCTTTCATTCAATCCAACCGAAAGATTATTGGACGGTGTTGTTGCAGTTAATACTGTAGCACTGGTAGTGCTTCCAGGATTTAAATTACTTCCGAAACGTGCCATGTCCAAATAGCCTGCAGATTGTGTTAATAGTCTTATAAAATTTGGGTCAACAGCTGTAGAAGCTGTCGATGATGCAGATACACACGGAGGTACTAGAAAAGCTTTTAACGTAGCAGCTAAATTAGCGGCTGCTTCTTCAGGATAAACAGCTGTAATTATTTTTTTAAAAACATGAAAGTTCAAAGGAAAGGTTTAAACTATTACATAGTTATTATTCACAATGATAAAAACATTTTAATTAAGCTGAACCACTGGAAAGAAGGTAGACATGTAGATGTATGCAAATAATTCACATTCACATGTATGGATAATGATGGAACTGCTTATTGGAAATCGTGAAAAGCTGAACAGTAACTCTAGATCATATTAATAATCCAAATAAGTAGACAAAAACTTTTGACAATTGAATAAACATCACTCTTTCCCCATCTTTTACAATGGAAAACCATTTTTCTAATGAAGTAAGATAAACAAGAAGCTTATTTGAGTTTCTGTATATCATTTAGTTGTATGCAGTACAGAATATTCGATGAATTCAAGGTTGACATACATTTTAAAAATTTATTTGTTAATTGATAAACTACGATTGACGAGACCTAAAGGTTTTAGGTTAAATCCATGAAAAAGTCATGGGCATGTACCTTTGAAGAGCTTTGTATTAAAATGAAACAACTGTTCAGTACTACTTGACTTTCAATGATAGAGAAAGCTGAGATCAATCTCTAGCGAATACAACCAACAAATTAAATCAGTCTCCTTCAAAGCTTTTTGATTAAATTATATTCTACGACAGAAATTTTGCAATAACTCAATAACCTTCATTTTAGGTTTCCATTGTACTAAAAGAAGAAGAGAGAGAAAAATTAATGGAGGAGTATTCCAAAGATTTCTTTGAAATCCATCTTGAATTCAAACTCAGGTGTCCAAAATTGTTGTGCTACAATGAAAAACCAAATCTACCCATTCGTCGGGTACAGATTCCTGTACATGGCTTTCAGCTACAGTGAACGTGTGAGAGTTAATGATACCACCCGATTGCCCAAATCAAAGAAAAAAGAATTAGATTCGAACATTCAACTTGGTAGCTGAAAGGTGAATAGATCAACCACTGAACTACCGCTTTACACAATAACACATGCCAAATTATAATCTTTGAAAATTAGAAAAGTATATCTCCTAATATAAAATGTAAACTAAACTTACTATTTTGAAAAGCAGCAGGTAGCATACAATTCAGTTGACTAAAGCGATGGTTCTTAGGAGAACGCAAAGACGATTGATATAACAAAGTTTTATTGTCTGAGTTAACAAATTGCTGGTTATTATGTGTACGCCTAAAGACCGGAATAAAAAATAGAAAGATAAACAGAATAAATTCTATATTTATTTATACGTTTATGAATAAAATGTATTAACGCCTTCAGGAGGTTGGAGATAATTAGCAAATAAGCCATGAACCTAGGCTTAGTGTTGGTCAGTAAGGAGTATTTAAACGTTTCAGGGAAATGTGAATTACAAAAATTATGGTTATCGTTACAAGAAACAGTTAACAAATATTCACAAAACTAGATAACCTAAGGTCTTCTTAGGAAAAAGAACTAATGCTCCTTGCATGCTCCAAACGGAAGTCAACTAGTGTTACTCATGATATGGTTGAGTCATTCGGACGTATAGGGCGAAAAGATCGACTTTGATTAACCACCGAGCATTGACTTATTTCACGATTGCCTAATCCCTAGTACTAGTACAATAATAACAGTGAATAGTTATGTTATATTGTATGCAATTATACACCATTGGTACACATACAGAGAGAGAAAGGCCAATTGAAAAGACTACGGATTCGAAAGAAACAAATTAGTTGGAAAAATTACTCAAGACCATAAAATAATGACGGTCCGGTTGAAAATAAATACTGGTTTACAACTACGAAGAAGACAGACACTAAAGAAGATTTTTTCTGGTCAATTCATCAAAATGAAATAAGGTAGAAAAAGGAACTTTCTGAAGTGTTCTGATTACGATTAGAATCCTTCATCCGGTTATCTCGATTACTGTAACCAACAGGATGACAATAATAAAACAAAAATGGAATAACTTGAACAAACAAACAAAATTCGGAATACGCTAATGACCTGAATTTTAAATACCTGCGATCCCCATTCGTCATTGAAGAATAATTTGCATCTGTTAACATATTGCTTCTATGCGTTTTACCTTTCAAATGCCTCATACGAACCATATTTGGTAAAATATAGTCTTTTGTATTACTACCAGTATTATTATTTAGATCTGTAAGTGTAGTACGATTACCCACTGTATTCGTAGGTCGCGAGAATAGCAAACCTAATGGGGCTGAGTTAAATCCCATGCACATCATTGAGGGATAACGCAATTCCTCCAGCAGACTACGTAATTCATCTCTCGTTTCCGGTTGTATTTCACCAACATCAAATCCAATTTTAAGCATTTGAAAAGTTAATGCACGTAGTAAAAGAACATCCAGATTTTCAGTACGATAAACCACACCATGACGATTTGTAGTCGCTGAATACGTTGGACGTAATGATGTCGACAGATATCTTGATGAAGTATTTTTACCAAACACTGTGTTTGATTTAGACTTTTTACCAACAAATAATGTTGCTGAACGAAAACCAGATGTTATTGTTGTTAATGAAGTAGGATTGGCTGATGATGATTGAAAAGCAGTAACCATTTGAACACAACCAAGCTTTTTGATAGTATTCAATGCAGATATAGGAAAACTTCGATTGATCACTTTATTAGACTCTGAAGGATAAGAAAAAAGTGTTAGACAAAACAGTGGAATCATAATTATTACGTACAGTTATTAACAATCCCTCAGAAAAATAATGAATATAAAATATTTAACACTGATCAATATTCACTTAAGTTCCAGTACTTCATCACCATGTAAGGTGGTTAGGACATGTGTAACCTGTTCGTGTAGCAGTAAGTTGGAAGAGAGGTAAAGGTGGGGAAACTAGAATACTTATGGAGGTCGTTACATAGGAAAGAATGAAAGAAGGGCACATCTCTAGGGTTTCTGAATATATTTCTCGAAGGTTGAGTTTAAAAGTAAAGTATTCACAAGTGCAATTCCTAGATATTTAGTGGATAGAGAAAACAATTTGGTTAACACAAAGATGTTTAAAATAATTACCTACAATAGAACACCATTTTATGTCCACTTTGCGAAGACCATCGTTATCAAGCGCTTCCGACCTGACTTTTATATACAGAAAGTGTGGTAAACCTGTCGTTGCTATGGTAAGATGGGTATATAATTTTCAAGTTGGTATATTACATTATTGTTTAATTGTATCTTTAACAAAGAGATACACACTGATATTCACCCACAACATCCATTTTATGTTACCTATATGACTTGATCATCATATATTTGTTAAAACAAATTGTTTTTATTCACCATCTCTTTATTATCATTTATAAATTCACCGCATTTTTATCATACTTTCGCCTTGAATATACAAATACACAAATTGATCTTAACTGTTATATTGAATATCTTGTTTCCTCATCTTGTTTCTTATATGTTTTTGAGAAAAACTTCATTGATTATGGTATGTAAAACATTTTTAGAATGATATTACTAACGTAGATTGAGTGTGTTTATAGATGATGACAAGCCTTGAAAATACAAATGAATTCAACTTACTCTGTAAATTTAGTTTTTTTTTTTCTCGTTTTATTTACAAAATGTTCACACTAATCAACTTATTGGTTAAAATAGTGTTTTTTTTTTCTAATGTATAACTTGTTTTCTTTGTAAGAAGAAAAACTAAGAGGAAATAGTCAATCACTTGAATACCTCAGATGTTCATAATACATGTAAATGAAATATGCTAGTCCAATCAGATATAGGGTCAGATGGTAAAAGAGTAAGGTTGACAAGTCCATTGTATTGGTAGATATTTAGCTTTACTTACCCAAGAAACAGACAAAAGCTATTGGATAAAACTGTTTCGGTAATATTTACACAATCACTAATCTATGAAAGAAAGAAGTATACACAAATTAAAATAATTGTGGATGCTCACTGCTGAGGAGTCCTACAATAGGACGAAACGGCTATCCAGTGTTTCCAGGTTTTTCATGGTGGTCTAGATTCAATTGACTCATGATCTTAACAATTAAAATAAGTTTACTGGTAAAGAACATAAAAATGCTAGCCCAGTGGTATCTACATTGTCTTTTCAGCTCATGTTTGTATTTTTCCCAGTTACTCTTACCACCACAAGTATTTCCTTATACTTTTTTTAGAATTTTTTTCTTTATTGACAACAATCTCATTGGTTAAAGTTGTTAGCATTTTAAAAAAACTTACGAAATGGATCTTTTGGTACACCTGTGAATATTATACGATAATTGGTAATAAATAACGCTCCTTGAGCAGGTAGCAATGGTCTAAGCATAAGATCCACGTCTAAATCACTTGCATCCAAGTTTCCAAGTGAATCTTGTTGTTTAGCATTGATATTGTCATTACTGTCGTTACCATGACCTCCATTATTGATATTAGGATTAATAATATTATTATTGAATGGATCCAATAGTTGATAATCATTACGTTCATAACGTCCATCTGGCAATAACTGACATGATAAACAATCATAACCACCAATTGGAATAGCGATTTCACCAGGTAGAAGGACTGGATTAGCGATCTCAGGCTACAGAATACACACAAATACATGTGAAGGAAATCAAAATCCAATGTCATTTCCTAAGCATACAAATATGATTATGATACTACAGGATTAATAGATTACATTTATATTCCGTGCATTACAACCCAGGTGAAGTATACTGAGCCTGTTCGTTTTTACAGTGCGTTTGCTTTCTAAATGTGATACAATTGTGTAAAAATTAATATATACACGATATTATATCGGTCTAGTGACGACGCGATTTTTGAGATTTATTTGATGACGTATAGTTGGAGAGCCGATAGATCTTCATTACACTAATCCTTCGTGTTCTTACTTTGCATCGTGAGAATTGCAATGGTTCCTGTTTCCAAGTTTAGGCAGTAGAATCGAAGAATCCCAGTGATTTCCGATTGTCAATTATAGGTAGTAAGACTGAGAACTTAAACGAGTAAATGCATGCACAAACAGCCACAATACGCCAAACATAACACATTGTCAGATCATTTATGGAACAAATATTGCTTAAGTTCCTGCTAAGTAAAAAATTAGTTTGTGACAATTCGGTAGGGAGATAATTGTGTACAATAGTTTAGTTAATTGACTTATTCGTCAAAATGTTACTTTGGTATACGTTCATGTACGACATCTCAAAGATAAAAGACGACTTTGACAACAAATTTCAAAATGAATGAATCCTGAGCAATAATAAAAAATAGTTTTTTTAATTACGACATTTATTGATGATCCCATAATGGATATGACTGGGAACATCCAATTCAACAGCGCGATATTTCCTAATAACCTCTAAATGTGAAGTATATTATATCAACGTTTGTACTGATTTATCGAAGAAAAAAGATACATAACCCGTATCTTGTCATCACCATTTATACTATCATCAACTTCATCTTGACCATTTAAGTCCAAATAAAAAACCTGTTTCAGTGGATGGTGATCTTGTGAAAACAGCTGTCAGCAAATCAATCCTTGATATAGAAATACACTTCATGAATGAAATAATGAAAGCCTCCATATTTCAAGTTTAAACAAATCTGTTTACTACAAAAGCCGAATAATATGAACATGAATTTGAGGACAAAAGTTATGGTTTTAGAAATAAAGCCCACATATAACAACACGCAAGCATGTAGAAACGGAAACATATGCAGAATTTTTGATAAATTCTTTGAAAAAGAACTGTATCCATCAGATCCATCTATTCTATACTGGTAACGATAATAGTAATCATTACCAATATGAATAATTGATACAAAAGCACCTCAAATGTTCAAGTATTCAACTTTCACCTACCATGTCCTTAATCTGAGCCACACCCTATTTTGGTTTGCGCAACTAAATAGTATTGTTGGCCTTAGTGTTTAGAGCATAAATTGGATTTAGTATGAATAATCAAAAACATTTAGTACACTATATGACAAAACTCATACCTTTTTCATATGTGGAATATTTTGTACCTTAGGGTAAATATCTTGTAAATTGATTAAATGACTTTCTATGATGGCTAAAAGTTTAAAGCAAAACAAATAAGAGAAAAACATTAGCTATAACGGAAATGATTAGAAGTAGAAAACCCCTATAAAAAACAACAAAAGTATCAGAAATAAATACACATAAATACTCATAAACAATTTTAATGGTCCACACTCGTGATTAAATTTTGATCGATCTAGATTAGATTATGTGCATCCTGTGTGCGTTGAATCGATGAAACGATTATATGACACGTTTTTACAGAATAAATGGATTATGATTAATAATGGGATACAGAAATACGTTTCATCTTATTCAGGACTCGTTAACTGGATACAGCCACATCTCAATGTTAAAGTCTTGATATTAGGACTCAAACTTAAAACCTTTCGCTTCAAACTACCAACGTATCATCCACTGAGTTACTGGAGTCCAGATAACCACAAACTATTGTTCAGTGGGTTTAATATTTATATCATTACTATAAAGGATCTGAATTCTGTAGTGGGTATTGTTGATTGATGATGATAAATACATCTAGCTGACGAATTATAAGTAGGGTAAATAGCGCAACTTTCGTTCAACTGTTAACCACAAATCCATCTATTATACAAATATTATAATGTTTCAGATGAAAAGATTTTGTGAAGACTGATTTGAGTTTTAGGTTACATATTGAACGCGGACCCACTTTTCCTGATGGTAAAAGCTCGCCACAATACCTGAAAGTCTTGGCTTCTACCCCTCGTAGGATTGTAGATGCATAATATTAATAAACTACATACTACAATAAAATATTTGTTCAGAATTTCCTGATCTTCAGTGGCACCCCAAATGGGATGAACGTGTGACGGATATAACTTACATATATAAAACGATTAGATTGACATGATTTCGTGTTACTCGTTGCATACATGTAAACAGGTTCACGGACATTGTAGTAAAACATACTTCTCAGAAACACGCGACTGTATGTAAAGGTAAACTTATCAATAAAGTAAACATTATGTTGTATGACGATGCATCGTACCATTGCATATACGACTTTCAGGATTACTAAATTCAAGATTACATAATTCAATTGGTAGGAATGTATTACAAATTGGTTATAATATATGTAGGTGTATTAAATTTGAAAGTTTTCAGATAAACGAAAAAGTACACAGACTAGTTTATTGTTAGCATATATAACAATCAGTTGTCAAAGAACCTGTTTTTTAGATGAATAAAACTAAACAAGATACATATTTGATCATCTGTGTTAGTCAGTGTCCAAAAAAGACCAAAATTTTCGAAAATCATACATCAAATCGAATGCTAGTTGTATTAAGTTTCCAGATGTTTCTTCTAACAAACAGAAAAAGTTTGATTTTTACGACAAAAAATAAACCGTTTTGAGACATGTATTTCTTCCACAGTCGTAAAAATAAATTTCAAACTTATCCTTTCATTATTCGTCGATTCACGTAATTGCTTGGATCACAATAGAGTAACCTACATTTACCTACATGACGCAGTCTAACAGTTTGATGATTTCAAGAACTGATACCAAGTTTTCTTTTGATCATCCCTATCTTATTATCAACCCACTCCTACACCATCGTGCATTACTTGTAGAGGTAGGTGACGAGTTGTGCATACGTAATAAATGCTCCAACCACTTCAGTCAATAAAAGTTCATTACCTCATCAACTGATTTGCCATCTCTACCTAGTAATGTGAGTCAAACCTCTTCATTGACTGCTCGTTTGTTACAACAAACATAAACAATACTTTGATGACATCTGTGACTCAAAACTAATATATATATATATATATATATATATATATATTCTCTACTTTTCAAATAGTTACGTATCACAGCCATAGAGTATACAAAAGAGAAAACTCCTATAGAGCATACTCATTCTTTGGTTGACAGATGAACACAATTCGCTTACGGCTACAGGTAACGTAATTTGACGATGATTTATCAGTAATCCAATACAGTCAATCTAATAGCTATAATAATGACTGACCTGAATATTATTACACAAAATCCGATAATAGATTCTATACATATTGTATTGATATCTCAAAGTTTCGAATAAAATGAGCCAAACACACCCTGGGTAATAACGGATAATGATAGATAAATGTCGATATCATGATATAAATATATTAAATATACACTCGGTAAAATAAAAGGTAAAAAAGTGGAAGAATGTCACTTAGATATTCATGAGTGTAAACACTACATACAAACATATACACATACGTTGAGTGTATTGTTTGTTTATGTAGAGTCAAGAAAAAAATGGTGACAACCAAACTGTTACTGTCATATGACATTAAAACACAAAAAGGATTCATTACACTTATAAAAGTAATTAATCAAGAATCACTACATAGAGAATGTAACAGATATAATGGTGACTATCATGCATTCGTGTGCATATATATATATATGTTAAATTATGACTATTGAATGTAAAAAATATTTTAATCATGTAATATTGATTAGTGTTGTCAACCTTTCTATACTTAATATTCTGTAATTGTACTCTTTCATGATAGTTCATCAAACAGAACGAGTAATGTGAATTAGACGAATAAAAGGACCTTCAAGTCCCTCATGTGTGATTGTGGATGCGCACTTCTGAGGAGTGCCGTACTAAGATGAAACTGTGGTCCAGTACTTCCAGGTTTTCAATGATGGTCTAACTTGCATCGACACATGAATTCAACCATTAAAATCACTACAATCTCCATAAACCCCTCATTCTAAGAGTAAAAGCATAACATGATGCAGAGGTGGATGAGAGGACGATTAACAAAACCGATAAGTAAAAAATATACCCAATCCAGATTAGAACTAGTGTTCATTAGGATAAGAGGCAGTTGTAGAAAAGTGTTCTTGTAAAACCTTGAACATTAATCACAATTCAATCTTATGTAAAAAGTGATCGGAAGTAGTTGCCAAGAGAATGTGAAAAACACAATGGTAATACTATGAAATTGTGTGATATGATTTGTAGTTCCACAGGCAGTAAGTAGTATGGGTTTTCTGAAGGTTTAAGACACACCTTGTTGACGAATGATGTGTAGCATGAAATTATAGTCAAGATATTCTACTGGTTACCCTACAACCACCATATAACATCAGAAACACGGATCACGAGAAGTTAAATTCATTTGACTGAAGACTATGAGATGTAGAACAACTGAAAAGGACTAAAGAAGCACTAATTTCAACGAGTCAGGAGGTTCTGGGCTGCAAGGGGTGTTATAGTAAGGATTGGATCTCCATGGAAACTCTGAACAAGATTCAAGAAAGAAAGGACAAGAAGACGGCAATTAACGACTGCCGAATAAGAACATAGAAGATCAAGATATAAGCTGAATACACTAAAGGAAAAAAGTAAGTGATAGGGAGCATTAGAGCTGACAAGCAGAAATACGTGAAAGAACTAGCAACAACAGTGGAAAAAGCCGAAAGAGAACGATATATGAAAGAACGAAGAAACTGGAACGGAAATATGGTAAACCAGAGAGACTGGTCAAAGATAAAGAAGGCAAGCCAATCACTGAGATCCAAGAACAGAGGAACAAGTGGGTAGGACAACCTAAAGAACTCTTGAGCAGACCAACCCTACCGAACCCATCAGATATAGAAGCAGCACATACAGACCTTCCTATAGATGACACACCACCAACAATCGAAGAAATCAGGATGGTCTTCAGACAAGTCAAAAGAGGGAAAGCATCAGGACAGACCAAATCGCGACACTACGGATGATTGTTGAGCAATCGGTTGAATGGAAGAGGCGGAAACTTTCACATGCCTGATCAGAATCGTTGATGAACAAGGAGGATCTGATGCAGACATAAAGGCGAGGGTTGTCAAAGCATGGGCCGCTTTCCTACAGTTGAAGAACATATAGAATTCAAAACAACTGTCAACCAACATCAAAGTCAGAATCTCCAATATAAACGTCAAGACAGTTCGAGTGTACGGAGCTGACACTTGGAGAACTACTACAACCATCAGAGAAAAGGCAAAAATATTTATAAACAATTGTCTACGCAAGATACTCAATGACTGTTGGCCGGATATCATCAGCAACGACCTACTGTGGGATAAAATAAACCAACTTCCGGCGAAGATGAAACTAGGAAAAGATGCTGAAGATGAATAAGACACGTATTTCGGGACCCATCGAACTGCATCAAAAAGCAAGCCTTAACTTGGAATCCTCAAGGCAAAAAGAAAAGGAGGAGAGTAAAGAACACAATGTATCGGGAATTGGAGATAGACATAGAAAGAATGAGTAGCACTTTGCAACGACTAGAAAAGAAAGTACAGGATAAAATTGGTTGGAGAAACCTGATCGATGGTCTATGCTAACAAGACTAACTAGCTAGTGCAGAATCCAGTCTGGGTACGCACACAGAGTTTGACTTTTGAAAATGAATTCTTTTTGAGATATGTCACACCGATGAATATTCAAGATAAGGTGTGTTCCAAAGCAAAGGGAACTATGTGTATGAAATAAGGTAATATATTTATATACAGACTTACAAGGTACAGATTTGTATACTTAGTTATTGCTAGTCACACACTAAATCTAAAGTCTAGTGACATTACTCAAATTGAGTGTAATAGTATTTGGGTATGTAGCTTTGTGAGTGAAAGCTAAACGCATTTATCCCTGAGTCATTACTCCACTTAGGTACATCCTGTTTTCACTTTGATCCGACCATTGAAACGAGTTTTTTTAATGTAATACGTTATAATGAGTAATATAGTATCCCTGACAAATATTTATCGAACATAATGATGACATAAAGTAAGGAATCACTAACTCATTACAGATTATTGAAACTCAAACAGTAGAAATAAAAGAAATAGAAACTGAAAATCCATAGTGTTATATATATATATATATATATATATATATATATATATATATCACTTATTCTGTAGTGAAGCTAATGTTGCATAATTAGCTGTGAAAGAAATCTATATAAAGTAATTATATATATAACTAGCAAAAGATAACTAATTACACTCTATATGATAGAAAACTGTAAACAATGAATAACTAATGGTACCGTTATAAATTGAGTACACAAAGTAATAAAACTATTTATACATCGTTTATGAGGAGGTAATGATAATAATATTAATGGTGATAATATTAACTAATAAGTTAATTACCTTTAATTTTTCCCTCAACTTCAGTAATTCGTTTACGTACAAGATTGTTTTCTTCGCCAACAATTTTCACAAATTTCAATAACCAATTTTCTAAAACAGTGATATGATTTAACAATGTGGCTTGATTTAGTTTGTCATAATTTTGTGCATTATAACGACTATTATGAATAGGGGAAGAAAAGAAGGAAACAAATAAGCAAATAAAATGGGATAAATTTAAAGAATACTATTGTGTTGTGTGTAACGATACGGAAAAATATCCAATTCATCAGGCGGCAAGTCAGTGGTATTAAGGGTATGTAAAGAATGTCACTTTCAGGCTATATATATATATATATATATATATATATATATACACGTATTCATGAGGCGAACGAAAGGCGAACTCGAATAGAAGTGATCTTGGAGAACTGAGAATGTGACCGTACTACATAAGAAATAACTGATTAAGGACATTAGTACGCCCGTCTTTTCTTGATGTGTTGTTTATGCACATTTGAGACCTTACCACCAGCGACAGAAATCCGTATGGTAAGGTGAGGTGTGTGCTGTGTCTGATTTCGATTGCGATACGCAATCTTCCTATATACGAGCCTAATCGGTTACTCGAGTGAAAAGACTGAATGAGAGGGACGTTTATGAAGTAAACAGAATCGGCGAGTATGTATCCTCATGTACATATATATGTCATCTAAAAGTTCTAGCAAACAAAAGTGTAGATCATATTCTTTAGAATTTCAAGTTATTTACTGTTCAATCACATACATTTTTCATTTAAGCAATTTCTAACTGACCTACTATACCGGTATACTATTTTTAGGGTCAACATTTTTTAATTTCTTCGTTTTGTTGTACCAACAATAATAACACTGAACTGTTAATTACTAAATAAAAACTCAATAGTATTTTCAGAACGGGTTTTGTGGGGATTTTAGTTATTTCAATAGTTGAAATCATGAGTCAATTGAAGCTAGACCACCATGGAAAACCTGGAAGCACTGAACGGCCGTTTCGTCCTAGTATGGGACTCCTCAGCGGTGCGCATCCACGATCACGCCCCCCGCGAGATTCATATCCAGCAATTGGATTTATTTGTATCATCTGATATAATTCTATAAATTGATAAGTAATTTAACTAACGACGAAACAACTGACATTGAGATTAAAAACAGTTAAAGCTGTAGAATTGTCAATTAATGAATTACAACAATAGACATTTCATGATAAATTTCAGAAAATCATAACAACACAAAATGAATTAAAAATAAATATTTACTTCATTTTCCTAAATTTGTTTAACGTTTTAATATTAAAATGTTAAATCTAAAAAAAGTTTTTTTTTCTAAATTATGTCATATGAAGATCATGATCACTGTTATAACGGGCTGTATATTGTAAACGTTAAAACTGGTTTTTGAATTATTATTATTATTATTTATATTACTTTGTACAATTACTGAGTAACTGGATTACTATGTACATGGATCCGGTTTATCGTAAGCTTCCGTTTAGCCTATTAAGTATTATTAAACCAATTATTATATTGTATGGTGTTCTCAATAGATCTTTGGCAACCACTATTGGCTCATTTATGTATAGTAATGATTTTTATTTTTATTTTATTCAGCGATGAGGTTGAACATGTACGTATAAAAACCCATACATATATACAATACAGAAGAGCTTACGAATAGCGGACTAATAGAAGATTGGTTGCGTTGGTTAAAAATCAATAGTTCTGGTTAGGTGTATAATTGGGGCATTAGGCTATAGAAGAAATAGTAGATGTGGATTAGACAAAGTTACAATTAGAATTCTGAAAAGTAAATCTGGTAAGTGATGTCGTTCAACTGAAGATAACTTTACTTTCAGAAACAAAATTTATTACTTCTAATTATTTTTTGTTGTTGGATGAATGAACGGATGGATGATTAAGAAAATCCTATCATATATCCGATATTTGGCTATTGGTAGAAGACGAATGTTTTATCTTGTTTGCGACTGGTCAGCTAGATGAACTTGCACCCAAAATTGTTTTTACAAAATGAGATTAGATCCGCACAGGATCACTATATGGAAACCTGCTCAACTACAGTCCTGAATATCGACAATGAGAAATTACAAATACTTAGTAACACGACACTTAGACGCTAAATTTGAGGCTACGTGAAAATAAACAACAAAAATTTTGACTAAAACAATGAGAAAATTCAAAATTGGTTTGGAAATAAGAACTGGATTTTCGAATTACAAACTTAAAAATGAATGATAGAAGAATTGAAGTTGATTTATATTGACTAAACTATATATTATTTGGCTCCGAAAATCGCACTGCTAGCGTCTTTGGTCCATATTATAAACCCAAAACAAATGTGAAATAATATCTAGTTCAGCTTGTAAACTACGGCTTGGCATCCCTAACCACATCTAACTCTTAGCGCAACCAATCAATAATACAAACTAATGAATCTGACATACATACGGAACAAGTGTCCTTATTTATTTAGTAAAAGGATTGTTAATCGTAAATTAGTAATTATAAGAGTTACACCAAATGTCATTCTTGAGAATATTCATAAGATGGTTGATATCATCTTCGAAATTATATGCTTTCAAGAGGCGTAAAGTTGGACGAAAATTTCGTCCTTAGATGTCTTAATTCACGAAACAAACAGATAAAGATCAAAGATAGCATTGTGTGGAAAATTTAGTCATATGGATCAAGTACTGAACTACAGCAAAGATAAGTCAATAGCAAATTGAAAAGCGAATTCGTGTGCAAAAAAAACCTAGAACAGCTCAAAAACTTCTCACTCCAGTAATCTCAAGTCATAAACATAAAGTTAAGGAAACGTATCTTAACATTCGTCTTCCTTGAAAATAACTAGTACAACTTCCCAACATGACATCAGTCCCCAAACGATCCTGGGTTTGAACCCCATGTGCCGGATCGTGAATGATTACCGGTGAGGAGTCCCATACTGAGACGAAATGACCGTCAAGTGCTTCTAGGTTCAACGTTCATATTCTAGAAAGCTCCATCATGATCTAATTGGTCAAAAAAAATGCAATTTTGATAGATGCTGATTATCCTAGTGACCCATTATCTACTAATTACATCCTCAATAAATTTGAGGAAACTGTTCCAGAAGAATCAGACCCTGATGACCCCAAATCAAATGACATGCATCCTCACCATCTAGCTACATTTAATGGATGTGTTTTAAACAGTCACATTAATTGTAACTTGGGAATATGAGGATCCAACATTATTTCGCGGAAGAGGATAAAGTCAGAAAATTTAAAATCCGGATATCAACTCCGAATCATCAGAAAAGGGGAGATGTTATATCCCGATGATAATAATGAGTGGTAACTGGAATCCATTTCTGGACTAATACTATACATATATTTTTATTGTATAATTGATAAGTAACTAAACTACTCATATTCGTGTTCCTCTTATTATAAGCTTTATTTTGACCTATAAACTGTTATTATACGATTTACTATTCTTGAGTTATGCCTAGTCTATCAAATACTATCTCCCACATGCACAGCCACTTTCGGCTAAATTTGTACAAATGTTATTTTCCATTTTACGGTACGATGTGGTCTGTTTGATTTGTATATGAACCCAGTATGTTTGAAATGAATGATTCATATCGCAGAGGCTGAGATTGGTGTTCTGAACATAACGGGCAGGGCTAGGCAGAAAGCAGGACCGATAAGGACTCTAGACTGCTCGTACGGGTTCTATGTGTCACTGGTCCGGTCGATAAATCATTGTTCTCTAATTGGTAGTATCATTACGTCACATATTGATAGGGGCTCAAGGCCAGAGGTTATAACAAATACAAGTGGAAATCTACGAACAAAAATTTTGACGCAGAAAAAATCACAATTCTAGATTAAATAAAATCTAAAAGTATTAAGAGTATTAAGTCTGAAGATTGTAATCAATAAACAGAACTGACTGATCAATAAATGAGAAAAAGGTCAACCGATAATATGTAAAACTAACAAAACAGTAGATTGAAGCGTAAAACTATACAGTGAACTGATTGAATACACACAGTTAAGGAACAAAAATTTTAAAGATCACTTCCATTCGAAATATTGAAGATGTTTTACTGAATGAAAATAAAGGCATAACAAGCAAATAAACCATGCAGTACAAAGGACGAAATACTAGCAAGACCATTCACCTGAAATCTGAACATAATTTTTCTCATTGCAAATCAGACTTGCTTTCAAATCCAACTATTAATCCTAAAGAACCACCGAATCATTTTTAAAAATAGAAATTCAATAAAAGCTTTAAAATTAAGTACCAAGATGTAAACTAATATGAATAACACTTCATAAACACACAATATAGGACACATATGTTTCAACTAATGACTTCTACAACTGATTGTTTAAGAAGTATTAATCGATGTAATATTTGTTTAGTACTTTAATGCTGATCAAATTCTAACAAACAAATTGAAATGTGTTCGAAAATCTCAGTGACTTGACATTGGTTAAACTGTATTTTGATGTTAGGGGGTTAGATGTGGTCGATAGGAATCACTAGATCCAAGTTTTGTCCAAGTAGAAATTTTTCAGCAAGGAATATCCGGAACCCTTGGAGAAATTAATGCTTCCCATGAGATTCGAACCGATATCGGCCAGCTACAATGTATAAGATATTACCACTAAGCAATCAAAACTACGACTGATCTGCTGTAAGACTGAAATATTTGCAGCTTACTGATCACTGAATGGCGACAAGCGTCATATTAGTCAAGACATTTAGTACTGATCAAATTTCGTCAATGAAGACTGCAAATACGCCTTCCTGGAGAGTGTCAACTAGTACATAATCTAGGTTCATGATTTTCTTGAAGATGTGTGGAACATTTGTTTACCATTAGATACTGAGTTCCATAATCCTCCTTTAAGAATTTTATTCTCTTTACACTTTTTACTAGTATTGACACCTTCATTAGTTTGAAAATTATCATAATTTCCTTTCGTTATGCTTATGTAATGTAAAAACTTAAACCGTTCACTACACATATATGCCAGATTTCAGGTTGTAAATTACTGACTGATAAACTTCTAACTACCCAACACTGATTTTTATATCCAAAATAAAAACGTTTATACCACAATAATTTTCATGAGCGAATGTCTTAAACGATATAAAAACACTGTTCATTGATCAGAGATTTTTCAAGTATTGGCATTTTATTCCAGGTTATACAAAAAGCTAACAACGAGGAAATATTTGTTAACGACTTCGGTCGATAGACCGCAGTAGTGTATACACACACGCACACTATCAAAAACGAATTCTATTCGATGATAACGTTGTATTTCTAAAAGGTTTCAATGTACCATATTTCCATCAGTACATCATTAATAAACGACAACTTTTTGTAGAATCATTTATGCATAGATCTTTTCATTTCTACTTGTAATACATCCACTCAGATGATGCTCATAAAAAAGCAGTTAGATTTTATCAATAACATCCTGACAAAAATAGGTTACCCTTAAAGACTTTTTATTAGAAAAAAAAAGTAGTACATATAACCAAAGAAAAAAGTTGGCGACATAGAATATTCCTAAGAAAACCCTTTTTTTCTAATAACTACAATTTTCAAATAATGTCTCATAGAACAAACAATTGGAAAGTGAATAATTCTAATATTGATAAGATAAACTATAGTTTCACATACACTACAATCATTTATTCGTTGAAATAATCAACTATATTCATATAAACAAGTACACCTACTAAGAGTGATACAAGAAAAGTGAAGTTTTCAGTTCATTACCAATTCGTTATTTGCACGTTTTAGTCAACAACAACAACAAACTTGACAATTCTTTTGCTAAAATTTCATTCTTTTTTTGACAAATCTAATGATCTAATACGGAGGACAATAGACAAAAATATCGGTTGAAAAATTCCGGCTATTTTTAAGGTTAAAAAGATTAATCAATTAATTATGCGGATTTATGTAAATGACATGAACAATGAGAATTGATCATTTCGTAGATACTTGAATATTTGTGATCTTTAGAATTAAATAATAATAATTATAAAAATAATAACAATCCAGCGCTTCCAGGTTTCCCATAGTGTTCTAACTTAAATTGACTCATGAATTTAACTATTGAGTTACTTTGAGATCATGAACTGATTGATGTTAGACCGCCATTGAAAACCTGGAAGCACTGGATGGCCGTTTCGTTCTATTGTGGGTTCATGATCTCAATCAAAATCTTAACAATCTCCACAACCCCGTAAACTGATATTAAATTACTACAATCTCAACAAACCCTCATTGTAACAATAATAATAATAATGATAATCAATAAATTTGACCTTGGAAATGTGCATAACTACAAAAGTGATCAAAAATTCTACACTTTTTCTGACTGAATCCATCTAGTAACTGACTATGTGTACTTTGTAAAAAGAGAAACATGACATAAAAGACTATCCGAATGATGTTATCACATAGTTAAACAATCCGATTGTCAGTTACTATAGTGATTATTCGAAAGCTAAATAAAACTGTCAATCACTTGTCTTCAGATTTTTTCAATGGCTTTAATGATGTCCTAGAAAACAGTATTTAACCACTACAGGTAGTACACAAAGATTTATTTGTTGGATTTAATGGAATAAAAGATATTGTCAAAATTTATTTTAAAGACGTATATTTTAAAAACAGCTTAATTCCCACAATATCATCGATCTAATCACTACCCACATGGATTTTGATTGATACGTGCACCTATCTATCTCTTCATACTAAGGCAACATCAGATCTTAGTCAAATTTGTGGGGGAAAAAACCTCAAGAACTCATAAATGCATGCCATAGACATGTTCGATTGTCAAAATGAATTTGAAAAACTGAAATGTATACATGTAGGTTGCCGCCGTCTTGAAAAATAATCACTTATTCGAATCAATGTTGCTCAACTGTTTCATGGTTGTTATTTTTAGTAATGTCCTTCAAATATACACTAGGATGCAGTTACATATAGTTGACCAGTCTCAAATAGAATGAAATACGTATCCCAATCCATTTATTCTGATAAGGCATTGCAAGACAGTTTACGAACAAAAATTTCAGCTTAAAAACGTTAACAACTAGATTTTTTTTTCAGTAATCACATATATTTTACAAAATGACGATGTAAGTATTTGTTATATCCTAGAGAAGAATAAACGACGAGTAACTTCTGAGACATATTAATTAATTAGTATTACCTATACGTTCTTATGGTATAATTATTTAGTAATTAGATTATGTATATCTATATTCTCTTTATCATCAGCTTCGTTTTGATCTATAGATTATTGTACGATTTACTGTTCTAAAGTTATGTTCAGTTTATTATTTACAGTCTCCTACGTTCACAGCCACTTTTGGCTTTAATGTATATGAATGCTATTTCCTATTTTATGGTGTGATGCGGTCTGTTTGTTTGGTATATAAACCCAGTATTTCTGAAATAAGTGATTCGCACAGTGGAGGCTGTTATTGGTATTCTGGATTCAGCTAGGTGGGTTAGGCGAGCAACGGACCGATAGGGCGCTAAGCTGACCAGACCGGTCGGACGTCATTGGTTTAGTATAGTATAAGAGCGGATAAGTCGTATTTTGATTAGCGAATAGATTACGTGATAAATAGAGGCCATAAAGTCACAATAGTATGATATTTAAAAGCATTAGTACAGAAAAACATATTATTTCCAAAAGGAAATGGTCAATCAATATAAAAGGTGGAATTATTTCCGTTCGAAGCATGAAAACATACATATGATGGATAATAAATTACTTTCATTTAGTTCTTTTCATTATTTCACCAAATAGACAAAATTAGTCAATAAATAAAGAGTTTGTGATATAATTTCAAACATTATTACTCACCCATAAAATCCTTCTGAATTTGATAGATGATTAGAATAATTGTCTGAAGAATATCGACTAGTGTTTTTAACATATCCTTCAGTTTGTGAAATAATTTTGAGTGCATGATTAATTTGATTAGTTACTGGTATATCATTTAATGAATTAGTACTGTCAGTATATTGTTTTTGATAATTATGATCATTCGTATTATTATTTTTATGATTGTTATAATTATCAATATCGGATATTATTCTATCAGGTGTTTTTGACACCATACCATTTATATCATCTTTTAATCCATCATTATTTTGAGTATCTTCACCGTATATATCAGCTACTGCTGCACCAATATGAACTGGTATACGAAAATTAATGATTAAATTAACAAAGTGTATAATTTGAGAATAGACAGTACTTTCTTCACGTGTTTCCAATAGTTGTTGTACTTCTTTTGGACGCATATGACCAATTCGCATTTCTTCTGCAGCGATTTCTAATGCTGACATATTTGATGTGTAACTTTGTTGTTGAATTGTAATCTTATTGATATGTAAGAAAGAGAAGAATATATATATATATATATATATATATATATATATATATATGTCTTTTATAACAGACATTTTGACGTTTGAGATAATTAAAGGTAGACTTTAAAAACAGAATTAGCTTTTATATGGAGTTATCCCCCTACTTACACTAGAAAAGAAAACTAAACATAGAATCACAGATAACTTAATGATAATTGTTTGTTGAAACTATAACAGTTTCGAAATCAGTATCTACTTATTATTGATCTAGGTAAATTTATGACCTCACTACACTTTATACATACTTTAGCACTTTAAAAGAACTAAAGACAGAGACATGTGAAGCTTTCCTCTTTGTAGATTCTATCTCAGTCAGCCAAAAACTAGAATCTGTTACACATATACGTCAGTTCAAGTTTCCATACATCATTGGTAAAGAGAGATGAAGTTGTCATACCAAATCAATGAATAGTAGAAGTAGTAACAGTATAAGTGATGATAGACAATATTAGGGTTCGAAGATATGATTTATATATGTAACCAAATATCTTTAGGTGAAGAAAAGTTACTACAAGAAGACCGCTAAGATGTTAGTGTAGAAACATATATCTTAAGAACTGGTTTAAAAAATTAGTTAAACAAACAATTTTAAAGATATTTGTCCTGAATTAGCTCGACAAGTGGTTGAAAATATATGAGTGGCATCTTTTACCAATTTGATGCTAAAAGTTAAGCAAAACCATTGAATCTCAAAAGCCTCTACAGAATACCTAGATACTCAGAGAATCAATACGCCAGGTTGAAAACGGAGGAAACTTAAACATGGACTGGAGAACAGCTGGCGAAGTAACCGTCAATATAATTGCGTAAAGAAAGCAAGGAACAGAAGAAGCAATCATGATAAACAGACCCTAAGAGCTGGAAGTTATTTCACCTAAATAGTTTCTATCATCCTACTCCATGAAAAAGGATAGTAATCACATTGTGATAGGAATGATGATTAAATAGAACGGAATATTCAAAGGACCGGAAACTTTATAGGCCTGGACATAGATTAATTGTGGGATTATCCAACATTCGTTAGGTCGTCAAACGCAAGCATGCAAAGCAACACTTGATCGTAGTCAAATTTCATAACCTGAACACAACATTCAACTCGATTGATCAAGAGGTTCAAGGGTAGTGCTTGTCATTGGAAATGGGGACCGAAAGAAAAAATATATAAAACCGCCTTTGAAGGTTCGTTAGTTCGACAACAAGAGTTGAGCCGGATATTAGGACAAACTATCACTTAAATTAAATGCGAAAAGCATGATCATAGGGAGTAAGGTGGTCGAAAACGTTAATCATCTGTGCACTAAAGTTTCTATCAACCATGGATGTTTAGTCGCTGAGGACACCTTTAGAGAGATACGAAAATAATAATAAATACTTATCAAGTTATCCTATAGTAAATAAGTAATTTATAAAGACAAAAATACCAAGGTATAGAATAATAACCAGACTTACATTCGATTTTTGATTGTTATTATTATTATTATTATTTTTTCGTCCAACAATTATCACAGATGATTTATCATTTTTCTCAGGCGAATTAACAGATTGTTTTGTACTACTGTCAGATGGTGACGATGACGATGATGACCATGAGTGTCCATTGGATAAATTGATTGTATGCGAATGTTCACATTGATTACCTTGTTGGTATTTATAAGATTTTCGTTCTTCTTCACAAAAATCAATATACAACAAACGAATTTGATTGTTAACTTGTTCATTAAAAAGACTCTCCCAAAATGGCATATTACGCCAGATTTCATGACGCTGAATTTGATGACTCATATTAGCATAATAACGAACATCACCTAATTCCTTCAGATTTAATTCATTAACAAATACATAATTATATTATTAAGGTAAATTAGTGAATAACAAAAACGGTCAATGAGAAATGTTAAAATGACCTTCAGAAAATTCAACCACTTACTAAGGTCAAAAGAAGATTATACATTAGTATGAGGAAATAGGATTAAGATTCAGAGTTAGAAAATACGGATGGTAATAAAAGTTAAAGGTTTTATCAGCTACTGACACCAGTTATAATTGGTAAAATGTTATTTGATCACGTATATTATTGAATTTTGCGCTAAAATCTAACTTCCATCAATCGATGGAAGTTAGACATTAAGACCGTTGGATGTCTGCTCAGTGGTATAGAGGTTAAGCGTTATTGCACGAGACCGAAGGTACTGGATCCGAATGCAGTGTGCGGGATCCTTGATACGCATTGCTGAGTAGTCTCATATTAGAACGAAACGGCTGTACAGTGCTCCCAGATATTCAATGGTGGTCTAACATCAGTAAATTCATAATCTCAATCAAAAACTTAACAATCACCACAACCCTATACTGATAATAGACCTTACTGATTTCATGTTATTTATAAATCAAAGTGATAATCATTTGACGATTGGAGTTGAAAAGAATAGTTAGTGTACAAAATGAATGACATCGTCAGATACAAGGAAAATGATTAAGTGTTAAATTCACTCAAAAGTCAATGACAGACAAAGATGGTGAACTGTTTGAAACTATTGTCCAACTACACTTAAAATTCAGATAGTTAGTAAAACTTAATAAAAATGTTTGTTTCAAAAGTTTGCCATTTCTTGTAGAAGAAATTTGAGGAATAATCTAGAATTTGTCATTACTATTAATTGACGGTGAATAAAGGACCACAGATATTATAAATATTCACTAGTCACAAGAAATTATCGCTCCAACATTTAATGGAGCATTATTACTTAGATAGATACATTTACTCTTCGAATTTGATTTCAAATTATTTGATACTTTCTAGGATGTATTATTATACCATTTGTTTAGGTTTATTTTTGGGAACACAAACCTATTACTTCCTCTACTCGATCACGGTAGAACAAGATATATAACTAGCGGCATTCGAAGGTGTAGAACCCCGCAGTTTCAAATCAGAGGATGGAAGAAGCGGGGGAAATGATTATTGGGTAAGAATGAAAAATGTACAGAAAATCATGCGTATTTAAGGTTATTAGTATTAGCTATAGCATCATTATAATTCAGTCGATCCGCAAGGAGACAAGTTATAATATCGCCCAATTGTAGTGTGCCACGTTGAGGTTCTAGAAGGCTCTACCAGGTTTTAATTAGATGGAGTCTCTTCGGCTCCTTTAGAGCCTCTGGATGCTTAGACGTGTTATTCGAAGTCATCCCAACACAACTGGAGCACTGTATTATGAAATGTATTGAAATTTTGCGTGACAGCTTCAAATATGAAGACTGTTGGAGGTAACTGGCAAAAAATAGTTAACCAATGCATTCATCAGAAGGATGTAGTATGTAATTTTGGGCAAATTAATAACTCCTTGTGCATTCAAACCAGATTCAACTAGCTTTACAATTTGGAAAACTACTACTGAGCTACTCAGATCGTGAATGATTGATTGATCGATGAGTAATGGCCAATGTCATATTTGTATATTCATTATTGCTGGTTGAATCCCGTAGATCAAGTTACAACTATTTAGCATCTGAACATAGTCCATGTGATGCCGAGTCATTTAAAATAGTGGCTACATAGTAACTTAATCGATAGAATTCGGTCAGTATCAAAAATTAGATGAGCATGTCATTGACCACTAGTACTCAGTGATCAACATAAGTTTCAAATTTATATAACACATTGATTGGTAATAATATCCATAAAGATTACATACGCCCAAATGTCAACTGATTAATTTGTTCACTCTACAGACAATCCAGTTTTAAAACTAGTGTACGCTATTGCTTCAAACAATGTATGGTGAAATTTCTAATCTAAACAAATTGGTCAAACACATGTTTTTGGTAATAGTTCAAGTATAACGACTTGTGAAGTGTTTTATATTACCTTATACGTAATAACTGATTACATCCTCAATTTATTGAGTTTATCGATCAGTTTTGTTGGGTTAATGATGCACCATGATTTAATCAATTGACTACTATAAAGTACAGTACCTAAGAATAATACAATAAAATAAACATTACATTCTTATAACGTTACCACAAGACTGGATAAATTGAAATTACGAGGAGTGATGATAAATGCGTAGATACACACACACTTACTGTACAAAGTCTAGTACTTATATCCATAATAATTGGTGTAATTCCACTGTCTTTTGATTGTGTCTCTTGTCTTAATGCTTCATCTAATAGGTCAACAATCAATTCAAATTGTTCCCATGTTAAGACAGCTCGTCTCTCATATGTACTTCTATTGATTGTCATATTACCAAGGAAGTTATTGATAGCTACAGTTGGTGATACTGGTGTTTCCGGGATTATATATGAACGTAATTCATCAACGAATAAGCGTCTCATTGGTCTAGACTTTAAATCTTGACGAATTGTATTTCGTCTCTACAAAATAAAGAAAATCGAAAATTATCTAGATATTAGTAGAGTAATAAAAAGGAGAGTACCAAACGTTAGAAATACCATGGTGGATTATACTGTAGATAACTATATTCATGACATATAATTTTGACGATCACTATATTAGGTAGTAGTAAACGCTGGACTCAATTTCCGAGGTAGTTAGCATTTGTCAGAAAGGTGCACCTACAAATGCGGGGGACCTCATTTTCCCTGACGCATTCGAGCCCGCGTCACTCAACTACACAATCTAAGACATTGCTACTGAACCGTTCAGCTAGCGAATAACCTCATATCCGTGTAAGACATTCACAACAAAGTGATAACTGAAATGTAAGTAGACATTATCACAGTAGGGTTAAGTTACTGATCCTCAGTTTATGTTATCCTTAGATATAAAACGAAATAGTGAATGAATAATGCTGTAACCTTTGGAACTATTTTACGGACTGTTATTGTTTACATTCTTATTGTACGATTATTAGATAACTAGGTTATTATATTCCTGTCTTCCTTACATTGTGAGTGTCTATTTAAATTATTGACTATTGTTATGCGTTTAATTATTTCTTAATTCTTGTTAATTAAATTTATATTGTTTGCTTTATTTTCTGTCTCTTACGATGTGATTGCGTTTTTGATGTTTGCTGCGATCTGACGATTCATGTATATAAACTGAAGACTATTTAAGATAAATACACTAGGTACTTTCAAATATGGTAACGAAAGCTTGTCTGTGGTATTCTCTATCCGGACTTAACACTGAAGGAAAAAAGGAAGTATTCATATCGGGGGAATATAATAGTCAAGGTTACCTTTGTAATGTACGCTACTTAGGTTGACAGACATAAGTAGTGCGTAACATTACTCAGGAGTGGAATGCCTGACAACAAAAGTTGAGAAGATCGAACTGAAGAGAACAAGAGTGCCAATAGAGAGAAATTGTAATAACATCAGAAATGAAGAAACGATGAACGTTGTAAGAGACAATTGATGAAGAATGTGTGAATGTAGTATTTAATGTATGCTTCTCATATATTACGAAGACATTTTATAATTTTGTATTAAACAACGAATTATTTATTTATTTATTTGAACACATAAATATTGGTACAAAGGAGCACCAAATATATATGGGCCACACAAAACAATGAAGATGGGATGAGAGAAAGGAAGGAAAGGAGCGTATAAAAAAAAACGAAGAAGAACAATAACGACCACAGATTAATGTAAGGTAGTGTAATAATAATAATAATAATAATAATAATAATAATAATAATAACAATAATGGAGGGAACGGAAAGGTACAACCAGAAGAATTTTTTCATATAAGGAAGTTACAACCACTTTTTATGAAGGAAGTAAAAGAAGGTTACAGCAGGATCACTACTGGTTTCTATTCTCAGCCATATCTGATAACGTCTCTAGCCACTGTGTTGCACCATCTCTAGGACCCCAGCCAGGGAGTCGTGAGGGACCAACAGAAGCCAGCCCTTTGCAGCTTTCTTTCATACCACAACACCATGTCATACATTGACCACCTCTCCGCTTTTTCCAACCAGAACCTCTGCATTACTAACATGGTGTTTCCACTGGATGTCAGCAATCCTTCAGAGACAACAATGATCACAAACAGAATGAAATGACGATACTTACAGAAACAATAAATTGATCTTCCGCAATTGACATATTCGTTCATTACACCTGTGCTAGTCTACACCCTTGATTGGCCAAATTATGTGATCAGTCTACTACTAGTGAACTACCATATATATGGATTCAAGAGGAATAAACCAGAGTTTAGGTTACTGAGTTTTGTTTTCTCGAGATATCGATTAATAAAGTGTAGGTTAAGTGAGTATCATAACACATATCTTAAAGTCAAAAATACACTTTGACAATTGTCTCCAAGTACTAAAATAAGTAGTTCATTACCAATATACAATACCAAAAGTTTTATTTTCACGCAATAATTTTCTTCTGATTATTCATCAAATGTCTTTTATAAAATCAATTCTTCTGATATCTAGAAATCATACACAATATAAAATTTACATTTCTAACCATAATAACAAACTAACAACAAAAAGGTTTAATTTACTCATCACTTTTATTAAGCTAACAGTTTGTAGAAAACATCTATTTAAGAGAAATATAGTTATCATATTACTAATCTGTTGTTTCTTTGATCAATAATATTAAGTATATCGAATATCAAATGAAGATTCCAGAATACCAACTAAGTGATTCATATTTATTATTGAACTTTTACAATCATAAAAAATAGTAAAGTGGACGATCAAAGAGATAGATGAATAAAGAAAGATAGAGAGAGAGAGAGAAATGTAACTCAAATAGAGATGATAACAAAGTTTAATGTTTAATGCTCTAATTGTTAGTTTATTAAACATTAAACTATCACAAAATTGAAAATATTATTAAAAATTAAAATTAATCAAACTTACCTTTAAAGCTTCTGTAATATGTTGATTAAAAATATCATCAACAAATTCATGAATTACACGATATTTATCAGGAAACATTTCTGCTTTAAATATTTGTCGATCCAATTGTAATCCTTGTGGTACAAAACGTGGTTCCGGTTTATGATAAACAACATTCCTTTTATTGATTAAAGCAAAATAGATTTTTTAAGAAAAAAAAAACTGTAGAGTCACAGTGAAAAAATATGGTGATAATATTAAACCAGATATCCTTTAAATATACAATTTTTATCTATCATGATCAATAGTTTTAATTTTTTTATTCTGCTAATGATATTCAGAAGACACTTTTGTTCGATTAGATTCTCTCGATTTGTTTACAAGTACTTTTGTTTAAAAAGATAAACTGTGGCTACCAGTAAAAACAAGGATGTGAGTTTCATTTGATTTGGGACTAGCAAGTATAATGTAGTTGTATCCCAAATCTAGAGTTCAACAATGCTATAACACAACCTCTTACGAATTACAATGTAATTATCATACCCATTGCAAAAGCTATCAGTTATTTAAACTAGGTAACTCAGTAGACAATATGTCAACATTTTAAACGAAAGGTATTGGATTAAAATCTTAATGTGAACAACAACACTGGAACGTAAGTATATACAGTTGACGAATCTCAAATAACACGAAGTACGCATTGTTCAATACACTGCTAGCTAAAATATATCTACATGTTGTGTTATGCTAAGTAGGAATACTTCAATACAGAACTAAGGATTGTGAATAAAAAAACTATATCATAAGATTGAATGTGAAATATTCATTAAAGATAATTCAACACCTTTATACAAGATCAAATAAACAAATAGAAAATGTAAAATATAACAAAAACGTTTAAAACACATCAGCAAACATTGGTAAAACATTGACTAAATGTACATTTTGATTTTAAATATGACATCATACTATTAAAATAACAAAACAGGTAGAGAATAGACATTCTTTTGTTTATCACCATAGATACATTTATTTCTTTTTTCAAGTTAACTTTATGTCTTCATAAAGAAGAAAATAGTTTGTATATTGTGAATTATCTGTACAAATAATTTCATGCTTATTATTACTAGTATAAACACCGGTTGAAGAAAAACCAACATGGATACTGGAATTTTCAAACATTCAATGAAAGAAAAATGATAAAATTTGAACCTAACAGAAATCATTTTGGATTATAATATTTCAACGAATTAAACATTACATTACCAGATCTAAAAGTTTATAAATATCTACACTGCGAAAACATTGAAAATTAAAAAATCAATAAAATAAAAAGGTATCTCAAAAAAATGTAAGTGTTTAGATAGATTGATCTATATTGTTACATAGTAACTGACATACCAAATTAATGATTTATATTTTATTGCTTAAAATCTGCCATCAATATGGAATTCTATAGAGCTGGAATACTTAAATTAAAATATTTAAAATCATTATAGGTAGTCATACAAATAATAATAAGGTCTGGTGGTAAACATAATTGATATTCAAGTTGTATCTGATAATAAGACTAAAATCAATCAATTTATCAACATGAACTGCATATAATCGATTTCTGTTCCTTAATGTCTTTTCCGGAAGGATTGCTTCAATAAAGCTTTTAATCATAAGTTTTTAATATATTTGGTATGTACCTAGTAATCGAATGAAATATGCACATTTCGTCCTATATGAAAATCATCAGCTGTCTAGACAACTTTCATTTACATTATATACATCAATTATCAATATAATGAATAATTATCATTTCACTGAAACTGTATACAAATACATAAATATTAAAAGAAATCTTAACAATACTTAGAAATAATTAACCTGATATAAATATGCGAAATGCAAAAAAAGGAGTTTGTGTCGAATCAAACTTCTCAATTCTCAGATTAAAAAGACTCAATACAATGTGTTAATTACCCATAATTGGTAATAAAATTTCAATTCAACGAAATGCTTTCCTCATGTAAGTCGACCCATATAATTAATGCCGATATTTTTTTTAGAAATCGATCACCAAACCCGTATAATTACTGATGAAACAATTCAGTGTATTATTTCAATATTCAAAAAGCACGATATTGAAGATAAGAGCAACTATGGAAACCACTTACTAGCATAGTAATTAAACTGAGAAATTACATGCCGTAATTATCACCATATATATATATATATATATATATATATATATATATATATATATTACGTTTTGCGATCGTGAAAACTGAAACTATGGAAAAACTCAACAACATGGAAGGACAAAAGTTTAAAGCAATTTGAAAAAACTTACTTAGTTTTCTTTTGAGAATACTGAACAGTTAGTTCATCGATTAATTTAGCGTCTAAAACGGGAAACGGTGTTTGATGTATGCGTTTGTGAGCTTCAATAGCTTCATTAGGAAGAATCTGTGTAGCTGGTTGATCACCGCATTCCTACAATTCAATTTTTTAAAAACAAGAAGACTATGAGAAGTAGTATGTGAAAGTTATGAATGTTATGAAAAACAACATTTCCTAGGAATCCACAAATGTTAGAAATTTGTTTAACGAGATTCCTCTGAGTCCAAACTGAAATACAAAGAAATAAAGTAAAGCTTAGGTTTAACAAACAATAGAATGCCAAACCTAAACAAAAGAGAGAAATCAACTCCAGAGTCATGGCAGTCAGAAGCTAGGATTAGCGTCTTCATAACCAACTGACATCATCAATAATCCAAGGTCTCTTAAATCCATATCTTATCTTTCAGTCACAACATTTATTTATCTTTACCGTTTACCAGTGAGGTAAAAGAGATTAAGATTTCATAGTCGTTCGGCGATATACTTTATGTTTATTAAGCTTAACAATGAGATTAGATAAAGCTAAGTTACTGACAATGGAGTAAATTAAGCAGATAATTTTATTTATGTGTACATAAAAATTTCTAAGAAAAAATGGTGCATGTTGTCGGATTCTGTTAAATTCCAGTAACTTGTTTCTATCATAATTTTATTTCACTACAGTTCTGAATGTTGTATTTTATGAATGGACGAAGTACGTATATTGTCCATAATAAAACTTCTAGCAGTGATGCAAAGAAATTTTAATATGACATTGCTCTTATCATCCAGCACTGTCATACATATTAGCCTCCATAGAAGGGAATAATGCGATTGTATTGGATTTCGAGAGACAGTCACTCTGAAAAACATCAGAATCACTTTAACGGCATTAGTGAAACGTTTTTCGAATAGGTAAAAGAGACCAACAGACCAGTTGAATTGCTCCTCAAAAAACTGTCCATTGTCCAAGACATCGGTAGATGTTAGTGGTTGGCATTGTAGTAAGCTCATTCCACTACTGTATTATTTATCTGCTCGCTGTAATTTAGACACAATTCGCTGTGTAAATTTCTGTGTGAGTCTGATTGAGCACATGTCAGTTTTTAATCTATTCTCCCATTGGTTGTAATACACAGATAATCAATAATGTATCTATACTTGATTAACACTCATACACATACACACTCTCTTGGTTTCACTTTGTGCTTGCTTCCTGTACGCTTGCGGATTTCACCAATCTTTAACAATAAGCTATCTCTATAAATGATGTTCGGGCTTTTGAATAATCTCGAGTAAATCCATAATTCTACTAGGAGACTTAGCCTGTATTAAATACTCAGTTAACGGGACATTATTTATTGGAGTCAGATATAGAGTAAATTAGCCTCTACAGCATCTCATCATCTTCACAGACTATTTCGCACACACCCGACTTCTTACTGCTAATGACTCAGATGAGATGAAAAAAATTCCGGTAGCTGCCATATTCAGCTGCCGCTTCCAACTCATTGGCACGCTCCGACTATCAGGCTTCACATACACATCGTCCATTTTCAGCATTCTGTAAATGGTTATTATTAACGTAAAACAAAACTATTCAAACCATTTACAAAACTCTCACCATAACGCATAAAGTCGGAATTACAGATGGAAAAGTAATCAGAACATCCTGAGAATATGCAGAGGTGTTGCAGATGAAAAAATATATAAAAAATTCAGTGAAAAAAGATTAGGAAGTTTTTTTCGAAAACCAACAAAATATAAAGATTTGTTGTAAACTAAGAAAAAAACGGTTCATTTGTAATGGTTGTTTGAATCATCTCATGGTTTCTATTAAAAGTTGGAATTGGCTAGTCTTTTTCGGCATATGTACATCCAGGGAAGATTGCATCATGGATTCAATTGATAGATCCTATTCAACTATGGTTTTAAAAAAATGTGCCCACGAAGTAATAACAACATCGAGACAAACCACACAACATGGATATGTATCAAAAAAGACTGATCAATTGCTGCTCTTAATATAAACAACGGAAATAGTCAAACAAACCCTAAAAATGAGTTAAAATTCACTTGTTGCACAAGCCAGTGGTTAACTGGATGTAATGCGTTAGGTGCTTGGGGCGAAAGGAGCCGAGTTCGAGTCCTAAAGTGAACATTAATGCCAGGGGTTCAGAAATAAAAAGCTAAAGAGTCTCCATTATGAAACGCGCATTCTAGACTATCGTGCTAGCCACTATCCAAATTAGCTTTAAAAAATTAAATATAAAAATAAAGTGTCACTTACATTATCGAATAGTTTTGTGCTTAGTCGTTCTATTAAACTGAAATTGGCTGTATTTCTATTGATCATTTGTGATGAATTATTATTACTGAACATATCATATTCATAATCTCTATTATTCAATGTCCTGTTATTATTACTATCGAACAGTAAATGATCATCGACATTCGATTCATATACTTCATCAAATATATCACATACACGAAATGGTGGACCACGTTCTAATATAAATTGATGAAAACGCATACTAGATAATAAACGATCGTAGAATTCATTATGTGCACTATTTCCACGTAGAAGTAAATATAATGTCTGAAAGTTAGGAAAAAATACAAATAAGTTTGTTTGTTTAGTTTGTGCAAATTGGAGAAAGAATGTGGAAAACACATGTGATAAACACAACATATTTCATGCAGGCATACTATTTTAGTTACTGAACAATATAATAAAATTGAAAAACACTCGGAGATTTGAGCAGAACTCGTTGAAGACATGATTTATGATTAATATATATGCACCATAGTGCGATATGAGAGTAAATATAAAGTAAGAGTGAACTTTCGTAACAGTCATATCTAAAGTTGTTGCTTATCTTTTTTATTGTATAATTAATTAATAAATAAACTCTAATATTCTTGTATTCCCCTATTTGTAAGCTCATATTTGACATAGAAATTTATTACACGCCTATCCGTCGATTTCCGTCCACTTCTGTGGCAGTTATGTTCATATTGTATTTTCTTAATTCGCAGTATAGGATTGTGGAAATTGTTTAGTTTCCTTATGATCATGAACTCATCAATGTTAGACCACCATTGAAAACCTGAGAGTACTGAACGTTCGTTTCATCCTAGTATGAGACACTTAAGCAGTGCATATTCAAGGTTGCGCACGCGAGCATCCAACTCAGAACCTTCGGTATCGCATGCGAACGCTCAACCTCCATACCACTGAGTCCATATCTTCTAGGAAGCCAAAACCAGTGAAGTCCAACTATGTCGGTTGTGGGGTAGACATCCACCGAAAACAATGGAAGATTTCGCCCAATATCGTGGATTGGTTGAAGTTATACATTAACACCATTGGATACCAAGTCATTGGCCTAGATTTAAAGTGTTCGCGTGTAAGACCGAAGGTTTTGGATTCGATTCCCGTGAATGAGCACTGCTGAGGAATCTTATACTAGAACGAAACGGTCGTCCAGTACATCCAGATTTTCAATGATATCATAACATTTATCGATTCGTGATTTCTTAATTATATTGATGCGAAGTCAAGATTTTGCTCTACATTATTGCATGAGCGACATATAAATTAGAACTGTATAATTAGAAGCTATCTGTTGTCTGAGTTGTTCTCTATTTTGGATATTAAGAGAGCGAGAGAGCGTGAGAAACTGTATGCTAAACCACTGAACATTTAGTTTTACTCTCGACTGTTATCTCACAATTAGCATGTCACTGGAACAAGATAGAGCTCATCAATATTCAAACTTCTCCATTGTCTTAAGGTCTGATATAAAAAAAAATCTGTTTATTTTCGCCGACACATAATATGGAAAATATATTTCAAATGTTGTTTTTGAAAAAAAGCAAACAATTTCTAATCATTGAGTTTTTACTACCTTTAAAGAAGCTTCTTGTCATCATGAGATATTTGATATAGAAAAGAAAATAATAGGTGAATATATCACTGACTTATACTTGTTTTGAATCATAATTCTGATATAAAGAGGCGAATAGTGCAGAAAAATATACCTATCTGTGCTATCATATAAATGATTATTGTTTATATTTTGATTGAATAACTAGTAAACGCTTATATTGTTGTCTTTTTGTATCCTCCCATTTATAAGCTTTCGTTTGACCTGTAAATCGTTGTCGAATATTATCCTATGGTTTCAGATCTATCACTGAATAATTATGTCTCCATTACTCTGAATTTGTATCACTTATGACTAAGTTATTAACATACTATAACTGTTCAATTGTGTCGCTACGTGGCCAAGCATTTCAGGTATATTATTTGTGAGTTTTGAGTCGTGACTGAATAGTGCACAGTGGGTAATCGGTTTACTTTCCGTCTTCGTCATTTGATAGAACACTGGGGTCAGAAGAAGCTTGAAAACTAATAAGTTTTAAGATCTTGATAGTTATTTATTGGTCACAATGTCATTCGGTAAACAGATAATCAGTCCTACAGGTAATGTAGATGAACTAATCAATAGTTGAACTAAAGAATACAACTCCAAGTGTAAAAGCGATACTATTACACAGGCTGCAATACAATCAAAGTAGATGTTCTTTTTGCCGTTGCATTATATTTTCACATAAACTTTCTCTAAATATTCATTACATTCACAAATAGATTTATTTAAAACAGATTCAACCAAAAATTTTGGATAGTATGGACTGCCAGTAAACAATTTACATAATTAAGTGAGTCAATCATAATCAACATAGAGCTTTGTATAACTATGCGTTAGCACAAGTTGCTATGTCACAACATTAGTACAATGAAATAAATTTAACAAGATTAATAATAAATGAGTCAAAATAATCGTAGCAATGATGCTAAGAAAAATGGTGCATTGACAATATATTTCGATAGGAGGCGATGTAAAGATATATGTATGAGATAAATGAGTGAATGTATCTGCACCATTATGGTAAACTCTGAGCTATTTTGTTCAACGTCTCCAGCCACTAGCCGCAGTGTCAACGATCCGATTATAACCAAATGGTGTGAACATATCAATATGGCATAGACCAACATTTAATAAATATATCGACCGATACCACGTTTGGTAAAGTGACTCAAGCCATTCTTCCATATTACCGATACACATCCTCCGTCGAGGTAGGAATGGGCTGGGTACGTACGATAAATGTCCTGAATACATCAATCTATGAGGTTAACAACAGTCGAAGAATAGTCTTGAACATATGTTAATTATAAGTGTTTAACAACAATAGATCCTATTCAATATCTTTATTAAAAATATAAGGATTCTTTATACCCAAGTGTATGTTTAACACTTTAAACAAACAATTTTCAATCATAAAATAACATAAAACCAAAGACAAACTCATAATGTCAAAACTGTAGAAAAATACAAATTAATTGATCAAGCAATATAATTAACACTATTCTCATATAAATATAATTGTTCAGTATGACAATGATATTCCTTGAATATTTTCAAAATGCAATTTAACAAGCATTCAACTCTAAACACTACTAAATTTAATCCAATAATATTTTTGGTCAAAGAAAAACAACAAAAGTTTCTTAAAACAATTCCATTTCAATTCAAGGAAGAGTGAAGTTAACATTTAATTGAACATAAAGTAGTTGGAGGTGGTCAGTAGAAAACCTTAGGCTAAAGGTTTCCTATTAGTTCACCCTCATCAGCAAACTGTACCTGAAAATTTAAGGGAACTAGTACTACCATTTTTGTGGTCTAATTCGGGCTTAAGAACTCAACGGTAACGTTTCAAACTGTAAGATTGGGTACTGTGGGTTTAAATCTCAAAGTTAGCATCGATTTCCTCAAGATTTCAGGTACACCTAACTAACGAGTACCAACAAACACGAAACCCATGTTCAGGGTATTCAACCGACTTCCTTTGACAGGCAACCCAACATCTCAGTCTACTGCATGAGATGTCGAGTCAGCCAGATTAGTGACCACAGTGAAAATTGGTCGATAGAAATCAGTCAACATTGAAGGACTAGACAGACGCGACAGTAATCATCACTCCGTGACACAGTGAACTTAATTTTCATGTGAAGAAAAATCACTATATTTTTTATTGAAACACAACTAAACAACAAACGAGATGAGTTTGTAAAACTAATTTGTATTCAACAGAATGGCACAAAACGTTATTTTTAAACTTAACCACATAATGGTTAAAGACATCATGATTAGGCGCTGAACAGCAAAGAAAAGAGATCAATTCTATTAGGAAAAAAATTGTCCTCTTCAAAGAAAAATCTGAGTAGTTTATACTTGTCCAATCAAGATCAGTCTGTGATATAAACTATGAAAAGCTAACAATCACCACAAACTAGTAATCATATGCGCGATTTCAAGAAGTTTCCCGAAGTTCTAGTGAGAAGCCATGACTAAAGGGGTTACACCATTTTAGTTATGATATTTATCCACCACGACCAATGGAAGACGGTTAGATAGTTTCGCAAAATGATTGAAAATAAGCAGCTAAACCATCGAATCGATACTGTCTAAATGTCAACCACTTGCCGTGAAACTTGAAGGTCCTCGGTTCGATCCCTGGTGCAATCGTGAATGTGCACTGATTAGTCCCTTACTGAGACAAAACAACAGTTCAGTTCATTCTGATTTTCAGTAGTTGTCTAAATTAAATCAATTCATGATTTTAATCACACTAAACAATCTCCACGAACCTCTTGTACGAACATGCATATATCATTGGTATCGAATCGATGACTAGATGCGTAAATAATGCAAAAGAAAATAAATAACAAACATCTCATGTAATGTATTGACAAACAAAAACGTATTTACAAATATAGTTGTTTTAAGTGCAGAATACTAATCGATCCAGTCGGATAACTTCAGGTAATAGTTAATTAAAAACAGAAAATGTCTAACATATGGGTAAGTAAATATGTAGATAGATATGTAGTTAGGTAGACAATCATTTTGTTTATTGGCATGAATGAATACCGGTAACAGAAAAACAGAAAAATAAAAGAAACTATGTACAGATGTGAAGTTATATTTCCCTAATTATTAATACAATATTACAATCAGAAATCATTTGCGTCCGAAGTAAAAACAAAATGTTAACAAATTAGTATAAAATAATACAAGTGATATTTGAATAGGTTGTATTAACAGATATAGGAATTGTATAAACAGAAACCATTCTAGTTAATTGAATCCAAAAATTAACTAATTTCCATCTTACAATACAGTAAATAATACTTTAACACCTTTTGATCAATAGATTGTATTCATTCTGTATAAATCCATTTAGATTATTATTCAGGAAGAATTCTTCAAAGTCGATTGATAAAAATGTAAAACACAATAGTAAGAAGAATCTATCTGTTATGTCCCGATAAGCATAATGTATGGTAACTTTCGGGATCCATTTATGAACCAATAATATGCGTATATTTTTATCGTATAATTGTTAAATAACTAAACTGTTCATATTCATATCCCTCCTATTATGAGCTTTCTTTTGACCTATGAACTGTTATTATACGATTTACCAATCTTGAATTATACCCTGTCTATTAATCATTACCTTCCCCATTCACAGCCACATTTGGCTAATTCTTGTACAAATGTTGTTTCATATTTTATGGCACGATGCGGTATGTTTGAAATAAATGATTTATATCGCAGAGGCTCGGATTGGTGTTCTGCACTTAACAGGCAAGACTAGGCGGGAAGCAGGATCAATAAGGATTCTAGACACGGGTTTTGTGTCATTAGTCCGATCGATAATTCACTGTTCCCTAATTGGCGGTATCATTACGTATACATTAACAGGGTACACAGGTCTCAAGCTATAATACTATCATTAGTGAGATTGACGGGTTTCAGTGAGATGTACTATAAAATATTATATAATAGTATACTAAATAAAAAGAAAAAGTAACACGTCCCTATAAATCGCAACATCAAAATGTGATATATATATATATATATATATATATATATATATATATATATATATATATATATATATATATATATATATATATATATAGAAGAAAGAATTTATTTACACATTTAAGCTGTTTGTATATTACTTACTCGATTGAAATGTATCACTGGTTTAGGATGAATACGTGTAATTGTTAAACACGACCGATAACCAGCAAATAAAGATGTAAATAAACGAAGGAATACAGCTCGTAATCGTTTATCCAATGAAATTAAATCACCTGATTGATTAGATGTAACAAGTGGATAGATATAATCAGCTGTCATTAATTCTGGACTTAAAATCTGAAATATGTATCAAATAGAAATTATATATATAATAAGAAATAATAAAGAGATATGTATGTACTTATTACATCAACTGTAATTCACACATTATTAAAGAAACAATTGAAGTGTATCACTATAGAGATTTGTATCAAATATACTTGATGAATGTAATAACCAAGATGCATAATCAAACGTAACATAACTGAACTCAAACGAAAGATATTAGGCATGTGAATCGTTTGGATCCCAACTTAACGATCTAAGGATTAGAAGCTTGACGAAAAACCGAAGTCACTCGGATTCGATTTCTAATATGATCGTCGATGCGGACCATTGAAGAGTCCCATCCTAGAGAATGAGACAGTCGTTCACGATTTCCTGATTTTAAATGGTTGTCTGAAATCAGTAGTTTATGATCTTAACTTCTGAAAATCAACAATCTTCACACACCCCCAATATAAGAACAACTGTGTACTTGTCTTCTTTATTAATATCGAGAAAAAACACATTATACCTTAGAATAAATTAGAGCGCTGAAACAGGCGAAATTTATGTAATTTATCGTATTAGGAAGAGTTTTATATTCGTAACGTAATTTCGCTTTAACATTTAAATATACTAACAGAATATAAATAACACCACAGAGTATCAATTAAATACATGGACCTTTCCCAACACCAACACCAAAAATTTATCCAGCAGAAAAGTGGAGATTTTCATACAATAGACTTGATAGTTAAGTAACCATATAAACCTCATCGGTTGAAGTTTGGATTAGTATTCATCACTAATCTCAAATATAGATTAATGTGCCTAATCGAAGAGAGGATGATAGAGATCACCACTTCAATATTACGTTGAGACGTCATACATCAGAACAAATTATCCATTTCAATAACTGATTCTAATAAGGTATTTAGATTGAGGAACAAGGTGAAGAACTAACGAGATTATCCAGCAAATTCAAAAACATTTCTCTCGAAAAAAATTGTGCTACGTTGATAAGTTAGATAGTAGGGAAAAGTCAACGGGACATAGGTTTCGAGTGATAGTTGGCACTCATCACAGCAAGATTTACCTGGGATCTCGAGGGAACTGATGCTACCTATTGGATTAGAACCCGTATCATTCATCATTCCCCAAATATTTGAGGAGCAATCGAACTTCTGCAAGGTCAGGATATTTGCAACTATTTGACCACTGAGTAGTGTCAAGCTTGCCTAGTCCTCTAGTGTCAATTGAATTTTTCTACGAATGGGTGCTATTTTTGATTGATGAACGGGTTCTCAATTGTTAAAATCAATGAGGAGAATGTTGACCAACCAGTGACATTCAACAATGCGATGTGGCCGAGTGATGGCCTCTTATGGGACCAAATTATTAACATTAGCTTTCGAAGGATTCGAGATCAAAAGCAAAATTACTGATCAGAAAAATCAGTTCTTATACAATAAAATAACACACATACAAAATATCCCAACAAAAAAAACATAGGCAGTTGGAAATCACTTTGTAAATCACTTACTAGTCTACAATCAACTAACACTTAACTGTTACACCTAATTTCTGTCCGTCACACCAAATTCTACCGATCAAGTTGCAATGAAGTTACAAGTCTAAGTAGCTCGATATAGATAAAATTCCATCAAATTTGAAAGACTAGGCAAACAAGACATTTGATACTACTCAGTGACCCAATAATTGTACATTGCACAACATTCCAAAAGTAATCAAACAGGAATAAAAATAAAGATCTTCAATTCTCCAAGTAACCACCTTTCGTTTATTTACAGACGTATGAATGAAAGGAGAGAAATGCTGTTGTCATCAACTAGTTAATTACCTACTCCAGTACACTAATTTACTTACCTGGAATAAATTTTCCACAACTTCAGTGAAATATGGATCAGGCAGTTGAGGGATAGGAATATTTTCCGGGCACACAACACTTCCTCCATCAAGATCCGCAACAAAAACATCAACCTAGTTACATACGACCACGAAAATGATAACAAAAAACAGGGGATAATTACAGCCTTCATATTTTTTAAAATTTAATTTATCATATTATATAATTATTTTGCTAATTTATGCCGTTAACTTGTAAGGAAGTTGTGGAAATTTCTAAACGTTCTAGAAAAACAACTGCTGTCAACCTGGAAGAAAAGGACAGCAGTATATTCCTTGTAAGCGACTCCTTAATATTGCACATTCATAACTCCATCACTGGTAATCGAACCTAAGACCGTTGAACTTGAACATCAACTATCCATCCTAAATTCCATTACTACCTAAATCCAACCTTATACAAATCGATATGTTAGAACGTATTAAAGACTGATAAAAACATATGTGAATCATTTTTGTCCAAACCTGCCATGAATATTATCATTTGATTCGAAATCAAACTATAAAAAATTATTTTACAACTTCATATTTCTGATAAATTTTTTTCTCAATAATCCTCAGGGTCATATGTTATTGTAGTAACATATCTGAATACCGTGTCCCAATCTGATTTCTAGAGAACTCAAAGCCAAATACTATTGAAAAGTAATCGAAAGGAAAGAAATAGTTGTGAAAATAGTTTTCTATTCTTTTGGATACCTATTCCATCCTCATAGATATTATTAGTACAGGAAGATCAGTGGATGAGTGGACTTGAATGAGCATTGCTGAAGAGTTTCGTACCGTAACAAAACAGCTATCCAGTGCTTCACAGTTTTCAATGATGGTCTAGCTGAGATTTAATTCATGATTTAAACTACGAAAATAACAGATATTAGTTTACGCGAGATTATATAGACAGTATGACAATTAACTCCCGATTTCAAGATGATGAGTATGTACAGGAAAAAACAAACCGATTATGCAATGAAAATGATTTTCTTTGTATTAAATATATCACAATCGATATTAATTAACACCGAATATATACTTTACGACGTACTAATCAGATTTAAGGTAGCAGTTACGGCACTTTTGCGCGAAATTCAAAATGTGGTAATGATAAGCTTGTACTTTATTAGAATTTAAAACCTAATAATATTCAGCTTAAATTTTTTTTAAAAACATGCCAAAACTAAAAATCCAAGCGATTACCGAAGTGACAATTAAGGAAACCGACTGGTCTTTCATGACATAAGTGTATTTAAATTTTGTAAAGTTTTACGCACTTTTGAAGATAACCTTAACCTTAAAAGCTAATAATTTATCATAAGCATAATCTCGAATTCAAATTTCGATTCCCGACTGATAAGTATGCTAAACCGAAGCTTGGTCCGATTTTTAGCCTATTCCAGTAACCTCCAAGACAAAAATAACGCTTTAGTTCAAGGTTAATTCATGTACAGGAAAACGTGGGGCATTTATAGAATTACATATGGCCTTATGCTTCTAGAAATTTCTGGAACCGTACTAAACGTGACAGCAGTATAGGTAAATATCCATTCAGAAACGTAACACGTGAGTCTTCATGTTCTAGAAGTTTTTGAGATAATTACATTTAACACTGGTTGAATAAAGTGTTTTCACAACTGTTTTGATCTCCTATGAATTTCTCGAGAAATACTTTGGGACTTCCTAACACTATCACTAACCTCTTTCGTAGTTTTAAGAATTAAACTATTCATTTACACTACCTGAATTTGAATAGTTAAAAAGCACCGTTTTGTGATTAATTTTCGAATTAGCTCCGTACTTGTTGAGACCTTACCGCCGGAGACGGATATCCGTGGGATAAGGCGAGGTGAGCATTTTTAGGGTCGAACTTTTCTAACATCAAGCTTTCTTGTGACAAGGCAGGATCGCTGTTATGCTGGTTGTCTGTAGGAAACACATTATTGCCGTCATAACTCTGTACAGTTAGCAGTACAGCTTCACCTCAAACCTTAGATTTGCTGCTTTTGGGCTTACCGCTCCTCAACTGACCTGTCTGACATGGTAAGACCTTAAGGAACTATTGTTCCAGCTGGTAAGCTCCATTGGTTCGTTACAATAGGCAAGAACACTCTTGAGTCTAGCGCCTTAGACCGCTCGGCCACTCCGACGTCGAAGGCTCCGGGTGTGCCCCCTAAGAAAACCATCTCCTTCGGTTTGGGCACCCGGGCAGTATCACGTCCCTCACACATATCAAATGAGATCTGTGTGGCACATATGTATTCGGTGCCTCCTTGTACCAATATTTATGTGTTCAAATAAATAAATAACAATAGGCAAACCTGACCACCGCGTCAATGTAGCAGCAATGGTCGGGTACTCATGTATTTACCCTCTATGTGATGCCATTTTGTGTAAAATCTGGTATATAAATGATTATATTGTGGTCTAAGGATGATTTGATTTTAAGACTTGTTTAGGGACGTGTTTTTAAGAAGTCAATAGACTTTTATTGCACCGGTTTTTCGTGTTCTCGCTTTGCGTCTCGGGAATTGTAATAGCTCCTGTCTACTAGTATAACAAGCAGGATTGAGGAAATTTAGTGGTTCCTACCTGTCAAGTTATGGTAGTAAGACTGCGAACGCGATGACTACCCAAATATAACAGAAGGCGTGTGCCACTATGTAGGACTAATTAGCCATATATACCAAGACCGCTGGGTTGATTTTCTAAGCGGAACTCGAACCTAGTACATTTCGATTCAAACACCTAACACTATGTCCAATTAGCTACTGGCTTGTGCAATAAGAGTGAATTTTATCCCATTTGTAAGTTTTTTTTAAGTGTTTCCGTTGTTGATATTAAGGAAAGCAATTGATCAGTCTCCTTTGACATATATCCATGTTGTGTGGATTGTCTCCATATTGTTCTTAAGCTGTGAACACTTTTTAGTAAAGTTGGATGGTGGTTATTAGTAAAATTCAAGATGTCCGTATGTGAAAAGGGACCTCAACATTAACAACAAGAAGATTCAAAACACCGCTCATTACCTTCAACCTGCACTTCATATATAGAGAACAATAGAGTAGATATAAAACTATGTAACAATAAATGTGATACACTGTCATAAGTGAACACATACTATCATCTCCTAAAATACTACTAACACCAGTATTAATGCTTTATTTGTCAGTGAAAATAGAACTACATAATATTATGAGCATTCTATGATATATTAGGCTTAAATGTTTACAATACCTAGACAAAGATTATAACGTGGTGATTACATATAATACGTTTATTACAACATTTATTATTATCAAAACGTTTACTATTAAGTTTTTGATTGAGATCATGAACCGATTGATGTTAGACGTTAGATGTTCGAATCCCGCTAGCGGGAACGTGGATGCGCACTGCTGAGGAGTCCCACAATAGGACGAAACGACCATCCAGTGCTTCTAGGTTTTCAATGCTGGTCTAACATCAATCGATTCAAAATCTCAAACAAAAACTTAATAATCCTCACAACCCCTATACTGACAAAAACGTTTATTGTTTATTTTAAATAACTAGCCCATTTCATTCACAATAATCTTATTACTAACACATCGTTATTTTCAACAAAGCTCTATGACTTTTAAAAAAATAAGTGCCCATAAGCTTTTGAAATGTACAATCAACCAATCAATGAATAATTCAACCACAAAATCATTCCATATTCCCACTTTCATACACATTTATCTTTACCCTGGGGGGTGATGACAGGTACTACTGTATATATATATATATATATATATATATATATATATATATATATATATTCACTAAGTGTTATTAGTACGGTATAGATTAAGAAGAAACTAGGACGTGTTGAAAAGGTGAAGTTTATCCGAATTCTAAATTAGTCATTATATATATGTATGTGGTTCATATGCAAAACACATCGTTCTTTTTTTTTAACCAAATGTATTTCTCAATCAATACATAAATATTAGCATGGAGCATCATACAATAATATAAACCAGTTTAATTTAATTAGTTAGTTAATTCTTTTTTTTTCATGGAGAGAGAGAGAAAAAATGTATTTGATACAGACTAATCAATGAATTATGCAGTTAGTAGTTAGTTAATCAGTTAATTACATGACCAAGTAGCGACCAAACAATAATTAATTCTAAATTATAATCAATTAATCCGATTATCCGTATTAGTGATAAACAGTAATTTACTTGGGTTACAATGTTTAATCTGTAATTTTGATCCAATCTCAGTGATCAATGTGGTCATTAGGAGGCTAAGTGACGCTATTTGACAGTGCATTGTTTTTTTTTAAAGAGTTGTTAATCACATAAGCCTATGAATACACAGCTTCCAGTAGAAAGCAATGTATATGTACCATAAATGTTTACATTTTTAACACACACAAAAAAATATGTTCATTGAATGAAAAACCGTCTAAACTTACCATATCAGATAGTAAATGCTGATATCCTGAATGAATACCATAAAGAAATGGAGTTGGAGCATTGACAAATTCAATCAATGATTTAGGAAGTATAGGAACGTATGTATGACTACAAAATGTTAATAAATAAAACAAAATGGACAAAAATAAAATTAAACAATTTCAAAAAATTACGTAGAATATATTACATATGTAGCGAAGTAATACCTATAGAAATCGAATTCACAATATTGTTATAACGGGGCTAATATTGTAAAGGTTGTAACCTCAGACTTGCGCAAGATCATAGATCGATTGAAGATAGACATTAACACCATTGGATGCCGGCTCAGTGGTCTAAAGGTTAAGTGTTTGTGCGCGAGACTGAAGGTCCAGAATTCGAGTCCTGCATGTGATATCGTGGATGCGCACTGCTCAGGAGTCCCATACTACGACGAAACGGCCGTCCAGTGTTTCCGGATCTTCAATGGTAGTTTAGTTTATATCGACTCGTGAATTTAACTATTAACACTACTAAAATCTCCAAAAATCCCCAAACTTAGTTATAAAGAATTATTGTTCATATTTTTACTGTAATAATAATTAGATATTTGGATTATTGTATTCCTATATTCTTCCACATTCACTATGTTGGGTTTTTCTTAAGTCCTAGCTAACTTATTACAGATCTGTTATTTAGTTCCTCTTCACTTATAGTGTAATTATATGTACATCAAATTTTCTTATTCATGCTGTTGTGAGATAAGGTATTGGATCTACATGATGACACAAGTTACAAGTAATGAACTGAACTTGTACAATAAAAAATTTTCCAACTGCTGTACTTTGTTATGTTCTGATTACAAGGGGAAATAATGTGGAAAACTGTATATGTTAAGTATTGATCTCGGTCGTCATCACACTATCATCGAGCCGTAGTTCAAATAAAAAGGCCATGGCATCACTAGTTAACGAAAGGTCATTGATCTTATACAGGTTATGTAGGTGAATTAATCAATAATTAAACCAGATAATACAACTGCTTCCGTAAATAACAGCCCAATTACACGGATTCAAATATACTACGGGTATCGTAATTGCATTTGTAACGGTTTAGATACTTCGATATTTTGAATATTTTGGTCAGTCTCTTTTACACAATGTCCATACAGTGCATATTGCCTCTACAGCCATTGTCATAAGCTTGTAAGGAATAGATGGAATGTGCACCTTACATAATTTTTTGTTCATAGTGGAACAAGTAAATAAATAATATCGACGTTGAGCAAAGAATATCAGGTGATAATGTATATCGGTTGATGAAAAATCCAAAACTTCACCAACCATCGTAGTTGAGATGTTACATAAGCTTAGTGACTACTTCGGGTACATCGTAGGATGGAATAAGATGAAAAATCTCAACTTATATGTTAAGCAGTAATAATCTTTCATCCAATCAGTCATAAGTAACGTAGAACCTGGCTCATGAGTATATAAGTTCGGGTTGCTATACCTCATTAGCACAGAAAAGAAATCCTCAGGGCAAATTTTATAGCAGAGGTAGTAACAGTACTAGTGCAAATAGGAAAGATTAGGCATAGAAGATTTGATACAACAAATTACAAATTAGTAAAATTAGTGATACAAATTAAGATTAAACATAAAGGATGTAAACTAAAAAGAATGAATCCGTGGAATAATAGTAGGCATAAAATAAATCTAGGACTCAGGATGTAGAGGTAGACAGAGAATGAATAGATTTGAGTCGTTCCGACTGATTTTGAACCAATCCACCCAACGTCTGCAATCCTTGATTACGATAATGACGAGAACTTATCTCTTCTATCTTTCTTTGCTTTCACTGCCCACCAACACTCATAATTATTGTGTAGATTTTTTGCCAGTTTACGTTTCAGCTGATCTCGCACCTAGTCGTGTTAAGAGCCTGATTGGAGATGCTTCAAAGTGATAATTCTTCTTCTTGAACGCTGGATTCGGTTCCTAAGCTCTTCTAGTAACCCCTAGGCTAGATCTAAACAGCGACTTGTACACGATAGAAAAGGCGCGAAATATTGAAGAAACGCTTTACTCCAAGTTAGTTTATGTACAGAAAATCTAGGATTTTTATAGTATTTTTGATGGTCTTGAGTTTCCGGAAAAATCTAGAACGATACTAAAAATAGTAGCAGCATAGGTAACCATCCAATCGATATGTGACTTTTCACTTTTTAGATGTTTCTGGCAAAACTGCTAATGAATGCTGATTGGATAAGATGCTTCTCAATGTTTTCAGAGCCCTTTGGGGTTTTTTCGAGCTTTCTGGATCTTCCCAACATCAAGTACCTATCAATTTGGTAGTTTCTAACACACGATGATCAAACCATCCATCAGTAAACTTCAGCAAAAGAATCCCTTGACTGCTTATTTTTATGATTACTGTCAGGAAGTTCATATATCAACGAAAAGAAGAAAAGAAATAAACTTTCCCTTCACATATAGAACAAAACTATTACAGTTATGACTGAAAACTTGCATACAAACATTTACGTACACAATTAGTTCATTACATACGACCAACGAACGAACGAATATACATATGGTCGCAAACATTTTGTTCACATTATATAGTAAAAAAAGATTTGTTTTTCCAGACAAAAACATAGGTTTGAAACTAGAATGAATCTCTCTTGACATTTCCCTACGCATACATGTCTACACTACTGAAACCTCAATGAAGATATGCATGTGTTCATATATGTTAATAATAAACAATGGTCCCATATTTGTTATGAAATGGAAATTTTAAAACTAAGTAGGATATACAACCATATACATTACTATTATTGTTGTTATTATTATTTCGAATTAACTTACCTATATTTTAAAGGATATAGTATAGAAGTTAATGCATGACATGCCTCCGTTAACCGATTTAAACTACGTGAACAAACCAGTACTTTTTGATCACTTAAAATTGCAGTGAATAATAAAATCACATTATGTATGCCTAGAAATGAATAAAATGTATGTATAAAATGCAGCAAAAAGGAATAAACAATAGTACAAATACATTTATCAAACGCCTAAGCTGATGATCAAATTAATTCATGATAAACCATTTTGGTTTGAAATCCTAGATGACTTAAATTGATGCATTTTCTTGTATGTCACATTTTATACTACTGTAACCATTGACGCCTTTTTTTAAACAAACAAAAACCTAAATCGAAGTAGATTTCAAATACACTATCATTTAAGTAATCCAATTATTGATACTAAATAGGATTTAGATTTATTTAATAATGCTTGTTTGAATCTTCTCATTGATATTTAGGATTGTACTTGATCAGTCTCTTATTAGTACATGTGCATCTTGTACGGATTGCCTCAATATTGCCTTAAGTCACAAGCATTACAAGCAAAGGTGGATCGTGGCTAGCAGTGGAATCCAGGACGCGTGTTTCGTACTATTTGCTTATAATGTTTGTGACCTAAGGCAATATTGAGGCAATCCGTACAAGATGCACATATACCAATACGAGACTGATCAATTACAATCTTAAACATCAATGGGAAAATTCAAACAAACAATACCAAATGAACTTAAACTTCACCTCATTGCACAAGCAGGTAGCTATCAGAACTCATTAGCTGAATGGATAACGCGATGACGTTTGAAGCGAACGCTAATAAGTTTGAGTTCCGGAGTGAACGTCAATTCTAGGATGCAGGTATATTCAGCTGACAAGTCCCAAATAGGACGAAAGGCGCGTCCTGAATTCCACTGCTAGCCAGCATCCATCTTTGCTTATAAATGGGATTTGTACGCTGGCAATAAAACTGATGATGTATGTCTCCTAACTATACTTTGCTAATCTGGAAACTCCAACTTTATGTGTTAATGCTAAACATTAATAACTTCTTTTACTTTATACTATTTCATATTTGTCGGTTAACAATTACTACACTATTGTTCTGTTTAATTTCTGAAGTCAGTAGTGTATAGCAATTGATGATCATTTAAATAATAATACTTGTGCATTATATCACTTACTAAACTTAAGTATGAAGTGTTAAATTATGAACACACTTGATTAAATCAGATGACATTGGATGAAATATAAAGCATTAATAGTTTTGACAAATTCAGAGTTTACAGCTACAATTCCAAATTCAACACTCATACGCTTTTTTTGACTATATTCTGATACGATACACATCCACACGAGCCGGTTTGCATACAATGACTTCAGGTTATATTTGTATTTATGAAGAAAATAAAAATACAAGGAATCTCTCATATCTACAGATGGGAATCATTTTAGAAATAAAGTGGACGAACAACAACTCCTCTCTAAATCACAAGATTTTTCTGACATTCTACTTAACTAACGTCATTTAGCTAAATGTCTGCTTTCATTATTTAAAAAACTAAAAGCAAAGTATAATAAATAAAAATCATCATGTTTGTATATACACTGATTGATTTTATAAGAGATAGGTATGAACATAACTTAAATATATGATGGGGTAACGGGAACAAAAAGCAAGCAAAAACAAACAAGTAAACAGTCATCATATATACACATTCTTATGTAAAGAAGGATAAATAAAAATCTAGTATTTATTATACATTTAAAACATCTTACCTAAGTGTTTAAATAGTAAAGCTACACAATTCCGTGTCACAGGTATAGTACTACAATGAGCAGGTTGAATTGTCTGTCGATCACCAACCCCTAAACTGAATGTGATTCGTGGACCACCTATTACAAATAAAAGATAAAAAATACACTTGAAGAAAAAAGTTACCAATCGAGGTTAAAATAACAAAACAGAAAATATTTCTTTTGATTTCATTTGTTTTGATCAATGAAATTACGATGTTGGTTGAAGTTTTGACCATAGAACTACGTCTGAGCCATGAGTTTAAATATAATCTAGTTACCTTAGTGTTTTATTCCACATTGTAGTTCATTGGTTAGGTTAATCAGCCTATATTTCATTAAACTACAGCACAAATGTACGTCAAAGTAAGTTGCCATATTTGAAATATCAGTATAACAACAAGAAAAATTAGCAAGTCGTTGAAGAGCAAAACAGTCGAAACAATTTTAGTATCAATGATAATGTATGAAACTAACTATTGAGAATATATAGGTATCATTACCAAGATTTGATTTGATAATTTCGAATAAATTGAGCATTGGGTAAATTGTTATAAATAAATAATATATTTGTAATATCCCAATGAGTAGAAAAATTAGATCCAAGTTACTTGGATTAGTTTTAATTTGGTTATTTATTCTCTGAAGAAGTGACTTACACTAAGTCACGAAACGTCAGAAAATCTAATTTTCCTACTCATTGGGATATTACAAATATATTATTTATTTATATTGAAAATATAGTTCGAGAAGAAGGGATGTATGAAGGAATGCTGGAGTTGAAGATATAAAGTAAGACAAAGAGTCCTTACATCTGCGCCACTGTGAGCAATTCTGAATCATCCCGACACAAAATCTCCAACTAACGATTCTGATTATCATGTAGACCCTAAATAGGTAATCTACATCTACCAATATGGTTTTAATCAAATATTAATGACTCTATAAACTGATGACTTGCCTCGTGTTGCTCGCCTTTTACCCTACCTCTACAATGAAAAGCATCGCTCATCAAGGCAAATGGTGATTAGGCATACCTAATATACGAAATAAGATTGATGGCTATAAGGTAAAGAATGAAACAGTGACATTGAACCGTTTATTTACAATCCTAAAACTTTAATCAAGACTATAGCACAAAACTACAGTAAAAACTCAGAACCTATCGATATGAATCACATTAATGATCAATGACTTTATAGAGAGATGATACTTTCAGGTTGGCTAGCCCTAGCCACCTTTACACTTATTACTATGCTAGTCAACATTGAATGTTACAGTAGGCGGGATTTAAATTATTATCTAGAAACAGTTAACCACTAATCACAAATTCATTAGCACAAAGCCTACTAAGTTTATTATGCTCGAAATTTAACTTTAATAATCATACAGACTTATGTGAAATATAGTTAAACTTAGCTTCTAAGGTTTTCAGTTATCTTACATTTTATCTGAACGTGTAACAAATAATTCACATTATGAAAACAGAAAAACTGTCGTATGTTGATAGTGCAGTATCGGTAATCCACAAAGGATAAGAGAAAAAACTTAAAAACTAGATGTGATCATGTAGAAAAGAAGATCCATGAAGACTTTGATCTAAATAATGAACAACAAACAGTAAAATCTCATAATGCAAAATATATTTTAATTTACAACTGATTGATCACTAAGTAGTGACTAATGTCATTTATCCAAAGTTCTTAGTGTTGACTGAATTCTACCGATCAATTTGCAGTGTGGTCACTAGTCTAGTTGACTCAACATCGCTTGCACTATATTGAGATGTTAGGTGGTAATTAAAGATTCAGTTATTTATTCTCTGAAGAAGTGGCTTACACTGAGTCACGAAACGTCAGAAAATCTAATTTTTTCTACTTACTGGAATATATTACAAATATATTATTTATTCATAAAAATCTATCCAATGTTCAATTTATTCGGAATTATCAAGTCAAACCTTGGTAATGATACATAGAACGGGATATACTTTACAATTGAATGATGGGTCACTGAGTAGTGATCAATGTCAGATTAGTGGCAACGTCTTAGGCTGTGACGTTTGGGTGATGCGGATCCAAATCTCATAGAGATAATACCAAATAGCACAAAACTTAGATCGAGCAAGGTATCCTAACAATTATCTTTAACAAATTAACAAGATTAGCTTTTTCCGGTAAATCATAATTAACCTTTACTGTAATAAAAAAATTTTTATACACTTGATAAAGATGAGTCCTTTACAATGTTAATTTTCAACATTTTTTAAAACCAATAAACCTTTGGTAATGATTCTAACTAAACAAAAACAGATAAACATATTACACAACTGTTGTGTCATAAATAATAGTGTAAACGTTATTAATGTGATAGGGTGTCAATCATATAAACAGTATAATTTTATAAATCCAAAAGGCATTATCTAAGCATATTTAACCTGACCTAAAAAATAGACAGGATTAAAAAAACGTTATATGCAGACATCCACCCACTAAATAAACCCCAAAATGTTTAGAAACGCTTGAAATCGCACGCAGATTCACTATTGAAAAGAGGCTGTGTTACAAACTGACCAACATGTATACTATTCTCTCAATTCTCGTATTTATTATTAAATAGGGATTAAAATCAAGTCCGAGATAAACAGATAAAATGACTTTTTTCTTTATTAAGAAAAACTACCATCCAAATGATATAGATTTTTAAGGAAAATTATCAACCACCATGAAAATCCTTGAACTTTTGACATTTTAAGACTTAAAAAAAAGATAAACTTTTAAACTAAACCAAATGAGGTAGAAGAAGAATTAAAGTATCTAGTGAATGTAGTTGAAAAAGGAAGTTATCCTTAGTAAATTTTACAAAGCACAATAATATTATGGTAAGCATATAGTATGAAATTAGACAGCACACAATAATAAACTGTTGTATTTAAGGTCATAAATTATAGTAAATCTTCAACAAAATGAATATCTATTATCTTCACATCATTGTGATGAAATATCAATATAATGCCTAGTTAACATTTACATAAAGCCCTAAAAGGTAACATTTAAAATATGATCAAGTATCTGTCTATATAATTGCACTTGTTTTTTCGAGTTTTCATTATCAAAAATAGACCTATCAAACAACAAACTATAAGTTTTATACAAGTGTTAAATGTATTTTATTGAAATAAGGCAAAGTTCGCTCTATATTCAAGTATAATACGGAACAAATAGGATATTTCTTGTAATCGATTAACAAACGATCTTCAATTGTCAACATAGTAAAAAAAAAGATAAGAATGTAATAGGTCTTTTGTTTTATCTTAGACTGATTTTATCTGCCTTACAAATTCAGTAAATCATTAGGACACATAAAATTGAAACAGACAGAGTCAGACACTTTAAACATTTTAGGAATTCACATAAAAATGAATAAAACAAATACGGTTTGTTTTTAATAGTTTACACAGCGAACCGATCATAGTTAGATAACCAATGAAAAAAAAGTAAGTGCTGTACAGCTGTTTCGTCCTAAAATGAGACCTATCAGCAATGAGCATCTACGAATCCACCAGGGGTCAAACTCAGAACCTTGAAGTCTCGAGATAAACGGCGGACCTCAATCAAGTCGCGACATTTCCCAATGCCATTAGAGACCAACTGCCTCACACCCAACGTGACTGAACTCCAATGGTTACAGATTCTTACTAAAACTGAGAACTACCTTTCGAAATCAGTTACTAGAGCGTAACTTATGACTATTATCATTAGTATAGGGGAGTTTGTAGGAAGAGTTGAATTTTATAGTTTACACAATATGTACTATTGTATTGTCAGCCTACTTATATGTTACTTTGTGAAGATACTGCTAAAATGCTTGCACAGTAAAGTATTCATTTACTTCAGGTAAGAATGAATAAGGAATATATTAAACAATTCAACTAACCAGTTGGTGGAACTTCTATGCCACCCAATAAAGTTGCGATCATTTGTTCTATCGAATATTGATGTAGTGAATCAGCGAACACTGTATACAATAAGCTGAGATTGTTCTAAATAAAAACAAAAATAATAATATACTCAATGAAACAGAAAAGTTTAAACCACTTGTAAATTTCCAAAATCTTTTGTGTTTATATACTTATAACCTGACGGTATAATAAAAATGAATCTGTAAACATTAGTTAATTCGACAAAGATTTGAAAAGAGTTTTGTGAAAGGCAAGAAAAGTATACCTTTACAATAACCTCTTTATTAACCCGTAAGGTTGAAAAAGAGATCACCTATGTTCGGCTAGTACTTACCTTAACTCGATATGTACAGTAGGTTAGAAAAAAGTTAACAGAAGTACATAAACCAATAAAAATATATCACTTTAAGAAATCACTGATTCCTAGTTTGAAGTAAGTATCAAGATACAATCTTCCTGGTTGAGGTCAACGAGATTACCATAATCACTGACTGGCAATTGAATGATATAGCTCATAATCAGTTGTAATAGTATATATGTTTATTTGAGCCTGGGATATTATATATTTCTTTTAGTCTTCATTTATCGCTGCATCCTTGTTAACTTCCTGTGCTGCTATAACAACTTGAGTAGATACATAATTGTGCTATTTCTAACATTCTGTCATATCGTAATGAATAATACTCCGAAATCCGATAATAAACTTTCCTAACTGCATGCCTAGCGTGGAATTACAGCACCAGCAGTTGGAATGTTAGATATACATGGAGGGGAAACAAATTAATCTGTTCTACTAAGTGTACAGTCGTGTGGGACCCAACAGAACAGCAGTGAAAAATCTGCATTATGCTACTTTACAACTCACATTCTTATTAACATTCAATTCCACAACAATCAAAAAATAACTAACATTTAAGGGCCACTAACAACTTCTCTTACTATTCAACATATACTCATGACCTTTACAGTTGATTTCTTCTCTCCTCATTGTTGAGAACCATAGAAATGTTTTCGTAATTCTTTGTTTTGCTTGTCTCTGTCTGGTCGGTAGTAATGGACACTACTTCATTATGATCGAGTTTTGTTCTGTGAGCTGGATGGTTTGGTCGTGAAGCTTTCATCGTTCTTCTGAACGACATCAGCACAAACACTTCACTTCTACCTAAAGTTTGTGCTGATGATACATATATAATAACAAATCAAGAATGTATAAGTCGATGAAGTCTATACTAGTTATGGATTCTGTACAAAATATGAAGGAATTACAGTTAAATAAAACATAATTCCAATTTATTCACTAGGAGGGGATAAATATATCAGTAAAACCTAAAACTACTCCAAAAAATCCACTGCTTGTTGATGGAATGTTCAGTAACCTCAGAAACCCCAATTTTTTGAAAACTCGAAAGATATGACACTGAAAGCAGTAACTTACTTTCAATACGTCGAAATGTTGATGACGAGCTAGGAACACTAAACATTTTGGCGCATAAAATTCCGGTGGACGTACTAAATTTGGATCATCAGTATCATTATAAATCGACTTGAGACCAGAGTAATTCAATACTTGATCTTGGAATCCAGTTGGTGAGTTGACAGGTGAACTAGCATTGCTATTTACGTTTGTTACATGAATTAAAGAATCAATTTGATACTTTTCATCATTAGAAACAGAATTTGTAGTAGACAGGAAAGTTTTATTTTTATTTACAGCAAATGAACCATTATTAATAGGTCCATTTTGAGAATAAATACCGAAAGCATTTCCTGTAGGTCTTACTCTACCGTGAGGAGTGTGATGGGGGATTTTTAAATTTATTAATTGACTAGGAGACACAGCTTCATGAAAATTTAGACATGCGGCAAAATAAGGATTTCCATCAACATCTGTCAAATAAGCGACAAAGAATGTTGGTGGTGGTTTACTTCGGCTGAGATACCAACCACATGGCTGACAAAACTAAATTTGAAATTTAATTATCGTTATAAAGGGTAGCAAATAACCTACCGTTTCAATTTTGAAATTGTAAGGGTAATCATCCCAACAGTTTGTAGGAAATCTCTGTAGGACCTGCCCTTCACTTTCACCGCCAACTAGGGGAATAATTATTGAAAATAAAGTTTATAGTTAAGAAAAAATGCTAAGGCAGATGTAACTCGATAAAAAGTATACAACTGTGGATTAGATAGTAAGCCTACAGATGGGTGGTGCAATGTATCACTAAAACATGAACATAACAAGAAACCATGTTGTGAAAAAAGGGGATGGAAAATAAAAATATAGTCAAAGCTGGGACACTTATTTGTTGGGATTCATTATAACAAGTAGCTTGACCGAATAGAGACTATCAAAAGCAGGAAACGTAAGCTACACAACCAACTGTACTGAGCTGTACAACAGTAAGTTCTCACATGGATAACCAATATCTTTAGAGATGCTACCTCCCATAAACAAAAGGAGGATTTAGAAAAATCGACCTTAAAACCTAACAACCCTATGTTCAAATTCAGTATCAGATCGAATGACATGCTTAGCTATTCAAGACCTTAGAATCTCTTATCATTAACGTATTTTGTGTACAAGATCTACATTCTAGTCTAGAATGATTATCCACTTGATATCATCTAGTCAATAAGGAGAATTAGTGCAAACCGGCACTGTCAGATAAGACTACAATAGATACGCACTTCTGAGTTTTCCTTTTAGACTAAACAGTAAGAACAGGAAAAAAATCAGATTATACTTCGTTGCTTTTTCTCAACTCCTACGCTTCTACATATTGACTAAACCAGATAGTAGTTTTGTCAGGAACTTTCTGGCCTATAGAACTCCAAACACTTAAATCTAATTGTGATGGGTAATTTCAACACCCAAGCAGATAGATTAAGCCAGTATGAAAGACTCTTGAACAGCTCCTTTGGTGTCCGAACTTAGCTAGAAGACAATAATGTGATTGCTGCAAATATAATCAGATAACCATTTATTTATAGCAAGCATCAACTTTAAGCGTGGCGATATAACATGATCTGGAGATTACTAACAACTCAATGATGAACAAAGATAAAATATACTTTTGTTAGGTAAATGGAATCAACTAGTAGGAAGTACTGGGCCTAGATTTTGTGTTACCTGACGCTCGTCAACAAGGTATAACTGTAGTCTTGGGGAACTGGCGTCTCCTATGGAATCCGATCATATAGTTATCACACATTTCTAGAAAGGATCAGTAAGAGATTGTTGTTGCCATTGGAACACATCTCAGGAGATAGACCATGTCCATGCGACAATATGTGTTTGTCTGCCGCTTAATAAACAGGAACAAAAACCCCTTTAAGTTCCATTAAAAGAAAGAATATCAAGTGCATGTCTAACCTAAAACCAACTAAGAACTTGAGCGATCAAGAAGAGGATGCCTAACATGACTCTTAATCGGTTATGAAAACAACAGTGAAGTTTGTCAGCAACCTGAACCAAAAGATTAAGAAAACCTAATCTGTATGAGAAGCCTCGACTTAAACTCATCATAACCGATAGAAAGGGAATAGAAAAGATAAGCAATTTGTTTGAACTGACTGAAGGAGTTGGAGTTAATATGTTAGACGTTCTGCGAACTCGGATAACAATGGAACCGATGAACCTACTTTCAAATGTAACGATGGGCGCAACACGTTGAAAGATATTTCGACTGCCATTCAGTCACTTTTTAGTTGTCAGCCACATTTCATAGTGTGAAAAAGACCAACATAAGGCCTTCGATTCTTCATAAAAGTTAAAAAGAGCATAACTAACTAAATGAGGGAGATCAGTTGGTTCGAATGAGTTATCTATGTGTGTTACTAAAGACACTAACCTAGCTTTAAGTTAAATCGGCTGAGATAGCAAATTATCCTAAAATCAGATGTGATTCTGTCAGACTGATACTTGTGAATCAGAGTGGGACAGAAATTCTCTAGTGAGAACCATAGAGGAATTGGTTCGACGAATGATGTATTTAAAATATTAGCTTCAGTGACTATCCAACGCTTTATCGGAAACCACGAAAAGTAGGAGTATGGTTTTAAATATGGACGTGGGTGTACAGATCAAGTATTAACCAACCGTCAGGTTTGGGAGCATGCATACTGATGTCCGATTATAGTTGTATTTCTTGACCTGACAACTGAACTTGGATGTTGGTCAACAAACTTCATGGCAGTATCAGGAGTTAAGAATGTATTAATAAATTACTTCAAACTATTGAAAGCTTTTCACCTGGACACCGCCGGTCAAACGAATTAATGTGGAGTTGACAATGAAATGCCATTTGAACCGATTACATCAAGATGATTCCCCCTGAGATGGTGATTGGAGGTAGTTAACAGGAAACCCTGGACCTAGGTTTCGTGCTACTTAGCACCCATCAGCAAGGTGTACCTGTAATCTTGAGGGAACTGATGCTCCCTAACGGACTCAATCCCGTGTCACCCAGCTTCACAGCCGGCGACGTTACCATCGAGCCATTCGGGTCGCGACTGATAGAATTTGATCTGCACTAAGAAGGACCTGACCTACATGACGTTAATCACCACCCAGTGATTAATTAATTGTAAATGATTCTCCCTATTATGTATACTTTGTCAAAAACCTGCTTTTAGAGACGTGATATTAGACCATGAAGTCACTGATTACTTGCATTTTAGCAGACAGAGACTTTCCTGTTGGTTCATAGCAGTGCATTGTTGGTGTGTATTTTTAGCCGATTTCAAAGAAGCTAGGTTAGATCTTCATTTCGGGGTGATGAGCCTTGTTACTGATGCTTTTGTTGCCCGTCGTCGACATTTATGAGGTGCTCCAAGCTTCTTTCATAGCGTTGTCTGTTTACTCTCATGGTTTCCCATCATAAATGCTTGTCACTATGTCGGTCTCATGAATACCAGTAGTTATGGTTACTAGGTTTAAAGAATTCATTCCCCCGGGGCGGATTAAGTGACATAATCGACAAATGCAGTCAGTCAGTCGGTAATCATCAGTGTAGAACCTGCCCCAAAATGCCCTGGTATGGCCGAGAGTGGGGAGAGTCCGCTCTCCCTCTCGAAATGCTCTCACATGGCCACGCATATACAGCCTCTTCCAGAGAAGTCCTACTCACTGCCTTCTCACAACACGGGTGTTGTCTACGAAATTGAGAGGACGAAAAACGAATATCCGGCGCTTTAACCGGATCCCAAACCAATGGTGCACATGGGCTCCAATATCCTAAAGGAACAAATGGAGTATGAACCTATTGCTGGTCACCGGCTACTATGGGACTGCATCTCCCTACCGTGCTCCACAGCCTTGTGGATCAGACCTTTAGGTCGAAGGCTCCGGGTGCGCCCCCCTAAGAAAACCACCTACTTCGGTTTGGGCACTCGGGCAGTATCACAGCCCTCGCACAAATTAAATAAGATTTGTGTGGTGTATATGTATTTGGTGCCTCCTTGTACCAATATCTATGTGTTCAAATAAATAAATAAAGTGTAGAACTTGACAGGTGCACTGGTTTCAGTAGTAACACCCAACACCAGAATAGTGGGAGAAAATTAACCAGATGGAAAGCAAATTAGGGGAAATAACTCCAACAGCAACCAAAACCTAGTCATGGAAAATGAAGTTCTAAGGAACCGAACACGATCGGAGAATGACAAGTTAGACATAACATTTAACATATAAATTCAAAGATAAAGAATTAATGCGATGTCACTTAAACCAATCTTGCGCTACCAACCGTCATCAGCTATCGATCACAGGTATTGCATCAACCACAGCCAGAAAAACTTCACTAACTCCAAACTCTTACTTTACAGTCGGACGACCTGCAAAGTAATCTACTCCATACTTTTGCTTCTTTGATTACTTGCGGTGGGAGTCAGTGCGGCACTTAAAATTCAACTTACATTGCTGAATCCGAAGATGGGTGTGTGGGACGCGTCGGCTGTTTTTTAATGCACTTAACAGTAGGATATCCTTTCTTGGGTTTTAGTTACCATGATGATCTACATACCTTGAAGTAAAAATATGAACCCGTGGCAAAATACTGGAGTAAGATACAGAAGGAGTGGGATCTCTATTACAGCTCACCTATGAGTGTCCTACTAGAAACCACTCACAGGTTTTGCAATTATCTCACATGTCCAATTTATGCAAGGGACGTGGGGAAAGGCAGGCTACAAATTTAACTAGAGCTAGGGTCGTGGGTCATGATAGCTAGACACGCTATGTAGTAATTTGATTTTGGCATAATCGTAACGACCAGGATTAATGCACTTCACTGACATAATGCCCTATAGCGGATACTTTGGAGCTACGAATGTACTAATTAAATCAATATTGGTAAGCGGTTTGAGATATGTCGGTCAATTATAGGTGATAATACTTTTAGTGTGTAGTGCATTATTACAGCAATTAATTCATCGAATCTCTACATATCCAATGATATTGTGTTTCAAGAAAGACATATCATCATACAACAAGTAGGTGGAATTGAAGTACGTCAGCATCATACAGACGTAACCACTCACTAATGTTTCATAAAACATGTAGAAAAGTTTCCACAGTTTAAACCCGAAGACTTTGTAGAGTTCTAAATCCTTTTTTAAATAAAACATCTCGGTTGGAATCATACCTGACTTTTCGAAATCATATCCAACAACCACAGCATAATCCACCAATCGGAGCATAACTTCATAATTGGTGAAACAATAACAAGGACGTCTATTTGTGCATGTAAACACAATACATGGTTTATGCTACTCAATAACATATGAAAGTTCATCATTTTTCGACAGTATTCTAAGACTCCTCCTCCACCTACATTCTAGAAAATAAATGTCTGCGATGACCGAAGGAGGGTTATGGGTTTTTTTTAACAATTCGGATCGGTATCTAAAAAAGTTATTATATTGAAAGTTAGTCATGAATTACATCTTGGTTTATAATAACAGTTGCCCCCAAGTGAGCACTATAGTGTTGCCCAGGCAAATTTAAAATATCATGATGTATTATGCCCACTACTCACTGTACTACATAGCCTCTATGTCGCATCACTCACCCTTTGGAGTTTGTCACAGTTGAAGCGAATGTCAACTAAGAAATCGGCAGGTCATCTACTATGTCCAGGAGTTTGCAACATGGTTGTATCTGACTAGTATCCAACCATTCAAACTGACTTGATAGTCTTATCTCTTTTCTTTTATGATTCGCGCAGGATTTTTTACATGTCCTTCTCTTTGCCTCCGGCACAGATGACTGTATAAGGATTATGGTAATCGGGGAGAGCCAAGCTCTCCTTATGTGCTGGCGTAAGATCTTTTGGTATGCAATTGTGCATATATGTGTGACGACGGGAAAATACCTACTATGAAACGTCAGCATTCTGTTTCTCCTTGATTACAGCGCTTCCCACCCCAATAATCTGTTTTCCGCATACCATGTTAAACCTTTGATCTAGAACTGGTTTAAAGCCGATATTCATTTATAACTGTGTATTGCTTGCAGTGTTATTACTGTTTTGCTATCTTATGGTTGATGGCTACTTTGCATCACTTGATCTTTGATTATAGCGACCGTCATGTTGATTAACTGTCTTATCGCACTTGTTTGAATTACTTGAGATGAATTATTTTCGAAGTGAAGTACTTCTTCAGATTGTTGGAATAGCCTGTTAATCTTGACAAGCAATTGACTCGTACTATTCCCAAGGTTTTGTTTACTTTCTGTCTTCCAGCTTTGATTTTTCATGTTTGAGTGGATTAAAACAAACTAAACTTCATAAGACAATTTATTCTCTGATAAGTAATAAGTTCTGAAGTTTCTAAGTATATCTGTAGAATTATGGTCTACTATGATATTAGCACTGCTCTAATAATAGACGTAATCCTTAAATTGTACATTTGTCATGATGTAACTGCCTAATCTATAAGATCTTACGTGGAAGTTACATCATCGTCTACACCAATTCATCGCATTGTAACAATTACCAATACACGATAGAGAACAAGCTCAGGCCAGAGATAGAACAATATATTTAATATGAGTGAAGGATATGAGGTGACATTCAACATGGACCACGCCTGCAAGGCCGAGCCATGCCATCTGATCAACTACAATTAATTTAATTCATTACCCCCGCCTTCTCCATTCTTCTGTATTTCTCCGCGTTAAATGTTGAATGTCTATTTCCCATATTGTCTCGTGGTAGGGCCCAATGCCACTACATATCTGCAATCGATGGTTTACAGTATATTCGTATCCAGTTTTGAAAATATAAATTGACTTTACAGTCGTTTTCTTAAAACTGTTCGGTTAAACTGTTAACCTTGTACTTCTTTATGCTTTGCATCAAGTTAGTACCAAACCTTTTACTGAACTTTGTTTGAGCTATATCAATTGGTGTACATCAGCAACCATAAAATTAGTTGTGTAGCTTACTGTTAAGAAAGTCGAACCATTGTAGCCATTACAACTAATATAGATGGTGCACCAATGAGATACACGCTAACCAGAGCACAGTAGCTAATTAAGGACATAAAGCGAGTTAAATAATCAAAAATAATGTTTAAATTCTTAGTCAAATATTTTCCTGTGGACTCAATTGTAAAATATCAATGTCGATCGATCCTTGTCATTGTTGTTATGATGTCTGTTACTTTATATATTCAAACAAGAAGTTAACTTTCGTCTCACAAATATTTGCCAAGTGAAGTCTGGCTTAGTGTAGTAATTCAAGTTTAATTTACTTCGTATTTCAAAGGTTGTGATAATGCAATGAAGTGTGAGACAATTGATAGGCATTTCTCAAATGAAGCATTTACTGTATGGGTCTCAGATTTTACCAAGAGATTCTGCAGTTCTTCATTCAAATAAATTTGGTTGTTCCCACTTATGCCTTCGTTCACTAAAACCCCATTTGCTAAAGTGTTAAAACTGGCACTTGCGTTAAATGAATTCCGATATTATTTGATGTCACAGAGGGACTGAAGGTATTTAACTGATTAAAAACTGTTGTTCTAAATATGGATAAGTTCACTGTGTTCTGGGATTTATTTGTTTTATTCGACTTATGGGCTTGTTTGGCCCCGGAAATTTTGGTTGCTTTTTGCTTTTTGCTTGGTATTTGGGATTTTTTCTCCGGGAACCAAAAATTAGAGATTTGTTTCGCGATTATTATAACCGTTTTCAGAACGATATTTGAGTCAATTATTTATAATTTTCGAATAAAATTTGGTGCCCGAAACGAAGTTTGGTTGTGTTGTTAATTTTGGAATCGTAAGTTACAAGTAGATTTATATAGTTTGCTCCATTAACGAAAAAGAGCAAAAACGCTGACAACAATTTAAAACCTACAGTCGTCTGTATTCTGAGATAAAGTTTGTACCTTCCATAATGTTGAAAATGACGAGAATCTTATGGAATCTGTCTAGAGAATTTGAGTATAATGGTTTGAAAAATCAAGGGATAAACCTTGTGATGATCGAGTTAGTAGCGACTATCTTCCTAGGGAGGTGGTAGGATAAGAGGTAACGCTATCATGATAGACAACAAAATGAGTAGTCATGGAATGCAACTGCATTTTGTGGAACAACTATTGAAAGTGTCTCATTTATGGAACGACCACTGAGCGAAGTCTCACCTAACTCACTAAGCATCAGGAGCTTCGAGAGAACAGTGGATAAGGTCTCATGAAATCATCATTTATTCTATTTTTCCGAGATGGTGATTGAATATATACACACTAATATTAGGAAGTCCATGTGCTTAATGATCTTAACCTCAGTTTCTCTTGTGAGTGACAACTCACCATGCTCTGTTGCTACCAAATAATCTAGTGAAATCACCCAAACCTAGAATCACCCACTACAAACGATTACATCAAATCACATGTTCTATTGCTAATCTGCATGACATTAAATTAATAGTAATGAATGATATAAAAAACTTCTGAACAACCCGACAATACCGCCCACCCACTATGCAGTCAGAAGTTTCTGTGGCGCAAATAACGTACTGTGAAGCAAAAGATGGTAAATAAATATAACCATTAAGCACCCGAGAATTGGAAATAATATTCCCAACAGAAAGTGATCAAATATCTGTCTCTAAAATTCAAGAAAAACAATAAGCGTTTCCAGCAGCCATTCAAAGATCAAAAGTAAGTAGCCTCTTTGCACCACAGCTTTGAGTTTAGCCAAAAATGACTTCATTACCGGTCGTCCTGGGCCATACAGTGTGTGTCGTGTTGTAAATATGCGGAACAAAACTGTTTAGGCAACAAATCCCTGAGCAGTTATGTGTATCTTTTAGCTAGACAATACTGCTGTCACAACCGAATATTCGTAGTGAGCTTTGGTTGTGGTTTTTAGCACTCCATGAACCAAGTGTATAATATATCCTAAACTGTGATAATTAGGAGTATTTGAATTATTATGCAAACTGGGAATCCCAGAAATAACATGATTCAACCAAGAAGTACTAGGTAAGCACGAAAGAAAGTATTGTATTTGGAATTCGAGATCGGGAAGATCAAGTACAAAGGAATCATTAGTTCATACAGACACCGCATGCGCCATAGCTTAAGTGTGAATTCAAATTTCTGCAATAAGTTGTATCTCTTCTCCCTAGGTTCATCATGTATCTGTCCGATCGTGTATTGGATGTAGTCTCTGTATGATCTAGAATACACTCGTTAATATTAGAATTAACACCTAAGTTAAGAACAAGCTCTCCTGGGTACAATCAACCTGTCCGTTGTGTACTAAAACCATTGAATCTAGAATTTGAACCATAGATTTTCCAATAATGCCCTCCTCCACGAAATAATGTTAGATCTTCATATCCCCAAGGTATGAATAATTTGACTTAATTTAAGACATATTTCTCACATTTACTAGAGTATTAATGAGAAGTGACTCCATGATAAGGATAAACAACAGCTGATATTAAATCATTCTGACTGTAATCGAAATCGAGCTCATTCAGTACTCATGCTTCTTTTTGAACAAGTTACCCACAAGAAACAAATGCATCATGAGAACAAATAATATTTTATATGACATCATAATTTGATTCTTCTGGAATATTTTCCCCAAATTTATTAAGAATTTCATCAAAGAATAATGGCTCATTAGAAAAATCAGCACCTGCCAAAACTGCACCAGATTTTTGATCACGATTTGATTCACTCAACATATTCTCTTTAGATTTATAAGAAATTTCATCAGAAATATGTCAATCGCTAGGACATACCATATTTGGTGTGTAGCGGTAAATAAATCCCAAAATAAATGGCTCTGTAAGTCTTCGACATTGGATGCCGACCACATTACTTTTAATGGATTAATCTAGCTGAAGGCGCTAGCTCATGCATCCTCACCGGAGCACAAGTGGAAACGCTGTGTCATCTCTGGCCAGTTCGGATCAGTTGCTTCTCGTATACTGATAGTCTATCAGATATAGACGAATAAATAGTCTATGGCAAATCAGAACTCTGAGTCTAGAGCATATCTCTAACGGATACACTCATGTTTAACGAATCGCTCTTAGCTATATGTCCAAAATCCGCACACTTATCATATTTCACGTATGAAAAACGTTTTTGATAACCATTCATATGTATTAGTAGTATTACTAGATTTTACTACGGGCAAGTAAAAATGAGGTCGAGAAAATCTCCTGATAACTA